TATGCGGCTATTCAGTGAATTCTGGTGATTGAGTACTAGTGTGGTTTCCTTGCAATGTATGCAACAGTGTTAGACTCACTGTCCGTGTGATGGGCCCGCTAAGTCATCATCTTCTATGGCCTCATACTCAAGGTCACTTCAGGCACTCTGTCTAGGACAATGTATCTCACCTGGGTATTCTTCAAGGTGAGTCATCGGTCATCATTCCTGGGGCAGGGATATATTGCTATGTGTTGAATGCTGAACGTTCAATGCAGGTCACCATACACCTTTCATCTTTATGACTCGTGCATGTAGTCTCGACAGCAACGTTCACATGACCTAATAGCTTCGACATCCAGGTGCCTATCGCATGGTACGTATTTGACTCTTGATGCCTGATATTGATTGACTCGCATTCTTTCTCTTACAGCCTGTCTTCTGAGTAGATCAGGTAACTACTGCCCCTTGGGTGCCATTGGATTATCATTGACGACTGGCTATGCCTTTGTTGTCACACTCTATAGGTATGCATTATCCCGTGTTTACCACTTATTGACACTGACTACCATATGATTGTAGATCTGCTCCAAGTGTGAGTCTTGCTTCACTACTGTGGGAGTAGCCTGGGACCATGTAGCTACTGTGTATATACCATGTACAGAGTATACCAGTTTACAAATATATTTCTTGTCTATATCATTTTGCTTTTGAGGTGTGAATAAGCTGTTCTGCTTCTGGAAGCATAGCTATGGTGAGTTACAGAGAGCTATGGAGTGCTCCAAGACTACAATGGAGTACCATACCTAAGGCTACATAATGCTACAAGAGTGCTACAGTGCATACACCATGATGCTACAGAGTGCTACCACTGCTAGTGCCATCAACAGCGCAAAGTACTTGCCTACCAAGCTACAGATGCAATATAGCCTACAGAGTACTTTGTAGGTAGGTCGGTGTTCCCTGATGAAGAATCGACAAATGGAGAACAAGTTTTTGGCTCAGAATGAAGTTCAAGATAGTCGCACTCGTGCTTCAGCTAGTCGCAAATGATCTCAAAAGCAGCTGGCAAATGGTCAGTATCTATCGAAGCTAACCAGCATATTCTAACATTGAAAGTTTCTTCATAGAAAAGGAGAATGAAGTCTCAATGGCAAAACAGTTGAAAACTCTAAAACGTAAACATGCTCAGCCTCTTGCAAGGTCAAAAGCACAAGAACAAGGTTTGTGTTTTCACATTGCAGTTTTATTCCATGCTGATTTGGACGAATATCTGAAGAGCCCCATCCTCGTGAACCAAATTCACCTCCAGATGCAGATATTTTTGACTCGCTGCTGCCAGAGAGTGAAGATGAGGGGTTTGATCAGCCGCTCGCCATGCGTCCATCCTCTGTATGTCTTTTCTAATGTCTGTATTACTCACTAGTTGATCTTGAATTAGTTCAAATTAATGGGTTTATTCACCCCAGCACTCTCAAAGCAGCTTCGACGGGAGGAAGAAGCACGTCACACACCTGTCGTTCACTCCCAACCTATATTCGCACCCATGACAAACAGCACTGCATCAGATAGGACTCGTAGCATATCAAAGTACCATCACGATGAGTCAAACCCGCACAATGAACTGCCATTGAACTCTCCCACCCAGCGAAGTCCCTCTCGCCAGTCAGTGGATCATTTTAGTCATGATGGCTCGCCATCGCGTGGTCGCAGAAGATCTATCTCTCGCAATCATAGCCACAGCCTAGCAACAGGACCCATCACATCCAACGATCGTGATGATGCTAAGTCTTCACAAGTTCATCGTAGTTCCAGCTCTCACCACAGTTCCACCTCTCGTCACGGTTCCGACTCTCATCACCGTTCAATTGCTCATTGCCATTCTAGCTCTGACCACCATTCCACCTCTCGTCACCATTCTCACAGCCCATCCGTGGCACGAATCCAGGCAACAGGAGCCATGATGTCCAATCACAGTGATGATCATGCATCTTCACCTGTTCAACGCGGTTCTGCCTCTCATCATCATTCTGCCTCTCATCGTCATTCTGCCTCTCATCGTCGTTCTGCCTCTCATCATCGTTCTGCCTCTCGTCGCCATTATTCTATGTCTTACCGCCATCATTCTACCTCTCGTCACTGTGATTCTGACTCACATCATCGCCGTTCTCACAGCCCACATGCAACTCGTCGTCAGAAGCATCACCAGGTGACCGAAGAAGATCCTTTCATGATGCTGCCCCTTGTTCAAGCTGAACTTTGCAATGGTCAAACACCTGGGCCCAATAACAGAGCAAAGGCGGCGGACTATGCTGAGAAGTTCAAACCCTTGATTCTCCATTCTGCAAAGACATTTCATGTCTACACTCTGACTCATTTTGCATTCCCGACAGTAGAGGCGCAGCTCGTGCTTGTGGAACAGATCTGGGATATGATCTGTCGAAAGGCAAATCTTCGAGTAGAGATTACAGACCATATCAAGGGGGCAGTGAGTGTCATGAATCTGAGTCAATTTTTTATTCATTCATTGCACTTCTCTAGATTAAAGCGAGAGGTCCTTCAGCGCAGGGGAAATTGCGTGATAAACTAATACTGCTCATCGCGCCCCATTATGGTTTCGAGATTGATGTGAGCAAGAAGGGTGTGAAGGCAGCAAATATTTCGCGCTACCGCTGGCTCATTCAAGACAAGCGATATTACTGCAAAGTGAGTATCTCCCTGTCATTATCTTATCGAGACTACTTATTGACAGATGTGTCCACTTATAGGATCTTGATGCAATGGAGAAGTACGCTCAGAACAATATTGTACCTGCTGTCCTTCAAGCCGAGTGCTTTCACAAAGGCTCCTTCGGCCCAGCCTTCCACTCGGAGTTTAATCCTCTTCCTATTCCGGTGCTTGCCTTGATCTTCACACTGGTTTGTCTGAAGCTTTTATTCTATTACTGTGCACTCATGCTGATTAACCTATGTCTCGGAGTAGGTAGAGTATGGGTTGGCATGCTAGTCATCTGGGAGCTTTGTTCTACCTCCCGAGTTTACTGAGCTTGACTATAAAGGGAAGTATGAGAAACACCTGGCAGGTATCACTGCTTGGTGTGCCATCAATCCTCCAGTCTCCACCAATATCTGCAAGAAGATATATATTTGACTTTGGTGAGCTAGTTATTCTGATAACCCCGCCTGAGTCTCACTGTCTAATTTCCCTTTTAGTTGGGCTTGTGGTGTCGATGTTGAGAAGGATAAGAATGTACCCATATTCTCAGAGGATGCGAGGAAGCAGGCGGCAGCAGAATTTGAATGTCACACAGGAGAGACGGACAGTGAAGCTGAGGTGGATACTTAGCTAATGTCTGTATGCATCAATATTACCCTATACACCTGATCTTACAGTATATGTCGAGTAAACGTGAGCATGAACCGGGGGTCAATAGTAGCCCTATTTTGGATACAGTGACTACAGTGCGCTACTCAGCTTATCTCGACTACTCTGCTACCATGCTATGGTGCCTATGCAGTTCTCCTAAAGGCAGCTACTGCAGCTACTGAGAACTACGTGTAGGGGGGCTTACCGACCATTCTACTCATGTATGGAAGCTACGCAGTGCAAGGTTGGAAGGTGATTTTCTCCTGATGAATGTGATGCTGGTGAACGGAAAGGGAAACACTCGCGTCACATGAAGAGTCACACAGAGAAAGACAGGGTACAAGACTGAGATTCCTGAGTGAACTAAGGAGAACTACAGTGTATGAACTCTGCTATTTTATACTACTAGGGTGCTGCAGAAAATGACTGCGATCGATAAGAAGGAACACCGACGGGACAAGACAGAGGAAAAACTGCATAGGCATTGTCCAATGAACTACAATGCCTGAAAGGAGAATGATTGTAGCGTCCAGCGCTACATATGCCCTCCAGGATGTTCGTTCAAACATCCTCTAAGCGCTGTCCACCTTCTCCATAGCAATATCACCATCCTTCTCCACAGCAACGTCCTCGCCCCTCACCACCTTCTTGCCTTTCCCGCTAGTAGTGGCTGCTGAAGGTGCCTCATCAATGGTAGGAGTTTCCATCTCCAAATCAGGCTCGCCCTCCGCATCGAGCTCACCTTCACCATCAATAGGTGAAGCTGTCCGAGGCTGAATGGGAGATTGGGAATGAGCGTGAGAATGAGAGTGTGCGACGGTGCGTGAATGTGAGGTTACGGGGGAACGATGATGACAACGATGTTGACGATGGTTACAGTGTCCAGAACTACTTCCCTGCTGGAAGTCCTCCATCGTGCCACGTGTCTCGATAGCTGGGGGTTGACTGTCATGACCGGTAGGTTGTTGGAAATGGAAAAGACCCTCGCGAATGGTCTTTTGCTTCAGACACTCCTGCTTAGCGGTCTCCTGCTTGGCTTTCTCGCGCAGAGCATAATTAGCAGCGAAAGCAACTGCTCCTTCGATAGTGGTAGTGTCCCAGTTACGAGGTCCGCCCTTGAACTCCAGAGGCTTGGGAGCCAGTAAATTGACGGGAATAGGTTTCTTCTCGTAGGTGGCGAGTCGCTCAGTAAAGTCGATGGTGGCGAAATCGTAAGGACACTTCAGGCCAGATCCGGCATTGAAGATCTGCATGAAGAGGAAGTAGCCCATAGGAATGGAGTCAAGCCCGGACTTGGATTTGCCACGATGGAGCTGGTCATTGAATGAAATGTAGGAGCATGCGAGAGCATTGGGAATATGGTACGTGAGTAAGTCTTCAGGGTCATGAGCGAGGAGGTCATTCGACCCAAACAAGATGGTAATGTTGTCATTTTGGAAGTTGGTCGACATTAGAAAAGAGAGCAGGATATGATTAAAGGGGGTGGCGAGTGCGATGGCGCGAGCACGAGGAGGTAAGTAGTTTGTAGAGTGTGGACAGGAAAGAGTCGACGAGTAATGGCGTTGTCATTGGTGCTGCTTTATAGGCATCTGGTGGTGGTTATGAAAATTTAAGGTGCCCAAAAACACCTGAGGATCATCGGTGGGTGGTGTCCTGGATCTGTTGGGAATTTCTTCAGCTGATTCGACACCCAAGAGCTCTAGGTAAGCAGTAAGAGCATCCAGGTGGGCGATTGTGGAATAAGGGACCCACATTCAATCACCGGATTTCCACAGCACCTCAAAGGTACTGTCCTTCCCTGTACCAGTATGAGAGATAATCTTGTCTACTGACCATTCTTCCTCTTGATCCTCTAGTTCCATGACCTGGCTGTCAAGACGTCCCGGAAAGAGACGGTCATCATTCGGAATATGGATTCGTAGGAGTGAAGAGTGGAAGACATCGTGGATACCTCGCCTTTTCAAATTGGGTGGTAATGCAATCCGATAGGAATTGTTCTTGAAGTCCTCGGTTATCCGGTATGGCCCAATGAACTTCGGTACAAGCTTCCTCGCCAATCCCTTAGGTAGAGATAGATTTTTAGTGGATAAATACACTAAATCACCCTTTTCAAAGGGAGAAGCACGACGGCGACGATTCACATCGCGGGTCTGCTTCACACGAGCTGCAAGAATACTATCATGAGCAGCCATAATGGTGTTTTTCATTTTCTGAGCATACACTCGCACAGCAGGGTACTCTTCCTTTGGAGGGTCATTCCAAATCATCGGTCGAGGCATTCAGCCACTGTTCAGAAAGAAAGGTGCGTAGCCAGTGCTATCTGAATGAGCCATATTAATGGCAAATTCGATTGCTGGTAGCTTGGAGACCCAGTCCTTCTGATTGGGTCCAATGCACTGTCGCAGCATTTGCGTTACAGTGCGATTCGCACGCTCTGTCGAACCGTCTGACTCTGGGTGATATGCACTCGACATTCACAATTCCACACCGACTAGCTTGTGGAGGTGAGTCCAAAAAGTGCTAGTAAAGAGCACGTCTCGATCGCTAATGATGTGCTTGGGCATACCATGGTGTTTGTAGATCTCGCTGAACACTAGTTCAGCAACATTCTTTGCTGTATAGGTAGTGCGACTAGGAATCATATGCACCATCCCTATCAGCAAACAGATTACAACAGTGATCGAGTCAAATGCACCGTTGCGGTTCTTTGATTCAGGCAACGGTCCAACAAAGTCTATGCCAATAGACTCGAAAGGTACGCTTGGAACCTGTAATGGATTTAGAAGCCCATACGGCTTCTGGTTACTTGGCTTACTTCTTTTACAGGTTATACACGTCTCGCAGTATTTGTGAACATCCGAAATCATCGTCTTCCACCAGACGTGATCTCGCAACAGGCCCAGGGTCTTATATGACCCAAGGTGAGCGAGTAGAGAGTGCGCGTGTCGTATAATGACTTCGCGAGCACTTCTACCATTCACAAGCACATCGGGTATACAGAGTAAGCACTTGCCTCATTCCTTTAGCAGAACTAAATCATTTTTCACTAGGAAATTCTTGAAGTGTTTAGGTTCCTTCAAGATTTCGCTGAAGAATCTATCTTCGGCATATCGCCCTCAGAGAACACGCTCAAGGTCCAGCCCATCGAAGCTGGAACTGATATGTTCGAGAAACTGACTCTCCTCCACTATCAACAGCCCTTCCGTAGACTGGGAGGTTATTGGAACACCCTCCAGTTCCTCATTCCCATCGCCGACAATGGTGGGAAAAGAAGGTGGTGCAGGTGAGTCAGCGTTTGAGTCATCATCCAATCCAGTATTCCAACTAGCACCTGCACTCTCGCCCTCCTGTCGTTGTTCACGATTGACGTGCAACATGACACGCTTGATTCTTTTAGCAAACTCCTTCGACGTCTCTGGCCAACCAGTCTCAGCTGCCAGCAGAGGTGACTTCACACGGCATTCGCGAGCAGGCCGCGAGATGCCATCAGATGCCACACTCGCAGGGGACGAGGGATTTCGCCGGGCCTGCTTGTGTGCAGCACGCACCAGGACAGGCTGAGGGGTGATGGTAGTTGGGATGCGAGATGGGGCAGTAATCATCCGTGCATGAGCACCGTGATGACTCAGGTGGGGTTGTACTGCCTGCGCCTCGATGCCAACATAGACAGGCACAGAGATGGATAGAGACTCCAGGAAGGTGGGTTGCAAGCTTGTCTCATCAAACGTCGTGTATTCTGATGCGGCGCGAACAGTACCCGGGCGGTCATTAGAGTAGATACATGACAAGGCATTGGCGAGAATGTTATCAATGCCAGGGACGTACTCGATGGTGAAGTCGAACTCTGAAATCTTCTCCAACCAGCGAGCCTGCTGGCCGGAGAGGTTTTTCTGTTTCAGAACGTGGGTAAGACCTTTATGGTCTGTGACCCACGTAAACAAGCACCCTATGAGGATCTCGCAGTGTCGCAGCATGGACTCGACACCCGCTAACATTTCAATTTCATGAACAGGGTAATTCATCTGAGCCGATGACAGCTTCGCAGAATAGAACGCGGCGACTCGACCAGCACGCCAACTGTCACCTTGGCAGATGACACCCGCAATACCACCTAGTGAGCCATCAGTAACCAGCCAAATGCGAGGCGCACCTGGTGAGTAATCAAGGGGAACACGATGGTGTTCACGGTGCTCGTGAATGAGATGTTTGACTTCCTCGAATGCACGCTGGTGAGTGAACTCCCACTTGAAGCATGCATCAGCACCTGTTAATGAAGTGAGGATACCCATAGGAATTCGAACAGTCGCGATGTCATCAGCGAGATATCCAACTGATCCAAGGAACCCCTGAAGAAGTTCCTTGGAAGTAGGTACCTTCCAGTTCAGTACTGAATCAACCTTGTTAGGATCCATTCGAATACCTTGGTCGTCGATTATCCGACCGAGAATTTTCATTTCTTTGGGCAAGAAATTCAGCTTTGTCACACTCAGGTAAAGATGCTCCTTCTGCAAAGCATCAATCACCAACTTAACGTGCTGAATATGATCATCCAGGGTGTCCGAATAGATGACAATGTCATCCAGATAGACATCCATGAAAACACCAATGTATTCACCAAAGATGTAGTTCATCAATGTCTGGTAAGTCGCAACAGCATTACAATCACCTTGTTGCATGACCAAACTGACCATGTTTCCATCAGGCGTGGTCATCGCAGTATGCTCAATGTGATCAGAATCGACACGGATGTGTTCATATGCATCCTTACCATCAATCAGAGACCAGTAAGGCTTCCGCGATGCACGTCGCAAGATACCTTCCATATCCGGGAGAGGAGAAGTCAACTTATGAGTATTTGCATTTCGCTCTCGCAGATCTGCAACCACATGCAAATGCGGTGGAATTCCATTCACACCAGTGCCAGGTTTCGTCAACAGCATCATAGGCGATGTATTGCATGCGGAGGTCATCTTCCAATGACCTGAGTGAAGGTAAGCATCCCACTTCTCTATCCAACTCGCACGGTGAGCATCAGGACATTTAGACGGATGCCAGGAATAGATCTTCGCAGGATCTTTCAATGGAATTGTGTGGTTGATTGCACGCAAGGGAGGCAGTGGGGCATCACTTGCCTCTCGACATATAGGAGCTGCATATTCTCACAATAGCTGACGAGCTGATTCTAGTTTATCGTCATACAGATCTGCAGCATGCGATTCGAGCACCTGAACACTCTTCCCTTGAATAGGAAGCAATGTCGAACTTCCAACGACGGTAGTCGTTGGGTTGAGTCCGAGGACGACTCAGTGCTGGAACAGAAACGGCGTGCTCAAGATCACATCGTAATTCAGTAAGTTGATAATATCAAAATACCGTTCTTCTGTTATTGACTGATATGCGATTCGCGCTTTACATCCAGTAGAGATCTTCGCACGTGAGCCCTGCACCGCTAAGTGAACAGGTAACGGTTTCGCGAGTTCAACCGGTTTGATACCAAGCTGATGAACTAACTTCGCAGATATGAAGTCTGACAAGGAACCACTGTCCAGCAACGCCCGCGCGGGGTGACCGTTAATATCAATGACGACTATGACAGGTTCAGGCAGAAGCTGCCAAAAGTCCTTTGGAATTGCAGCATTCCGTTGGACAGCTGATATACGCTCTATAGCAGGTGAGCCGGCCATATTAAGCTCAATGACAGGATGCAGAGAAATGAAGTCAAACTCCAGCAGCCACTCATCCGAAGAAAACCAATCGGCCAACTCGCCCTCCAGATCATCCAAGGTGAACGGCGATCCTGCCAACTGAGCCAAACCATCCAAGCAAACCATAAGTGAGTATGCATTCACTAGGTCATACCAGGGGTTAAGAAGCATGGCTCGCGGCATCACAAAGGTGCGAGCCAGAAGTGTATCGTGTGTGAGTACTGATTCATCAGCCAGCTGAGAACAGACAAATCGCCGTTGTCCAGGTGTCTCGAGAGGGTCCTTAATGCCACTATTAAGGATTTCCTCCACACCTAAGGCATAGGTGTCGCCCATTGCGACACGAGGGCGGTCCTGACAGCAAGAACTGCCATGATGAAGAGGCCGTCCTTCTGTCAGTTGGTTTTGATACCACCTCGGAAGATCAAATGCTGGATCCAGTAAAGATGAGGCCTCAACGAGAACATCTTCGAGAACTGAGGCATTCATAATGACATAGTGAGTGTCAGACATTCTATAAACAGTGAACATCCCATGAACGTCTTCATCGAAATCGGCTAGCAGAGGACCACAACAGTAAGGTGCCTGCTCCCGCAACACCCGTGAAGCTCGCTCTGCAAGCAAGTCTTCCATGGTGGAGTATCGCACATGCCGCCGCTGAAAATAAGAGGGTTGAGGTAGGTAATACCATTTTCAGACCTCATCTTCTACTGCTCCAGGCCATACTTCACCTGGGTCGCTAGAATCGGAGGCCAAAGAGTCAGAAATGGATAGCAGGTCAGGTATGTCAGTGTCGGAAAGACCATCCTTACTACACAGATCCTCAAGACCCGGTTCAGAATCCATGCTGGATACTGTTCGCAGACTAGGCATACTGCTCGACTGACTGTCAGAGTTGAAAGGTGAGCAGTGTGGGCTCAGTTCAATGTTATTGAACTCGATCTCCTCAATCCGTGCTGTAGATTCTGCAAGATTATGAAGACATTCAGCATCGTCAGCTGCACCAGGTTCTAAATGGTTCAGAGCGACTCCGGGAGCCTTGCCCTTACGGTCAGATTGTACTCGATTCAGTGAGGGGCAGTTCCGTGAGAAATGCCCAGGTTCTTTACAGACAAAGCACTTGCCAGCGGCAGCAAGGTCTGTGCATTCTTTCTCAGACAGACGTGTATTCGACTGCCTAGTATTTGACAGACCGGCAGCAGCACCATTATGGTTTGCATGCAGTCGTTGGGAGTTTCTTCGGTGGAAACTGCCACGTGTTCTGTTAGAAGGTCGGCGAGAAGAGCCAGGACCCTGGGATGAGCTTGGAGCTCCTCGGCGGTTCTGATTCTCATGAGTGCCTGAACTTCCATTTCTAGGCGGCCCCTTGTGGCCACCCTTCGTCTGCTTAGACTGACTATCATTGTTCTTAGGAGGACGACTGACTACCATTGTTCTTAGGAGGACGACTGGCGGAGCCATCAAATGACTCGCCAACATGTCGAGAAGCCTCAATGTACTCAGCCTCTTGCAGGATACGACGCCAGCTGCTACGGAGAGGTGACAGTTTTGCTCTCCATAAGCCACGTTGGATCGACTTATTGAAACCTTCCCATAGCTTCATCACTCGGTCGCGTTTACGAGCCAGACCAACCATGTGGTATAGGCTTTCAAGCCCATGTGCATAGGTACGTACATTCTCACTGCCTTGAACGTAGGCTCGCAGCTTCGCGTGCATCTGAAGCTGAAAGTCCATAGGAAAACAGTAGTTAAACAGCTTCAAGAATATTTTTCGCAGGGACCATGGCTGTCAGCGTCTGCGAGACAGCGTATTCACGTAGAAGTTATAAGCATCCCCATCCAAGAAGTTGGAGATAGTGGTGGGGAGCTCGGATCTTTGCATGCGGTAAGCACGGCAATAATCAGTCATCTGGCGTAAAAACTTATGATAAATATCAGGATCAGGCTGTCCATCATAGGGAGTTGGCTTTTCTGGCTTTAGGAAAGGCCTCGAGCGGGAGCACGAATGGGCTCGCCACGAATGGCGACGATTTCCAGCAGAGGAACTCACGCGACGGCGATGAGAAGAGTGTCATTTCTGTCTGCGAGCTTGATGGCTATGATGATGGTGCGAGGAACTACCACCGGCATGACCGGATGAGGTAGAGCCACTTCCAGAGGTTGAGCTCGAATCAGAATTCAGTGAGCTTGGTGACAAGCTAGAAGAGCTGGAAGAACCTGAAGATCCAGAGGACCTGGATGTGCCAGATGACCCAGAGGAACCAGTCGAAGATTCGGAGCTGTAACCCGACCCAGAATTAGAGTCACTCTCGGAACCAGAAGAATCTGAAGTGGAGGTTGAAGTAGATGAGGACGAGGAACCACTCGGCGAGTTGTCTCGATGCTTTCATCTCATCTTCCCTGCTCCATCCAGGGCTTGTCCGAGATAGCTACCAGCCTCGATAGATTCAGCAGGCTCGTTGTCACGTCACGCCTTAGAGGACTTAGCTAATTTCTTCTCCTTTTTATCAGAGGAACGTTTACCAGGCCGGCGGGGCTTGGTAGTCATGACTTCATCCACCAATGCCTCACCAGGGCGTGATGAAGACTTAGACTTCTTTTCAGGCGCATGAGACTCCATCGTACGGAATTCTACAGTCTTAGATACTCTAGCTACAGGCGTCTTGCCCTTAGCTGAAGTAGGCTCATTAATGACTATGCCCCTAGCTGTTACAGGCCCTTCTCGAGAAGGAACCTGAGTAGTACTAGTTGCAAGTGAGGCTTCTACGGAAAGTTCCTCCTGTCTTTCCTGCTCTCTAAGAGCCTTCCAGAAAGTGAACATACGACACTGTTCATCAATGTCATAATCAGGGTCTTCGAAAGCCATACCATGTATTGTAGTACCAGACGTGTTAGAATACATGTCAAATTCCCGCTGCTGAGTCTCAGGATCCAATTCCTCTTCGGAAATATTAACCGCACCCCAATTACGAGGGTCAACAGTTTTACCTTTGCGCTTTGAAGTTCCTTCTCTGCGCGAACAAAAATGGCTATGGGCCCTGCCATTTTCGTGAACGACCTGCATTCGTCTTCTGACGAGGTCTTCTTCTTGCAGCGTGAGCTGTTGCTCGGCCACAGACATAGCCCTAAGCTGGGCTTCAGTGAACACCGAGCAACCGCTTTGGGTGTTCTGAACCTGTGCACTATTCAGTTCGGTGGCAGATGTCTGAGCGCGCTGATGACCATGCTTGTATGACACTGGCACCCAAGGGATGCCGACGTCTTCTTCTTCTTCTTTGACATCGGTCCAGGTCGAGTGAGCGCTATCGGCATCACTGACCACCTCCTCTCCTGAGACAGGGGGAGGGTTTTCCGCCATGGAGGAGCTACCTCGCATGGGATACGCCTCGCGAGCAGGTAGCTCAGGTGAGGGAGTACGCGAAGCCACCTGGCTGAATAACAGCCCAGGGATCACTTCGGAGGACATGCATGGCGATGAGGTAGGCGACCCCAAAGGAGTCAATGGGGTCGAGACCGAATGGTTAGTATTCCCAGAGATAGATTCGGTATACGCACCTGGTATAGCCACGGGCTCCGCAGAGACTTGCGTCATGGGTACTGCCCTTTTTCGGAGGTTGTAATGAGTTTGAGTGGCCATGGTAAGCCTGGGTGTTTTGATGAGATGAAAGGAAAGCCGTTCGAGTCGAACGACGAGGGAGACAGTGATTGTCGAAAGAGGGCCGCCAACTGGAAAGTCGAGGTGATCAGACTCGAGGGAGACCAGAGAAGCAGCTTTTTTAAGCCAAAAGTGAGGGGGAGTAAACAAGCAAGAAGTTTTTCGAGAGTAGAGTTTTTCCGAGCAGAGATCGGACAAGATAACTGTCAAAAATATGTGACGCTGGTGAACGGAAAGGGAAACACTCGCGTCACATGAAGAGTCACACAGAGAAAGACAGGGTACAAGACTGAGATTCCTGAGTGAACTAAGGAGAACTACAGTGTACGAACTCTGCTATTTTATACTACTAGGGTGCTGTGGAAAACGACTGCGATCGATAAGAAGGAACACCGACGGGACAAGACAGAGGAAAAACCGCATAGGCATTGTCCAACGAACTACAATGCCCGAAAGGAGAATGATTGTAGCGCCCAGCGCTACAATGAATGTCGCGCTTCAAAACGCCATGGCATGTCGTGTCTTCCGTCTACTCAAAATGGGTATCCTCAAGGATCGCCCTTCCGTCACGTCCACGTCCACCCAAAGGAGCGGTGGTTCCCGACCTTTCCAGTTCTTTAAAAGTACTACGAGCGGAGGAAGTACTACAAGGCAGACTCAAGACGATACTGAGCATATTGCTATGTCTCCTTCGTCAGGCTTTGGTGGGTCGGGACGGAATGCAAAATTGATCGCGCTGCAGGTCCAGATTAATAAAGAGACAGAAGTGAGCATAGGTAGTCCTGGTGATTGGAAGGCAGATGATTTTGCGTAGAAGTTGGATGAAAGAGAGTCATGACCAATCATGGGTTTAGGGGTTTCTTTATATGTTTGCTATTTTTTCTCTGCCGTTTCCAAAGGATGAACTTATTTATTGTTTTATGGGTTGTATTCTCCTATATTCAGAAAAAATGATTTATGTCGTAGGAGCATGTTATATCACAAATGTCTCGGCATGTGTTGTCAATCATCAAGTAGTAGCTGAGACGATGTGCAGATACAAGGTCACTACGTGATTGCTACCGGCATCTGATGTGGCAAGTAGTATCATCAGGACCGGTTCAAGACAAGGAGAGCTCGCTTGCGGAGTAGACCTTGGTGAAAGTGAGTAATAATTTCAAGTCGAAGGACGAAAAATACAAGTACAACTGATATAAATACATGTTAACCGCGTATTTTTTTTCATTACTGGAAGAATCCTGTCATATCCCAACCACGTTCATTCTGACCCTCCCTCATCCATCCAAGCCTGTTCGCAGTCAACCCAGCAGCTCTGATGAATAACGTACCATCCAGCACATCAGCACCATCCAGTCCGCTAGGACCAACGAGGAACGAAAACGTTCCGGGGGCTGTCTGACCAAACTCGGAAGCGAAGTGAGCCAAGGATCGCTGGAGTTTGCACAAGTGTTCATTAGGGTGAACGAGTGTGGTTTGGATGATAGGAAGCCAAGGGTTGGGCGTGATTATTTTTGTGGCGTCGGCCCATGCTTTGTCTTGCGACGTGAGATCGTGGTCTGAAGCAGGTTGTTCTTTATAGGTTACGCCACAGGGAGTCGGGTGAACACCTGGAGGGACGGGAACTGCGTTCGTTGCTTGGTAAAACTCGGCGATCGGAAGGGCCGGACGTCCGCGGGCAATGTACAGAGCGAGGGAAGTCACGAAGTAGGTGCGGAGCAAGAGAACAGCAGACGAAGGTTTGAGCTGGGCTATAAGAGATGGGAGGAAGAGAGACGAAGTGACAAGATGCATCCTATAGAACAGTCAGCCAAAGCAAAGAGTTAATCATCTTGAGATACACACAGGAAAAAATCACCATTGAATTCTTTCTTCTCATCTCCGCCCTGCTCTCTACCACTCCATCCCCCAACACTATATATTAAGGCATTCATCCAAAAGACTTCCTCCAGTTTCTTCTCCAAGTCCTGCTGGTCGGACTCGACAGTCCATTCATTCAAGAATCCAAGCAATTTATCGCCAACCACCCGAGCAACACGCTGGAGCGAATTCTCATTGGCGTCGTCAGGAGGAGGCAAGCCAATTGCAGATGGCTTGAATGCCGGATCGGCAGCAACATGGGCTAGGATAGCCAGTGCATGCGGAGACGAAGTCTTGCCCTGAGAAGTCGGAGAAGAGGAAAGAGCGAGAGAAGTAAGTTGAGAGACTAGTCCCCCTGCCTTGGGAGCAAGTGCACCGAAAAGAGATTCAGGAACTAGAGCTGGCGGGTCTGGACTCTGAACACACGCTTCAGCCAATCCTTTGTACAGGAACATGTCAGTTAAGTGCGCGTCCGGAACTCACACTCTTGAAGACATACCTTCTGCCCACATGCCCAGCTGCCCAAATTCGGCACCATAGCCGGTATGAATGAGAGGGTGAAGGAATCCTCCCAGATACCGGCTTAGCAAGTATGGAGGCTCTTGGCTGTTAGGCCCCACTGCCAAATTGGCATTCTTGGAGAGAATATAATCCTCGAAGACGGTGGCGCCTCCTTTTTCCAGGAGGAGATCTGTGAAAAAGGTGACATACGCTTGGTAGTATCTAGAGGTAAAACGAAACCGGTTAGTATGCAAAGCAACTGAAAGAAGCTTCAAACGTGAACACGAAATCGCGACAAATGCGTGTCACAATAGCGTCACGAATGGTCACCATCCAAAGGGATGCTGTCACAACGACGCTTACTTGTCGTTTCCCAAGTGGTCTTTCCAATTCTCTACAGTAATTTCTCCTGGGGAGGGGAATGACGGACGCTGATAGATAACATGCGTTTGATATGCTGTTTGCAGCAGCTTGCGGTCCGCGCCAAGGGCGTAAATCGCTAAAAGATGGTGGGAAGCGTGACTATGGAATTGACGTCAGTACTGGGTCGCGGTCATGAAGATTCACACATTCACTTGTGAAAATGCCTGTCGTTGAAGAATATGTGTCTTTTGCGATGGTTGTCTTTGAGGCATTCTAGAAGGGCTTGTGCGGAATCGTACGTGAGTCCAGGAATTCGAGTCGGCACAAGCCCGAAATTCTTAGGCGAAGGTGAAGGTACTGGGAACAGGGATGTTAGCGTTTCAGGAGAGGTGTCCATAGTAGTGAAGTATAAGATGGTTCAAGAACTTGAGAGTTGGATTGAAACCCTTGTTCGAAGGCTGGTGGTACAGCTCCTCTTTATATCCTATCCGACGCCAACGAATTGCAGGTGTGATATCATCGAACCCTATCGAGAAACCTCACCTGGTGCACGGATCCTGTGAATTAGATGATCAGTGTGTGGTGGAGTTTCACAGGAGTTGTCAGCAGAATCGCAGTCAGGAGACTCATGGCGGCCGTTTCAGTTGACAAACGTAGGCAATAGACCTCCCGGAATTCAACTTTGCTTCTCGAACACGTATGTCACGTCGAAAGATCAAACCTAGACTTGAAGAATCGACTGGAGGTATCCCGTCTTTGTGACTAAGGAGACCAGGTACTATTCACAGCGACTTGGTCGCCATCTTGGAATGTACATTTGACTCGTCACGTCATCGGCATGCATGTAGTATACGCAATTCGGCAGCGAGGTCTAAAGGAAAGCAGTTGAATATCCTATCAAGGAGTCAGTTGCAATCCCACCGGGAGCCGTCCAGTTGACTCTTCATAATCTTCGCATACTGGATCTGCACACTAGTCATCAGAGGTTGGAAAACAATGGTATACACTGATAATACAAAACAGCGGATTGAGTGATCACGTTCTAGTTTTACGCCATCCATTGCATGACAACTATTCGCTTGCCCATTTTATACTCTACTTCTGAATTCTCATTCGCAGAAGCTCAAGAAGTTCACGGGACTACTTTTAGTGCCTCTTCGAAGTCAGCAATGATATCTTTGATGTTCTCAATGCCAACGGACACCTTAAAAGAGGGTATTGAGCACGTGTGCTTAGAAAGAACATAATCAACTTTACTCACTCTGATGAGGTCAGGAGTGACTCCGGCGTCTTTCTGCTCTTCGACACTGAGCTGCGAGTGCGTTGTAGTCGCAGGGTGGATAACAAGGGTCTTAGCATCACCTGTCAGAAGAAAGGTCATTAGCTCATACTCTATTAAAGACAGTCCCCAAACTACGTACCAACATTGGCAAGGTTGCTTGCGAGTTTCAAGGTATCGACGACCTTACTACCAACCGTGGCGTCACCCTTCACACCGAAGCTGAGAATACCACCGAAGAGGTTAGGTCGGAACAATCGCTTGGCGAGCTCGTGCGATGGGTGTGACTCGAGTCCAACGTAGGAGACCCAAGCGACCTTTTCGTGTTGCTGCAACCATCTTACGAAGGTCCTTGGTAAGCACCCGTTCAACCATATCACAGGTGCCGTACGTACTGAGCCAAGGCGAGTGTATTCTCAGAATGCCTCTCTGCTCGTAAACTCAAGGTCTCCACGCCTTGCAAGAGCAGGAAGCTGGCGAATGGGTTAAGAGTCGAGCCCAGATCACGAAGAACTTCAACTCGGGCCTTCACAATGAACGCGGAAGGACCGAAGGTCTCGCTGAACTTCAAGCCATGGTAGCCAGGTGAAGGCTCGGTGAAAGAGGGGAATTTTCCAGAGGCCGCCCAGTCAAATTTGCCTACGAGGGAGGTGAGCCATGGAGTAACAGAGATAGGAGAGGCGGATCATATTTACCCGAGTCGACGATCACACCTGCAATAGTTGTACCATGGCCACCGATCCATTTTGTTGCGCTGTGAACTAAAAGCAATCAAGAAGATTGAGTCAAGGAGGTTTTGATCTGAATCGCACGATAATACATACCAACGATATCCGCACCATGCTCAATGGGACGGATGAGGTATCCTGTATTATCTTAGTCTAATGTAAACTCGAGAACGAAGGAAAAAACCTCTACCTCCAAGACCAAAGGTATTGTCAACAATCAGGGGAATCTTGTTAGCGTGAGCAATCTGTGAACGTAACACGTCAACCAACCAGATGCAAGCTCAAGACAGTGCGTAACAAACCTTGGACAGCGCGGGAATATCTGCGACGTTGTATGCTGGGTTGCCGATACTCTCGACATAGATTGCCTTGGTTTTCTCATCGATAGCAGCCGCAAAAGCCTCTGGCGCGGGATCGGTCACAAACTTCACAGAAATACCGAACTTCTTGAGGAACACTGAAGTAAGGTCACGTCAGATAACAGACAGCGAGGCGTCATGCAGACAAACGGACCTTTGAACTGATTGTAGGTCTATAAAATAGGATCAATGTGAGCGGGGTAATGAGATGCACTCGGATTAGTCGAAACTCACACCACCGTACAAGTAGGAGCTGCGACACCACAACTGATCAGTCGTCGCTGCAAAGAGCTTTACATCGATCTCACCTTGCTACAATGTTGTCGCCGGAGTTGGCGATGGTTGCGATCGCCATGAATTGAGCAGCATGTCCGCTGGACGCAGAGAGCGCTCCAATACCGCCTTCCAAGGCAGCCATACGTTGCTCAAAGACATCCTACAATCGTAAAAAACGAATGCATCACAATCCGAAACGACGTCAGGATAGCAGATCACATACCAGGCTTGGATTACCAACCCTCGAATAAAGATTGCCGAATGTTCTAAAAGATCGTTGAGTTGCTTTATAACACCGACGGGCATGCGGGTACACACTTCAATCCGAAGAGATCTGCACCATGCTGACAAATTCAAATACATCAGTTGTTGTGTAATGTGGTAGTGTGTGTGTACTAACTTGAGAGTTGTTGAATACGAAACTCGTCGTCGCGTAGATAGGCGGCGCTCTGGCGTTCGTCGTGGGATCGGGCTCTTGACCTGCATGGAGCTGAAGAGTCTCGAACTCGGGAGTCCTATAAGATATCTCTGAGTGTCTGGTTCTCGGCGAGAAGGTGCTGATTGCTCACTTGTGGAATGAATGGATCGACATGGTGGATTAGAGGGCGTATCTTTGTTGTGTTGTCTCTTGGATAGCACCTATAAGTAGCCTCGCCCCTGTGAACATCCACTCTCTGAAAAAGCCCTGAATGAGCATCTATTTCGGTATAATCACGCCATCGGGAGAGGGGTACTCACTATTTCCTAGTGCGCTCTTCATCGTTGCGAGTACTTGGCAAGTTCATTTTCCTAATAAACTCGCTGCCATCGCAAGCAATATTGTCACCATGTGCTTGACGATTGTATACTCGCGAATTAACGATCCCATGCAGATATAGCCCACGTTCCTTTTCGAGAGTCGCAACGGTCACGGTGGAGAATACTCCCAGCTCAGGCGCTAAGCAATATACTTATAGGATGTCATATGTTTTATCATTAACCGCGATTTTCTCTCTAGCTCTTGGTAGGTAGAAAATACGCGGTGAATTTGGAATATAAAAGTGGCTGTAGTTATGACCACTTGAGGTTGCACCAGCTTCTTGTCATGATTTCAGCAATTCTTCAAGGTGTCGCCATTTTGTAAAATTCCTTGCTGTAGATCTTCATTAGGGCATATTCCCAGGCGATATGTACTGACGCTTCTTTTCGAGGACCGAGAGGTTGAGTAGCAACCGAGTGCTTATCTGTATTGCCGCCTGGTATAAACTTCAGGCCGACCTACTAGTGCTGACAATGACTCTTCGCGGATTATTCACCCTACCCACCTCTGTGGACACGAGACAGAGTTCTTTGAATGGTGCGTGTAATGGTACAACGAAAGATCTCGCACACCCGTCTCTGCCTTTGTAACCACACCCACTTTCTTGCTCTCTGTAGTGGCAGATGTTCTCACTGCACTTCTTCTTTAAGTTACAGGTTCGCCCACGACGTGCAGGGGTTGGCCCTCAAAATAGATGCCTTAGTAAATAGCGTCTATCCTGGCACTGACCGCTTCTGTCCGTCGCATGGACAAAGGTGTCTCTTTACACCTTTCTCCTTGTGGAAAACTCTAAAGAGCGTCATGAGACTACTTGTCTTTACCACGAGGATGGTCATCCGTCGGACCTATAGCAACCTTTCTTGAACCGGCGGGGTTACTGCAAGCCTCCACAAGCTTCACTGCTCAGGTGTTTCTCAACTCAACTTGAAGATGCCAAGTACAGCGTCTCACCCTTTCGACGCCTCTGACGCGGATATTATTCTGCGATCAAGCGGTCCTGAACCAGTCGATTTCCGAGTGTATCGGCAAATCCTCGTTCTCTCTTCCCCAGTTTTCGCAACGATGTTCACTCTGCCTCAGTCCCAAAGTGCGGGGAACGAAGTCGACATTCCCGTTGTCGAACTATCCGAGGGCGCGGATATTCTTGATCCTTTATTGCGCTTCATCTACCCCGTCGCTCGTCCTAACATCCAAACGCTCGACGCGATGACCCCCCTTCTCGAGGCCGCTTCGAAGTATGATCTGGCAGTGGTGCCGGGCACTTTGCGCTATAAACTCTTGTCTACATCGATCCTCGAGAAGGAACCACTTCGTGTCTACGCGATTGCTATGCGATACGGCTTCGAGGAGGAAGCTAAGATTGTCCCGCCCTATACGCTCCGCACGAAGCTCCTCCATACCCCCCTCATTAAAGAACTCGAGCATATCAGTGGGTATGCATACCATCGGTTGATTCTGATGTATTGCAAGCGCGGATCGGAGGCTGCGAGACTCTTGGACACCTGGAATCCGCGTTGTAGGTACGATTCGACGGCGTGTACCCAGTGGATGGATGATTATAAACGAAGGGCACGAGAAGAGTTGTTGGTTAGACCTGCGGGCGATTCAATATTTATTTCATCTTTCATATGGGCCAGGCACACCTTTTGTGGGAACACCGGCTGTGAGTTAAGCAAGGGTTTGGAATCTCTGCGAGCACAAATCGATGTGTTACCCGACACAATTTAGCTGTTTTCCTTGACTTCATTTATTATCATGTGGGGATATGTACAGTACTCTAATTACGTCGTCATTAAAGCATATGTTCCGCATACGTTTCATGGAAAATACACATTATATGAGAGATCTCGACAGACCTTAGGATGCGGAGCGTAACTGCTCAAGCACCTTCTTTGCCACCTTTTCCTGACCCTGACTCAGGCTCGGGAAAGTAGTCGGAAGTTCCATCTTCTGTTTCCCAATCACCACCCATACTTTGTGTTTGTTCTCACCTGAGACATTCATAACGATTTCATTACGAAACTCGGGTGCAGCCAGGCCCGCCTCTCGACAATAATCTAGTATTCCAAAAGATGAGCAAAAAATATATTTCTCAAATATGACAACGGATACATACCATAGAGAGCAGTGACACTTGATTGCGGAGTAGCCTCTACAGCAATCGTGACTTTGCCGCCCCCGGACAGTTTCGATGGTTTCGGTCTCTGCACTGGCCGTTTAACCATAGCCTTGCGTTCAATGGGGCTATCGATAGGATTCGCACTTCCGGATGACTGTCCTGTAGATGGTGTTTGTGCCGAAGGCTGGACTGGTGAAATAGGCTGAGCATAAGTCGGTGGCGGAGGCGGAGGCGGAGGTAGCCCGCTGTACGGAACACCTGAGTAAGGTTGGCTGGGAGCAGGAATAGACGAGCCATATGTCGGAGTGTAAGGTGATGCGGGTGATGGTGTAGGTATGTAGGGCTGGAATGGTTGTGAATAGGTAGCGCTAGAATACGGTATCTGGCTTGCACTTGGCTGTATTGGCTGGTATGTTGTGACAGGATGACTAGCAGGCAACGGAGGGGGATGGGGAGGCATCCCATTTGCGTATGGTTGCATCGCGGACGCGGGTTGAGAAGGATGATAAGTGTCTGTAGTTGATGTAGAAGCTGGTGCACATTGTGATGATGCCATGCCATGAGGATAGTACGTAATTCCAGGTGCAATAGTCGTATATGGACTTGGACTAGGCATGTATGGAGTTGGTTGCGACATCGTCATCCCATATGGCGAAGTAGGATAACCCGAAGCAGCGCCATTCACCCCTGGTTGTTGGTATGGCACAGGAGAATATGGACTGCTGTAAGGACTGCTACTTGTCGAGGGAAACGGGGAAGACCAAGGTTGCCTTTGACCGTTCTTAGGGAATGAATATTTTCCTCGGTTGTGTTTCTGGAAGTTCCCTCCATTCACTGGCGTACCTTGAGCGAAGTCTCCAATCGGGGTCTGCTTCCTGCGTTTCCACCGTCTATCTGTCGACCCCGGCGTGAACGGACCATTTGTGTTCATTGAATCGTACTTCCGTTTCTGAGCACCGTTTCCAACACCTGGGACTGCTGAAGGCTGGGCATAATTGGGGAAGAGTGTACTAGGTTGAACCCCAATGAACTCAAATACCCCTTCGGAGACCGCCACTGCTACAACTGCGATCTTGGCGTCATTTCGAGTACGATATTCAGCAGGCACCGTATACGAGCGAGATCTGTCCGATCCCAAAGTGAGTGTAAGCGTACAGCCACAAGCTAATTCATGGGTTAGTCCATGAATGAAGCTAAGGGACACACAGCACATACCGTCGTCCTCTGTCACATATTCGAAGACAGGTTGCACTTCCGGTCGAAGTTTGCGGCATTCAGATATTAGAGTCGGCAAGTACAGACTGCTTACCACCTTCCTAACGGACAGTGGTAGACGATCTTCGACTTGCTTAGCAAGATCGCGAATGAAGTTACCCGCGCCTTCCGACATGGCCAGAAGGCAGACAGATGCCTTTGCCTCAGCGCGTTTCGCAAACCGTGAATCGACTAGATAAGATCTGCATTCTGCAGGGGAGGAGAGTCGCAAAAGGCATCCATGCACTAGCCATGAAAAAGGTATGTAAGTTCAAAGGTCGAAATAGAGAATGTAAGTTAGACATACGACCGTGCTTGTTCGGTTCTGTCCAAATGAAATTGGCTGAAAGCCTACTCCCCCGAGAGACTTGCAGCATCGAGTTAAGCCACGATGGTGCATTAATGTCACTCGCCGTCTTGTTCCCAGCATTTTCTGGTAACGGTTTAGGAAGAGTATCACAGTAAGCCTGCACAGTCCAAATAGCCTCATTTCGCAACATCGCCGGCACAGGTTCGCTGTTCAAGTTATTCAAATCAGGCTCAGCCTTCGGACCTTCGGTTCTCAGGTATTGCAAGACATAGTCCCGATACGCCTCTGCACACGCCACCTTGGCCCCTGCAGGATCACTATAGGTAGTGTCAACAGAATACACTCGCCAGGAGCGAGGTGAGAGTTGGATCCTGAGGACACAACCATACACTATGCGAGTGGCAATTAGCGTACGCGACAAGGAAGAAACAGCATGTATCACGCACGAGATGATTGTTTCGGGTCCTTCACAGTGAGCCAAAACGGACGGACTCTTGCATTTGTATGTTTGAGACAGAGGTCCTCAATTTCTTTTATCGACGGATGCTCGGGTTCGGCCATGTCTTTGTCGGGTACCATGGTGGCCACAACCGGTTGACTTTGTGGCTCCGAGAAAGACGTGTCACCGAGACCCAGAATAGAAGACGCAGCATGCGTTTGAATGGCTGACGTAGACCGCCCTGCATGATCATCTTCGATAACTTTATCATCAACAGACCCCAGTCCTAGGTAGTCTTCCAGAGAAAGAGCACCTATGGCCCGAAGGTTCTGCATGACCACATTGAAGACTAAAAGCCGGCGCTGTCTTTCTTCCGGAGAAAGACTAAGACTACCATCGACGTCGACGTCCATGGCCAGAATAACGCCGCACGCGAATGCACAAAACGGATAAGATGAACAGGAAGGCAATGTGCAGATGCAGACCCGGCGTCTTCAGAGTGAGGCAATAGCAAGGCCTGTTCGGAACGTGAACGAGGATCGATGCTAAACGCTACACGCTAAAAACGCAACGTGGAATGCCCTTTTGTCTGCTCGAAGACGAAAAGAGGGGGAGAGAAATGCTTAGGTTTGGGCGCGCTGGCACTAGGCTTTATGTAGATCGACTGAGACGTTTTTGCGATCTCCGTCGCCGCCCAGATGATCGTCTATGATCGTTGTGGCTGCACAAAAGACGGCAGGCAAATTCCGTCTCAGTCAAACGCACAAATTTAAAATTCCATCATTATCGGTGGCCAGGCGCATGGCAAACTCAATTAACGGTGCTTCAGGCAGCCAAAAAACGTCGGAAAAATAAAATATTAGCTATAAGGCGCTACAACAAGTCTCCCTTAGTTGAGTTGAGGTTATAACCGGTTACAAGCTCATTACGAGCAAATAATTGCTTGTGATTGCCGTTGCAATAGCTTACAACCTCGGTCACAAATGAGGTTGTAAGTTGTCATTATCTAAATCATAACTGCAGATAACTTTTTCCGACATTTAACACTCTAGTAAAACGATGCATATGCTATGTCCAAGCGGTCCAACGTAAAAGTACACAAGAAATCAAGATAAGACGTCTATATTACAACGAGAACCAACCGACCCAAAGTGCGATTGAAGGTAAAAATGGGCCAGATGCTCTACCAAAACCAAGGGAAATCATCGTCGTCATCATCATCGTCGTCGTCGTCGTCTCCATCCCCTGGAGGGGTAGGTTTAGGCTCTGGCTCAGGTACAGGCTCATCCTGTGATTTACAAGCCTTGGGAACGGCATAGTCCTATAATGAAACAGCATCTTAAGTATCTGGGGGAAATCAGAGCGATAACCAGCTTACGTCAGTGCGAACTCCTCCACCCCATGGCGTCCTGCCATCAACACGAGCATCAGGTCCAAGTCCACGGGAGGCGAAGCCAGTCCAGAGATCGCAGAAGTTCTCGCCACCAGTCAAAGCCTGGTCAGCTGCTATAATAGCGTCACGAGCGTCGAAGAACGAAGGTCGGCAGGGTTGGAGCTTCATGCCATTGATAACGAGTCTTAATGAAACCAATTAGTTTCTAATCATTGGGGGAAGTAAAGTAGTCCACGTACTGGAAGATCAAAGAGTTGCCGTGCTTGGGTACCAGAGGCTTCTTCTCACCAGACGAAGTATACTCCTGAGTACGGTAGAAGTCGCCTTCGGGAACGGTACCGTCCGCATCGGGAAGAGGCGGGTAAAGCGAGTCAATGAAACCGTGCTTCTGGATGAGGCGCTGCGAGACAACCCAGAGGATCTGAGCCCAAACTTCACCAATGGCGTGGACACCCCAGTAGCCAGGCTTATCGAGGGTCTTGTAGGTAGACGGATTGACGGTCTCATTCTGAACAAAGTATATTAGCATTTGACAATGCAGAAAAGATTAAAAACTTTACCAAGGAGTATACGTAGTTGCGGATACCAGTCTCTCGGTTTGCGGCCCAAGCACCCATGGCATAATCGGAGTAGTTCTTGTTGCTACGGACGGTGGTAGCCAGGAAGTCTATAACGCTTGTCAAATCTCGACCTGGGAAAACGATGAACGGGAGACATACCTCCCCAACCTTCACCCATACCACCGGATTCGCCCCAACCGAGACATCCAGAGTTAGCGGGACCACCAGTCAACCGGGTGCTCAGACCATGACTGTACTCGTGGATGACGATGCCAGCCTCGAGATCACCATCGCGGTAAGGATTGGCAGTGTTCCAAAGGTACATCCTGCAGCGACCATTCTGACCATCAGGCGGTGTCATGAAGTTGGCATTGTTGAATCCGCTGCCGTCCTGAGCGTTCATGATGACAGCATCACCCTCCTCACCACCGCGACCGAAGTTGTGTTGCTGGAAGTTGCCCGAAACTTCGTCGAAACCGTAACGGTAGTACAAATCGTGGATCATATTGCCAGTGTAGAACAACTGTGTGATGGTCGTGTTGATGTACTTCTTTGCCTCGTCCATAGAATCAGTTCGATTTGTCTCTTTCGGGTGATAGGTAAAGTTGAAGTTCAAGCTCTCGCCCGCGTCGGGTCGGTAGTTCGTTACCCAAGCATTCCTACCCTCCCAATTCTCATGGGCGAAAACATTGTTGCCCCAGGTATCGGTGGTGTTCCTAAACACCTTGCTGTGAGATGACGTTGTCGCCGGATCATTGTAGGTAGGTAACGAATGCCAGCCGATAGGACTAGCCAGATGGTCGAAGTTCTCCTTCTGGACTGAACGATTTCCGACGGATGGATCATTGACGCCCCACGCGAAGACATTGTAGGTTGCGGTCTTGGGTTCGGAAGGTTCGGTAGGAATCGGAGAGTCGGACGCCCAGTCAACAACGGAGACGATGCGATGAGGCTCCGTTACCGTAACGGCAGCCTCGTACCAGTTATCTTGCATCTCCACCTCAAACTACAAGCAAAGTGAGAGATATTCGAGGAAGCAAATTGATATAACACACCCTCCAAACAGCTTCAAGTGTGGTTGCGTGACCACTGGGCACTTGCACGAGCACCATCTTGGCCTTTACTGGGCTGACCGCATCGGGTACGTTGTCGATGATAAAAGCGGGTGTGACACTCTCGCCAGTGAGATCATGCACATAGCTGAACGTCATCTTGTTAAGATAATCTGATGGACGTTGCGCCATAGACTCTGCCAAACCCGAGTTGGGGGTGGCAGCGATCATGAACTGCAGAAGAGCCTGTCCAGCGAAAGCCTCCTCAGAGGAAGCGGAGAACTTGCCCTCAACCGACATCTTGTAAGGAGTATCGACGTGAGCACAGTTCCATTCACGCAACTCGAAGAGTGTTTCAAAGCCTTGCTGCTCACGATCGAGCACATCACGCATTGGTGTTTGCTCGCCGAAGAGCTGATGTTGAATACGATGGACGCGAGACTGCATCTCTGCGGCAAGTTGATTGCAGTATTCAGAGTGCACGTCCAGTCGTTCACTGGTGAGGCTAAAAGGGTCACCCAGGGGACCTCTGTGGAACTAGCGATCAGTTAGCATGTATACGTTTCAGCTGAATACAATAGCAAGCTTTCAGAATTTAAAGGGGTGATATGGAGAGGGCAATGCGAATGCCTATCAGTTACATGCACAACAATGATATGAAAATAGATAAGTCCCCAATGGAACAATTCGTCCGGGATATCATTGTAATAAATGAATGTGTGTGACTACTCACTGAGTCACCGTAAGATAGAATCACGCCATCTTTCACATTGACATTAATGTCACCATCGGCGATCTCTACGCCTTCCACAAACTGGCGGGCGAAAACGTGCGTGATGCCCGTGTTCTTGTCAGTGTAAGAGTCCTTACGAATGACGAAATGACTTCCAGCGTCGATGTCCTTGGTGATATCCAGGATGAACCTCCGTGCAACTTCAATGGGGTCCTCTCGGACTGCACCAAAGCTGTCAGTGGTGTAAAGAGGCGCAGTCCTGTAGGTGGCATGGGGATGAGCGGGACCAAAACCAAGTGTCTTACGACGACGGAGTTGGTTGCTGTCACTATGAGTATCGTGTGCGAGTGCAGCCGCAAGACCGGCGGCAGCGAGTGAAGCGACGAGTAAACGACGCATTGTAAAGGAGTGAAGATGTGGATGAAGAGAAAGGTGAGTCTCCCCGAGGATGAAGGGAAGACAGAGCAGGGGGAAAGCCAAGGATACGCGGCCGTCCTTAAGTACTCTCGCCTTATCTCGGCTGCGGCGGTGCTGGGGGGTAACTGCATGCCCCGAACATACCAATTATGGCAGCTTATGTCACCAGACGCCTTCGACTCCTCGCAGTCTCTTTGCTTTTCCTCCAAATTCCTCGCAGCATGTCTTCAGCATGTCCTTATTCTGGGGTGTCCTCATGATGATCGACACAGGATCCTGGCGTGCTGTGGACAAATCTCTGGAGATTAATTCCGGAGGACTATACAGGGCAGCGACAAATCCGAACATGAACGATGTTACAGCCCACCCGAGTTTGGTAATTGCCTATGAGGCAATCTGACCCCTCTTGCCTTTGTCTAGTCTCCGTAGCTGACCATATGCCAAATTAGGTAGGGATGACAATGACAGTCGATCCCTTATCTGCCAGCCTTTGTCGCAATCCACGCCCGTCATGCATAGGCGTCTTTTCTAACATCCATACAATGACTAGAATAAGATATACAAGTGCGTGTGCACTGCTGATCCCTCTTTCACGGTCAGAATAGTCCGTAGACCCTCCCCACGATCACGCAATGGATAATTCACTTCTTCATCCGGATGCTCCGCATGGAGAGAAGTGCGATCTCTGAACACCATATATACAGAAAGCATTGTTTCCGTCGCTAAGGCGTAGCTACGGAAGGGGTTCTCGGCTTCTACATGTTCACCGTTGTTTCTTCAACAGCACATCATTTCTAACGGAAGAGAACAAGGCAACGAGCAGAATTTATCCCAGTGCGTATTTCTCCAGATGACACCACCTCGCGTAAGGCCATCCATGTTTTCACGTCTTACACAATTATGTACTCCTCCGCAGCCGCTCCTCCAATTTTTTCATGCATATGGGTTACTTACTCCGTTTAAGCTCTTGCAGGACGCATTAATGAGATGATGGTTTCGCTCTTAGACCTCAAGGAGCGCCTTCTTGAACCTCGTGCCCACCATGTTTTCGCCTTTACGGGCTGGGTTATTAAACTCATCGCCCTTTTCAAAGTACGCTCGATATACCTGGCCGTCGCCTGCTTGTTTCGCAAACTCGTGAGTCTCTCCTGTTTGACACAGAATATAACTGTACTTGGGAGTTGTTCGCGCCTTCACTAGGTTTCTATTTGCCCCCACGATGAACCTGCGTCCTTCAAGTAGGCCACGCATTCCGCCTATATCAACCGAAGATTTGTTGGATGAGTGTCCCTGAACCTGCACGTTGCAAGACAATTACGTACTCCATCCGAAGCGTCTTCCGTTCAGTTTCCAACGCTAAAATATACATAAGCCTTAGTCGAAGCGACATTGGGCAAGTTCGAACACCTGCAAACCTACGGTTATGCTAGTTCCAAGAGACTTCAGTGGAGACAGAGTTGGTCGCACCGGTAATTAACCACTTCTCTGCAGGAAACTGACTTACAAATCTGTAGAATCCTTCCAGCCAGAAAATAATGACTATTCAATGAAGCCGCAAGAGACATTGTCTTCTACAACGAACAACTCGAATCGGCCAGGAGTGCTAATTTTCCCTCCGAGTGCGATTCTCCGCGGTGCAGAGCATCCTCCTGGAGTGTTCAGGGACTCTCGCCGCTTTGCGGTCTACGGGTTAGCTGTGACACCCTCGTGGCTTTCACGATATGAGGAGAAGAAGAAAGCCGACGGGGAAAACACTGAGAACCTCAATGTTTTCAAGTTCGTCAATTCCAAAGTAGGACTTGAACATCGTTGTTATAAAGCACATGAAGTTGATACCGGCAAGGTGTCTTGTATCGAGGAGTTTGATAGGCATTTGAGCCAAGATGAGTCATTTGTCTTCGATCCTTTTGTCTTCATTTCTGGGACGAATGACACGGAGGAGACCCACCCTTGCTCAAGCAATGAATCCCGCCGACGTTGAGAAAGTGAAAGAGGTCCTGGGCATATGGGACAAGGAGCTCTATTGGTTTACACCAAGCTTCGCCATGTACTGGTAACTGTTACATTCCGAAATCTATCCAGGTCTTGAAAGCGTACGTAATTTATTTGACGTGGGTTCTTGATTGATTATTGACATAAAGTATAGAATTACTTTCGGACTTGAATTTAGCCCTGTTGTGCAAGAGCTTCGTTCACACTCAGACTTGGCAGGATTGCCGAACTATCTTCCACTTCACTATTCTCGCACAAAGCATCTTCATAATGACATAAATACATCGATGTCTATGAAGTGTATGATTTGTATGCTTTGTAACCGCGATCGATGCTGCTAAGGTCCAATGACTCAATCCCATGATAGCCTTGTCCGGCGCTGATCGATAGATTTGACACTGCTGGAGTGATACTTAAACGCAGCCACGTTCAGCTCTCTGTCACTCCCAATTTCAAGAGGATGATCCTGTAGTTCTGAAAGTACTCAACTTTTAGAAGTTTCCTACTACGATGCCACCCAAAAGGGTGAAACGGAAGGACAAGATGGCTCACGACGCGATTCCAATCGCCGGCAAGTCTTGTATTGGTTGCTTATGGATTCATAGCTAACTGTCGCAATATAGAACCCCCTGCACAGATACCAGCCCTCGCAAAGCTACCCGCCGAACTGTTTGATGAGATTATCTCGTACCTTCGAGTTCTCCCGCTCAGTTTCTACTATGACACGTACTACGATAAGGCACGTGGTAACTTGCCGCATCCACAATTTCGCGAACGAACGGATGCTCTACGCGCGCTCTCTGCAACATGTAGAGCACTGAGAGACATATCATATCATCGTTTGTGGAGTCGGCTGGACATTTGCTGGGTTCCGTCAGAGGAGGCGGGGACTTGGTATAAGTATGTTATGCAAAGCCTTCAGACCAAGTCCAAAGGCGTAGTCAGCTCAAGTGACTATTTGAAGGAAAGCATACGGTGAGCCTTTTGTACCTGTTTGATCCGTCACATTATTTAATGTTGAGTAAGGACTATCACGTTGATGTTGTCCAAATCCGATGTCGCGCCAACCATGACCGCTCTCAGGGACCTTCTGGAGGCTCTCCCAAATCTTTCCACCATACAAGTCATTACATGCAGGATTCCAGGTGACTTTGGTAGAGCCACACAAGGCCTTTCGTGTCCCAACGTTCGAACCGTCGTTATTCCTACCGACTGCCACGCTGTCCTCAAAGCTTGCCCCAATACAATGCATGTTCGCTGCGCCGGAGGGTCAGGTGTTACCCTGATTGGCTCTTTGAAGTTCTCCAAATGCGAGACTCTAGATGGAATGATTAACTGGGTAAAGGATATGAAAACGGTTGATCGTAAGTTATCAATTCCTTTTGCAGGTCCTCTTTTATCCGGGATAACACCATCATCAGGATTGATCAAGAATGCTCCAAATCTTCGCAAGATTGAGATTCGGCGCCCAGTTTGCTTTGGGTTAGGAATCATGTCGCAGAACAAGGCCCCAGAACAGTGGTCTCTCGTGATCTCGAAACTTTCTGGACTCCCAAAGCTTCGAGTTATTGTTCTCAGCTTCCCCGGGTTGGAGGAGTTGCCATCGGACCTTGTATCCATCCAGAAAGCTCGAGAAGTGTTGCGGAAATCAAAATTGCAAGAGGAGAGAAAGCTGATCGTTAGACGTGTCATTGCTCAACACTACGCTTCACCCTCGGATAACAAGGATCATCAGGTCGGCGACATAGTACATCGCTATGAAGAGGAAATATTCTCCTAGGCGGCCTTGTTACGAAGCTATTTTGGACTGTGCTCAATGAAGCGAGACTCTTATTGTGCGACTTGTATTTTTCCCTGTATCTCAAGTCTGCGAACAGTGGTCAACTACTATGACTTCCAAATACGATTGTGCACTTGGATGATCGTCTTTGACGCCGCCTCCATCGTTTTTGTTTGTCGTCGAGTTATCACCACCGATGCCTTCAAATCTGAAGGAGCTCTATGACAATCAAGGTTATGTCGTTGTACCGTCCCTAGTATCAGAAACATTGTTCCGGGCACTGCAGGACGCTGCAGAGCGTGCTACCACCAAGACCCGCTCAGGCCAATGGGTACATAGACGTACAGTCGGCCGTCAGTTTCCTCCTTATGGCGAAGATAGCACAGATTCTTGGGGTATACAACATGTTATGCATCCTGACTTAGGCGAACCTGTGTTTGCGGAATGGTATACATCCGATGGCCTTGCCAACGTCGTGAAAGAGTTACTTCTGTGCGATGAGAATGATCTTCAGATGGGTGAGTGTCGTGAGGTTAGGTCGCTGATCCCATATATCATGCTCAGGGATCATATGGAAGAGCTGTTCAATATGTTGATCAACCCTGATTCGCATGAGTTTGCCTTACGATGGCATCGTGATGATATTCGGGAGAACGCAACTGAAGAGGAAGAACGTCAGGCACTGAATGTATGGCACGATGGCGTAAGTACCTTTTGTAGACATCTCACTTCTACTTGTACCGTCTAACATCGCCGCAGGTTCAATGGAATACGTGCGACCTTTGATCCCTAGGTCAATCGAACCAACGCTAATGTCAGGTCTCACTTCTATCAGGGCGTTGTACGAAGATGCCTGCTTGTTCGTGGTGCCAGGATCGCATAGGGTCCCTCGTACACCAGAACAACGTGTACATTCTTCGACTCCAGACCCTCCCAATAATCCTCTCGACCTGCCAGGCTCCATCCAGGTGACTCTTCAACGTACGTACCTGATTCGCCTGGTATCCTTGTCATTCAGTGATCACAATTGACTGAATAGCGGGGGAGACTGTGTTCTATAATTCCAACATTCTGCACTGTGCAACGTACGATCCCTCTGCTAAACGAGCTACCTTGCATGCTTCGATGGGTTCAACGCGCGGTGGATCTAGTCGAGCTCGGAATGTCTTGCAACATGGTTTGGACTGGATGACAGAATCACGCTTTAGGAAGGGTCTGAATGAACGTGGTAGGGACATGCTGGAAAGGTTGATTCGCATGAAGGAAAGCGCAGGGGAGGTTGGCTACTCGTTAGCCAACTAGCAAACGCACACTATTCCTGGAACTATTTATTCTGAAGGATATACCTCGATAGGGTCATATAAAGATACATCCTCTCCACGTTCACCACTCCGCTACCTGAAAACTTAGCTATCTTCAACCTTTCTTGATCTTGTTTTCGACTTGTTCACAATGCTATCGGTGCTGATGCTGATGCTGAGGACTGAGCGCTCATTCAACTTGACGTTTTTCACGTTGCCCATCATATACTACAGTACTTCCTCCTGAAGCTCTGTCACCGAGTCAATAGTATATACTCGACGCCCAGCTATGACCTTATGTTTGGCCTATAAATATGATCGGTGTCGACCTGTTGATCAACGAACTGGTCATGAAGGAGTATCTTTCATATTGCCAAAGGGAGCCGACGCGCCACGGCTTGAGGCTCTTGACTCCAATCTAGACCTATTTCTTGCTCACATTCGAACTATATCCTTTCAGCTCAATACTTTTGAACAGTATGCCGAAGGTTGCGCCATTTGGAACTTGGCAGTCGCCAATAACTGTCGACTCCCTAGTTGAAAGCGTACGGCTCACCTCCTATGACTTCATAGGATGATCGTCGCTGACCAGGGCAGGTTTTGATAGTCTGTCAAAGTCGATAATGTGATTGTGGACCCCATTACATCTACAGTTTATCATGTCGAGAAGCGACCTTCAGAAGGCGGGCGTAGTGTTTTGGTCAGAACTGAGGAAAGTGTGGACGTGATCGGCAAGGAGTTCAATTGTCGTACCGGTGTTCATGAGGTGAGTATCGTTATCTACAAACCATCATTGAGCCTTGAGCTTACGCTGAATGGTCAGTATGGCGGCGCTGCTGCTACCGTATGCGACGGCGTGATCTACTTCTCCAACTTCTCCGATGGCAGAGTGTACAAGCTGAAGGAAGGTGATAAACCTGAACCTATCACTCCTGGTTAGACTTCACAATCACCGTCCTACGCAAAGCCTTTGAACTAACCGAGGTCTGATATAGAAAGCAGTGTGTACCGCTTCGCCGACTTTGCGGTCTACCCGAGGCAAACCCGTTTGCTCATCGCCATCCTGGAAGACCATACCAAACCTGACCCCGCTGACGTTGTTAATACGCTATGCGTTATAGACACTGAAAGCAGAACCATTTCCCCCCTCGTGTCAGGGGCAGATTTCTACGCTGCTCCGACCTTCTCTCCTAATGGTAGTCATTTCGCCTGGCAGCAATGGTCGCACCCGGACATGCCATGGGATGGCGCGGAGATTCATGTTGCCACTGTGCTTTTCAAGGAGAATGGGGCCGGTCTCGCTTTAACAGGCATTACTCATGTCGCCGGGAAGCCTCTGGCGATCAGTGCAGCGGACCCAATCTGGATATCAAATGAAACCCTTCTATACACCAGCGACGAGTCTGGCTACCAGAATCCTTACGTCCACTCTGTCTCTTCTGCGAAGTCGTCTCCCGTTCTCAGCAATCCAATAACAGAAGACTTCAGTCTTCCCGCTTGGGCTCTTGGCGTTCGATATGGAGCAGCACTGGACAAAGCTGGCAATAAAGTCCTATTCACCGCTCTGCGAGATGGAAGAAGCCATCTATATGTTCTGACCTTACATTGCAACGTTTTGGAGGAGATTTCATGCCCCTATGTCAGTATCAGCAATGTCATCCGGGTCGCCGATGACAACGTAGTCTTTGTTGGTGCCAAGATCAATGAGCCTGCACAAATCGTCCTTTGCAGTCTCAGGGATTATTCTTTACCTCACTACTCTGCACTGAACTCGATCTCCTCGACATCCAAAGTTAGCCTCCCAGCAGGCCTGATTTCAAAGCCTCAGCCTATGGCTTTGCTGGTACCGCCGAATAACGATCCATTGCACGTTGTCTGCTATCCACCAACAAACCCTGAGTATGTAGGTCCGGAAGGAGAGCAGCCTCCATGTGTTGTACATGTCCATGGTGGGCCCACAGGTTTCCAAGATCAATCGCTCAATATGACTACTCAGTTTTTCACGTCCCGTGGCTGGGCATGGTAAGGCATTGCCTACCTGATATAGTTGTTGGATCAGCTAATGTTGGGTGGTCAAGGCTCAACGTCAACTACGGTGGTAGCAGCGGATACGGACGGAAGTACATGTAAGTCACGCCTATGCCGTCCATTGTCGTTACTGAGCAGTATGGTATATTGACAGCGACCGTCTCTACGGTCAATGGGGCGTTGTTGACGTACGAGACTGCGCACTTGCGGCCTCCACTCTATCCAAGCCACCGTATTCCCTCATTGACCCAGCTCGCACCGCGATCAGAGGTGGCTCCGCTGGGGGATTTACAGTCCTGGCAACTCTGTGTGCATATCCCGATACCTTCGCTGCTGGGACGTCGATGTATGGCATCTCCGACTTGAAGAAGCTGGACGACTTTACACATAAATTCGAGGCCAGGAATACGGAGAAACTTATGGGCGGATCGTCTTCTCAGATCCCGGAAGTCTACAAGGAGCGGTCTCCAATTAACAATGCAGACAGGATTAAGGCTCCGCTTTTGGTGAGTCTCAGTATTTGGGAAATATGTCGACGAACTTTGGAAATGCTTACTGTTGGGGTTAGATCGAGCAAGGTTCCGTGGACGCTGTGGTGCCGCCCGAACAGGCAGAAGACATTGTTAAAACTATCAAGTCGAAAGGTGGACATGTCGAATATGTTCTGTTTGAGGGAGAAGGCCACGGTTGGAGGAAAGCGGAGAACATCAAGGCTGCCCTCGCGAAGGAGCTTGCCTTTTACGAAGGCGTCTTCAAGTTGAAAGCGTAATTCTTTCTCTGGACGGCACTATTATTGCTGTACTTCTATGTAGTCATAAATACCATGTTGTGAACAGTACGTCTAACGAAAGTATATACTGGTTTTACTTTAGTTCTCGCCTTGAAAGTGTAATATTGCAAATGAGGATGATGTCACGCGGCCGTGGTGCCTACTCGGAGTAGTACAGTTGCAGCCACTTGCAACCGGGCCACGCTCATTTGAGCCAGACGGTCGCTTTACTTTCTCTCTTTCATCTTCCTCTATTCTTCACCGATCATAAAGTTCGCATGGCCTCCCAAGATAAAGCATCGCCAGTCAATGTCAAGTTGCTCTTGATAGGAAATTCTTCCGTCGGAAAGAGCAGCCTTCTGCTCAGATTCTCAGATGAACAATGGTTACCAGAAGATGAATCGAGTGCTACGATTGGAGTGGACTTCCGGGTATGCTCGGCTTCGTAGGCTGAGCTATGAGAAATCTAAGCCTTTGGTAACCACCTAGGTACATAAGATGGAGGTGAAGGGCAAGAAGGTGAAATTGAGCATATGGGTGCGTTCTTCATACACTCCACTATTGCTATTCTGTATTCATCGAATCTTCTTGGAATGTTTGGTTTAGGACACAGCAGGACAGGAACGTTTTCGAACCATTACATCGTCATATTATCGTGGTGCGCAGGGTATCATCCTTGTTTACGACGTTGCGAACAGGGAGTCGTTCGAGGCGCTACCAAGATGGTATTCAGAGTTGGAAACATATGTTTCACCGTCAGTTGTGAAAATCATTGTGGGCAACAAGGTGGACAAGGTATGCCACATCCAAATATCTTTCATGTGCGCATTGTCTGAATCCCTAACTGCAGGAGTTCTCCCGTCAAGTGTCCTATGCTGAAGGCCAGAACTTCGCCAAACGCATGAACTCGCTATTTATAGAAGCCTCAGCCAAGACAGCTGTCGGTGTGAAGGAAGCATTCGAGGAAGTCGTCGCAAAGATAATTGATACCCCAGAGTTATGGGCACCAGTGGGCTCTTCGAAGAAGAGTAAGAATACTCAGGTAAATCGGACAGCGGGTGCTGGAGCACAAACATCTCGCATGCCCGGGACGATCAATCTTGGTGAAGGTCAAGAAGATGAGGCGTATGGTGGTGGGTGCAGCTGTTGAGCTGAGAAGCCTTCGATATTCTCTTTCACAACTGTCATGATTGTGATGACCCGTTTATGACCCTTTACATCTATCTTATATACCCCTTAGTCCATTCCCCTACTTTGCAGTTCAGTGTACTTTAGAGGCTCTGGCGTTGATGATTTCATATTATGTCATCTTAACCAGGATGCGGGCACGACTAGACATGCATATATCGATACCCCAATAGATACATCAAGTGCACTATGTCCGTTTGTTAACCTCCTGACCTAGGGCCTCGACATATTGCTGCAAAAGCCCAGTCAATTTGCTCCGAGTCCTATCGGTCTCTTCAGTTAACGAAACTGGAGGATCTTCGGGCTCCACTACGGCTTCGCTTAACCATCCTTCCTTAGTCGATTTTGCAAGCTTCTCGTCAGGAGTGCTGAACTGCGGCTTGTTGTGCCTGTAAGGTAGGCTAGATTTATATCTCTTGAGAGTAGCTTTCACGTTGTCGTCGTCTATGGGTTTCCCAAACGTGATGCTCAAGTTGGCGCCGCGTCGAGGGAAGAACTTATACGGTGAAGGTCGGTCCTCTGGCATGAGTTTGTCGAATCCTTGATTTGAAAGCGTGAATTGTCAAGAAGAATTGAGACCTGAACGTGAAAGTATACCTGATAGCCACATCGGTATAATGACTGGAGGCTTTACTGCTTCCATTACAATTCTTCCACTGCAATAAAATGGTAAAATAATTACGTATTGAAGAGCAAATCTGAGAGTTTTACTTACACGCCCCATTTGAACCGTAGCAGCTTATGCGGAAGGATATTACTCTCATGTTTGTCCACGTTCGGTTGGTTCACCTTGCCTTCACCGAATAGGTGTATCTAAAGTCATTTTCATAAATGAATACCTCTCAAAAGAAGAAAAGAAAACGAGACATGCCCATGCCCCCTCGTTGAGCTTGTCGATTGCGAAGTCAACAGCAGGCTGGAAGATACCAGCTCCGCGAAAGGTTTCTATGACTTGACCATTTCGAAAGAAGGTAGACAAGACCCTAGCTAGCAGTAGTTCACTCGTAAGAACTAAAGCAGGCCGTCGTATGTCGTAACTCACGGATTCGTGAACATCATGTCCGATGCGCCGAGCACCCAGCGCGTCGTCCTAGTATTGAAGAAGTAGTGCGTCGGAAGTATACCCCATGTTACTGGATCATCTAAACTATCGGGAAGATTAGCGAAAGTCAGCCCCTGGGTTCAAGTCACGAAGAACCGAGTCCATACGTGGAAATATGATTCGAAACTAGAACCAGTATGTTCAATGAGCCGCGGTTAATCATGCTTAAACCAGGACGCGTACGAGTGATGACTCCACGTCTAGCGTCCCTCTCTTTACTATTCAAGGCATTCACAAGGTTCTCCAAGCCAAACACAGTAACGGAAGAACAGTAACCGATGTTGAGGAAGGTCTTGCACGTAATCCCAATCGTGCCAACGGTCAACTTTGAAAGTAGACTAGACATAGCTGCAGCAATGAAGGCTCGTTATAACGATAAATAAGCCAGACGTTTCGGAGCGAAATACGCGTTAATTGGCAGTGATACCATGTACATGTACAAGGTCAAGTTAGTTTGGCATTAGAATTCGCTTTCGCAAGTCCTGCGGTTCGTGAGGTGGTGACCGACGCCAGGCAAACGCCGAACAACTCAGAAAGGCAGGTCTAAATCTTCAAAACCATGGATATTCGACGTTCCGAACGCTTATTTAATATAGTACAAGTACAAGTTATAAGTTGGGGACATCGTCCATGCGGCAATTCCATTTCGTCATATGCTGAATATGTGATAGCATTCTCCGTCCTTTTATTGGCGTTAACATGATTTACATGAGCTAGGAGAAACAAGTACTACTTACATCGTTTAAGAGAATAACTGAATCTTCAGTAACCATAGCCGCTTCATATGAGCTATCCCCAGAATGGATGTGCAAAGGCATTGTCTGAAGCCGGTATGGTAAGGAAGTTGTTACAGGGCGGTCCAGCAAGGTTGGCTGGTCAAGTGTCGTTTCTTCCAAAATGATTTTCATTCGTTTCGGGTCTTCTTTTACTGAGTGATCTTTGGAGGTTTCTTCGATCAAGGCCCTTCGCAATGCCGTTTAATTGAAGTCGGCGACAAATAGAACCTTTCGGGCTCAGTATGACTGGACAAATAAACAAATCTCGTCCTGTAAACGTTGCGAAACCATACGGGTGATTGTCCTTCAAACAAAGAGAAAGCTCTGGTTGCTCTCGGGCCCCACGTATCCCACAATATCTGGTGTTTTTGCCCAACGTTTGCGATATTGTAGAAGTAGGGTAGCAGCTTCTCCACAGAAATAACGAAGGTAAGTTGATTGTTGAGGGTGACGACGATCAATGACTGGCACGCTGCTGCGTGAAACGGGATAGCGAGTCTGTCATCCGGTGACCAGGAGTATGCGGGATCGGTGCGTATGTCGGCAACGTATATGTGTCTGCCAATTCTCAGTGCAGGTAAATGGAAACTACAAGTATAATCAAGGTCCTCCACGCTTGTTTCGCTCGGATTGGCCGATCTCATGTCAAGGATTAATAACTCCACCTCCGGCTCCGCCCATGGTCGAATGAGCATTATGATGTGATGGTCGGTACAAAAGGCGTATGAAAAGACATCACCAACCACTTCCTGAATTCATAGGTATTAATTTAGTCTGTATGAACCCATAATTGATCCACAACATTCACCAATAAGAGCCCACCAGTCTTCCAATTCCAGACACAGAATATTGTACTTCCATCCCCAGGAAAAACAGAGAAGAGAATCGCGACGTATTTGGAATAAACACGAGTGCGAAACCTCCAAGGGATTATTTGCCGTTCATACAAAATTTGAGCATTGGTAGCCAGCGGGTGGTTCTCGCCTGTATTCAGAGTACGCAGGTGTAGATAGAATTGGGTAGGCAGTCTGCATCATGATTGAAGTATGGGCGATTTGTCGTACAATGCATATGAATGTATGCCACCTACCAGGCATGTTACGAGGCTCCAGGAGCGCAACCAGATTCTGCGCCACATCTGTGGAGAAATCACAGAGTGGAATGTGAAGATTATCAAGTGTCCATGTACGTTCATTAATTCCACGCAATTTGGAAGGAAGCTGCTTGATGACAAGCGTCGTGTTTTCAGATCGTGTCTCCGCCAAGACGTTTCCATACAATTCCCAAAGATTGCCAGATTCCCTGTCCATAGTCCGAATTTCGCTGAATCGGAGTTGGTCCCAAGCCTCCATGTATTTGACCAAAATCCGCAGGCGATCTCGCACAGCCAAGGGATTCGTAGCAGGACCATCCTCCGTTCCAGCGAGGTTAAGTTGTACTTTGTACTGCAGAGCTGTTTCGTCCTGTACGAGTGCATTCAAACTCTTGCACACCTGTTTAACGCAGTGTCAGCATGCTTCAGCATGAACCTCCCAGCTAGAACATTCAATCATACCTGTTTGCATCTCAGCAATTCCTTGATGGCCAATGAATCCAAGATCAGAATGAGGAGTTCAGGGGGAAGTTCACTGAACCCCATACTGTTTTCTCGCTGATATCGTGTGGCTATCGTGCGTAGGTGTTAAGTGGGCTTTAAGGTAAGGTGTGCGCCTTTCTAAAGATATCATGCAAGGGGAATGCCGGCAGACTGAGAAAGGCAAGTAAGAACAAACGACACCTGCCACTACTGCGGTCAGATGTTAAACCCAGAGGATACCCTCATGAGTCTTTGCGGTTGTCCCCCATATTCGCATACCAAGTCTCCACAATCCCTGTACCTCCACTCCAAGAAGACATATAAAAAATCCCGCACCTTCCGTCTTGATGCTCCCCAGATAGATCCGATAGCTTTTGGCAGCTCCGCGGTGCATTCCGGACAGACTGAAAAATGGATTCGCTTGGGTTGGACAGGGACAATGGGGTAGGCTTCCACGTGCCAAACATTGATGCACCTTCAACATTGATGTTGAGGTGCTAAAAAGAATGAAGCGAGGCTGGCGTTGTATGGGTTTCAGAGTCGCAGGACTTAGCCGCAGTAGATGACGAGAACACGGTAGGGATGTCATGTAGCCTGTAACAAATCAGGGATTGTGAGAAGAAAGATAAATTGGTGGTATCAACAACGAAAGAGCGTCTGATATATACTGTGTAGTCCTAGAAGAGACCAAATGCGATTATTACACCAGATAAATACAGACCATGAAACAACACACATGCCTATGTACGAGAAACGACTGTCAACGGTCACCGTATATCCGCAAAAGCAACCTTCACCCTACTTTGGAATTCTCCAAAGTCTTGATGTCCACCTATTAGACCTCCCTCTCCGCCCGTGTTGGTGTGGGCGGCAGCCTAAATGAACCACCTATTGGACTCCACCCATCTTCCGCTCTCTCTTCTGCTCTGATCAGACTCGCGATGCTAGCCGTATGTCGATGACTTTTCTTTCCAGGCTGGGCAGCACCACCTGCACTAGACTTCATCAGAGGTGCCGCCGAAGCAGGTCCGTTAGGCACCACGGGTGAGCGGTACGTGATATCAAACTCTTCCTCATCGGATTCCCTATCTGAAAGGTCCTCAAGATCGTAATCCGCAGCATCCCTCATGATAGCTCCGTTTCCACTCCGACTGCCACGAGCACGGGGTCCGGGCTCGTCCAAATCGTAAATTTCGTATTTGGAACGTCCGGTACCAAGTACGCCATGGCTGAAGTTTGGAGGATAAGTGAGCGCTATGGACCCTCGCAATTCGTCGGGAAGCATGACGTGAAAGAAGAACACGGCAAGGCACGAACCACCAACGACGTCGATGAGGTAGTGGTGGGTGAGGTACATGGTTGCCCAATATAAAACTCCCGCGTACGCCCAAATGTACTTCGTGGTGTGTGGGAAGAAATGGGAGAGGAAGAGAGCTTCAATTGTAGCATTCGCAGAATGCAATGATGGGAACGCGCCGAATACGACCGGCGAGTTGGAGAAGGTGACGGTATATCCATTTGAATGGAAGAGCCTGTCAATCCGGGCGAGGCCGGCTGCAGAGCCCTTGACGGAATAGCTGGCAGGAGTAAGTCCGTAGATGACTTCGTACCATGGGGGTGCGCAAGGGAGGAGGATCTGGACAAGAACGCCAACGAGGTTGAGATATCCGAATATACGTGCCCACTGATGCAAGACTTGTTTGGGGCGGAACAGCCAGAAGAATGCGGCTACGACGAACGGCATTGTGAAGTGAACAACGCCATATGGGATCCAAGCCAAAATGTCAAGTAGAGGATGTGTCCACCTTGTGAGGATATCAGATATATTTGCTCCATACAATACCGACTCCAATGTCGGGAGCAATACGACACTTGGAATTGGTCGATACTCGTCTGGAATGAAACGTGAACTGTAGAACGTGAGGAGCCATGCGAAAACAGGTGTCGCCGGGACAAAGAATTGTGATGTGAATGGTATGAGGACGGCGACACTGTAGAGTGTGGGTATCATGAGCTTCAGCGGGAAGCCGGGGACTTGCATTATTGTGATCCAGAAGGAGGCAAGGGCCAAGTGGGCTATATAAATAGAGTCATAGAGAGTGAACGTATGTTGTGAAAGTCGATGAAGAGTGTCGCTTGGTGCAAATGACTTGTCCAGTCTTGCGACCCCGGCTAGAAGCGCAGCCCAAACGACCTTGAGAGTTCGTGAAACGGCTTGTGGGAATGCCATAACGTCTCAACACGACTAAGAACAGCCCTCCTGACTATGCGATACAGACTGAGATTTCTGAAGGGCCGTTAAGTCTGTTATTCCTACCCTTGTCGTGAGTTTACTTAGGTAGGAGAGAGGAGAGTCAACATGCGTACTCCGGTTATGTCTTCCACCGCAGTACTATTATCCTCCCGACTCGTCCTTAATAGGTTTCCGGTCACAACTGACCCAACGGCCGTAACGAACGATCAGGGTGAAGAGGATGGAGAAAGTTGAGAAGGAAAGAGGTGAGCAACAACTTTGACGGAAACGTCGCAGCATAGGCGCCGGCATAGATCCCGAGGTGGACGTAAGCAACGGTGACCAAACCTCTTGGAACTGTGCCATATCCTCCTTCCCGTTCTAAATCGTGTTTCAGACCTCATATTCTGAAGCATGACGAGCCACCGAAGTGTTGCTGACATACGTTAACACAGTACCTTTCAGCAAATAGGTCCCTGATTCTGTATGTCGAAACTCAGAACCTTGAACCTATACCATCACCATCCGGAGGTGTGGACGGTACTCTTCAGTCTTGTGTAGTGGCTATGAAGTTATCCGTCTCCGTAGGGCTATTGCAAGACCTTCGATTTGCAATATCCATTGCTCTGCTACCGACTCTACGCACCGTTCTACACAGTCCGTTGCTTCTTTTTCGCCCTCATGCGCTTTCACGCAAATTCATGTCTCATGTTTGGGCACAATACGGGAACGGCATAGATGGAAACACGCAAGGCATAAAAGAGTCACTCATTAAGCCAAACGTGCGCGGTGTTGTCTTCGATATTGGTGCAGGTAACCTTGGCTCCCTTTCATGAAGCAAATTCATCTGACGCACTCACAGGTCATAGTCATACAGTAAAATACCTCCCCGCAGACAAGGTCACCAAATATGTTGCACTTGAACCCAATACATTGATGCACGATGAGATTCGCAAACTTGCATCAGAATACGGTTTCACGGAAGATTCTGGCAAACTCTCGATCATTCTTTATTGCGCAGGAGATATTAACCTCATCATCTCAGCCTTAGGCGGGGAACACTCCGTTGACACTCTAATCTCCATTCTCTCCCTCTGCTCCATTCCCTCTGCAGAGTCAGTGATCCAAGCGCTCGTCGATCATGTGCTCAAGCCAGGCGGTCAGTTCTTGTTTTACGAGCACGTCCGACATCCGAGGGAAGACATAGCCTGGTGGCAATGGTTTTGGACACCAGTATGGAAGAGAGCTTTTGATGGATGTTGCCTTGACCGTCCTACACATCTTTGGATTGATGCCATGCCGGTGTGGGAGTCGAAAGAGCTGGACACGCAAGATGAGGAGCCTGAAGAACACCTCTTTCCTCATCGGATTGGGAGGTATGTAAAACGTGTTCAGCCGGCGAATGGAGAGGTGACACAATGATCGAAACTAAGTGGGTAAATTATGTTTGCGAGGTATCTACAAGTCCAAGGTGTATGTATGTATGAGCGATATCTACGATACCTAGATGCAATGATGAGATGAGGCCACAAACCAAGAAATTACAACCGATACAATGTGGGTGTACATGGCAGAGAAAAGAAGAGGAATGGTCGAGCTTAAGTGAAGAGCTTTCCGAGTACCCGGAAGGCTGCCGCTCCCCCTTCGGCAGCGGCCTCACCTCCTTCGCCTTCACCGCCAGAAGCAATGAACTGGGCCACGCTTTCGTGGCAGGCTAGCATGATGTTTTGTTCAGGTTGACCAGCGTAGAACCATGCAACAATAGACTGGAGAGGTTCGAATGAGATTGACACGACTGAAACACGATGAGAAGCCTTACAATCATGAAATAGAAGGAAACCATGATTAAACCCTAAACGACGCAAGTATGTCAATCTTTCGCTGTGACGAGATTGTACCAACATGCATACCTCGATCCAGTTCGTCTTTGAATCCGCGGTCACATAATTAACCAAAAAGCAGGATCCAAGGAGGAGAGCCAGCTCGAAGTAATCTATGACATGGCACATCAAGCACATGTCCTATATGAATGGGGAACCACAAACACGCACCGAACATCAAGTGCAGCGGCTTGTTGATCCACCAGGCGAGCAGAACGAGAAAAGGCATCCAGAAGAGGGTGAATTGAATACTCAAGTCAATAGCCCGTCCTTTGGCGAGTTGAGATGGGACCATAGTCTTGCGTCCAATGAAATGGTTGATCAAAGAACGACAGAAATAGACAATGGCCACAGTGCCGTCGGCGGAGAAAGAGACGATAGGCAACAGAATGAGACCAAACCACCTATATTTTTACTCAGTCGTGGCGAGTGTGAAGCAAAGAAAACATGACTGACTCGTCTTCGATACCACCTTCCTCTCGCACAAATTCAATACTCTCCACAAGCTTATACATGGATTGTGTCGGTTCAGAACCACCAATGATAAAAGAGAATTACATACCCATTCAGCAGTAGCAGCCATGATAGCGACAGTAACCGCGAGCATCAGAATACAAGCCCAAGGACCGATCTCAGGTTCGATTTGGGTCAAATGATGTTCTTCTTGCTTCAACTCGAGTGGAGCATTCGGCGCAACTTTCAGAGCATTATCTTCGCCCGGAGGATTCGCTAAGAAAAAGCGGGAGGCAATATACCTATTTATGAATTGATAAGTACAGCTCTGCGGAGGAGCTCTTCTCAGTTGAAGGGACCTACACCACGAGCAGAACAACAGCGAGACCTCGGCTCATACGCAAGAGCTGGTCTCGGGTTTCATCGGTAAGGAGAGGACCTGCAAAAAGTGTATCACCTGCGGCGGAGATACCAAATGCGCCGCGATCCAGCGCCGCAAAGAAAGCTGTGGGAAGCATGATTGTCAAAACGCTGCATAAAACAGGGAATAGTTCAAGGTTTAGTACGAAGTGTGACGTTGGAAACAAGCTGCCCACCCAATTGTCAGCAAAGAATGATTGAGCTGCGTTGGGTGAGGGTGCAAATTTTGTTCCCAGACTTGAGCACCGCCAGTCAAGAAGGCCGTTCCAGGTATGAGCAGTAGGTGGAGGATCACGACGCCTGTATAATCGGTGTATGGGTTAGACTCGGAATTAACTGTGTGCATGCGAATTGTTGGACTGCCCGGGCTCGAAACGTACCAATGATAGTTGACTGGAGGATCCGGAGTCTGAGCGCGTTAGTCCAGAGGAAATCGCACAAAGGAACCGAGGGACTTACTCGCAATGTGCTAACAAGATAATGGCTAATGTCGCTTCCACAGCACTAGGAATAGGAAGACGTAGTTGAAATATTACTCAATGGCCGTCGAAGCATAACATACTTATTGAGGGAGATGATCACCAGGTCACCCAAGTCTTTGCCCAAGTAGAGTGCCATTTGCTCGCCGCCCCAGTCGAAGAGTTTCTCGAGCGGGATAATGGCGAGGAAACATACTGATCGAACTCATGGCCACTGTCGGAACACATATGAAAACAAGAACTTACGCGCGAAAGTAGCTCGGTCACTGAATGTCTGCGGCAAGAAGTGTGCGACCCAGGCGATGGGGAAACATACAAACAATAAGTTCAAGTCTGTAATGTCGCATAAGCGTATGCAGTTGGAGGCTGTGTATGATATCGAGATGGCGAAGATGGAATAACCTACAAGAAGAAGTGACGATATTCTTTCCACTTTCCAGCCAACCTGGCACTCTCGTCCGATCCTTCCCACTCAACCGATGCCAGAATACCTTCTGCCGACCCATGTACCGTTGGAATACAGGCAGCACAAAGGATGTTCCCATGTTGTTCAGGGTAGAATCATGGCCATTTGAGTGTACGGTGTCACTACAGGTTCTGCAGGTTGTCATCGACGTCACAATCCCCAACGGCAACCGTAACGTACCCAAGTTCGGCGTCGGTCATGGAAGCTTTGCGATTCTGCTTCTCCACGCCAACGCTGTTGCTAGTTGGCATCATGCAGACGAAAGCGAAAGAAAGGTGAAAGAGAGAAAGAAAGAAGGAAACTTGCCAAGTGGCCTGTCGCAAAACGACTGATGTGTATTGACTGCCGCCGTAGAAGTCGCCAAGAACACGCTGTGTGGGGTCAGTACTTATTAGTAGGGGCCGGGACCTGGAGTGTCTCTTTCACATTCTGAACCCCAGCGCACGAGTTTAACTTATCATCTCCGGGGTATCGATCGATATCATTGGAAACGGCGGGCGATGCATGGTGGACTCCAAATAAAGGGCGCAGCGCCCAACCGTGGTGGCTGTTGCGCGTAAGTTCTTCACTCTCTCTTTCCTGTTTCCGGCAGACATGGACGATGACAGGATCTCGCACGTACCGATAGAACTTCTTATCCAAATCTTCTGCGCGCTCACTTACAAGGAAATACTCACATGCAGACTGGTGGGGTTCTCGGTTTTAAAACATTATACAATCTAGTGACTCCCTAAAATACAGGCATGCAAATTCTTTGATACGGTCATACGGAACGATGCTCGTCTCCAGTACAAGATACAGCTGGGCCTGAATGGGCAGCAAGACGGGCCTTCGACCAACTGTCTGAACGTGCATGATCGTCTACTCATCCTGAATGAATACCAGGCTGCTTGGGACCAGTTGCGCTTCGATCCTATGATGATTGTGGACATGGAGTCTGATCGCATTTGGGAAATACGCGGAAACGTACTATCACAGGCGAGTGAGGAATCGCTGGTCTTTGTGCAACTTCCCTCGCGCGTACGTAACATCGATGAACGAAGATGGTCGTTGAACCGTGTTCATATACCTCTTCGTGACTATGCTTTCGATCCGGCCCAGGATCTGCTCATTCTTGTGGAGAGCCACGGTGACGTGCAGTACGCGCCTCTAAACTATCGTTTCCTTAATTTTTTTTTTAATTGGCCAGCTTCAGAGATTACGAGCATCACATACATCTGCGCACGTTGAGCACAGGCGATGCCCATCCTTCGGCTACCATCACTAAGATAGTCTGTTCGCGACTGGTTTACCCCATTAGCTATGAGATACGTATCTCCTCAGAGTATCTTGCCGTTGGCTTTTATACAGGTGCAATGAATCCTGATAACTTACTCTGCATCTGGAATTGGAAGACGGGCGAGCGACAGATGGTAAGGGTGACCGTTTACATGCTCTACGTTCATTCATGTCATTTTCAGGAACTCCCTGGGGCAATTCTGGCATACGCCTTCCTGACCAAGCACCATATCATACTCATTCGGAAACAGGCCGATGCTGAACTTCTCATTCTTGACCTGAGAAGCATCTCACCGTGTCTGGAGTCTCCAGTGGACGAAGTGGAATGTATTTGCACTTTCCGCTTTCCTACTCTCAAACAAGACAAGTCTATTGACTATGCTGACATTCGATCGGAGCCCACCTTTGACTGGTCCCCCGATCCTGCTCTTGCTGTACCCTTCCATGTTTCATCCGAACAAAGACTTTTCGTTGTCACCATGCGGACCCAGGATTTTGAAAGCTCAATCACCTTCCTGATTCCACGTGATACCCTGTTACGCCACTTCCACGACGTGCCAGACCTTCCCCCGAAACACCGGGTGGAATGGAACGAGTGGGGACCGAAAGGCGCTAGGGCTATGCGCACTCCCTCGGGTCATTCCTCTAGCTGGCTCCGCAATGTATACGGCATGAGATTCGTCTTTATGGAGGAGGGCGACAATTCCTCCGTCCTCGTAGCTGATTTCAATCAGGCAGCTTTTCGAAAGGCGTTGTTCAACGAGGAAACTATGTCTGCCTCATCCTACTCGTCTGAACACCCTCAACGTATGAAACTCATGATAGAAGCAACTACATTGGATGGATCTTGGTCCATGTTTGTAAATCCGGTCATCACTTCGTTGCCGTTTCGCTATGCCAATGTGCCTTTGCCTCCTGATGACGAAATAGGGTATGAAGCAGCGATGGTTAGCGAAGATTCGATCATTGTTGTGGACTTTGTGGGTGCCAGGCCTTTTTTGCCGTCGGGGTGTGGCTAACGAGCTGATAGGACATGACGGAGAAGACAAGATACTACGTTCTGAGCATTTGAATCCTGCTCGTCAAAAAAGCTGGTTTCTCGTTCTGATTATCACTCCTTCGCGCCTTACACTCTTAACTTACAAGATATGCTTTCCCCCACGGACCCGAACCAACGCCGGATATTCTCGATAGCATCAGTCCTCGGGATTTGACAGCGTATAACGATTCTAGCATATGCACCTTGTATATGTAGACTCTGCATGCATTTGCGTCAAAAGTGTCTTCCATTTCACGCCTGAATATGAGACTCGATCAGGTTAGTACGGCGAAGGCAGGACAGGGACTATTACTCCACGCCACTCTGAGATATGCATCAACCACCATCCCCCAGTGGGCTGCAGGCGTCGTTCGAGCTTGCACACATAGTGTTTTCTTGCCAAGTGCTCTCTTACGATTCCGCCCTGTCGATGGCGGGGAAATCCCTGTCGGTTCACGTACTTATTACGGCAACTCAAATTTGTCTTCGATACGCTTTACACCATTCAAAATGCTTCGATGACAAAGGTAATTTGGTACACCGGAACTCGACATATGCATTGCCCCTTGACAGCCTCTATACTCTGCTAGGTAGGATGTAGGTAGGATGGTGTCCGAAAGTTTATCCGAATTCTAGAACACGATTTTATCGTTAATCACTTTACCGGCGCATCGTCAGAAGTGAAAAGCGATGCATGGTGGATATGCAGGTTTTTTTTGAGATAGCCGAAGGAATCGATCGATTGCCAGTGCTGGTGATCTGCAGCACCGACTCGAGGCAGACATGTCTTTTCTTGACCTCTTCCTCCGGGTTGATTGTTACCAGTTATCATGATGTCGAACGATGAAAAGGATTCACTTCAATTTATGGACCTACCGACTGAGTTGCTCCTCCAAATCCTCGGTCAACTCAGCTACAAAGATATCCTCCGTTGCAGGCAGGTGAGTGGGATGTACGCACGTCCCGTCCAAGCGGAATGCACTCATACGATCGACTAGTCATGCAAACATTTGGATACAATTACACGGACAGATGCAAATATCTTGTATAAGATACAGCTTGGCCTAAATGGACTGCAAGATGGACCTTCGACTAGCCTGAAGGTACATGACCGCCTACGCATCCTTGCGGAGTATCAGGCTGGTTGGGATGATCTCCGTTTCGGTCCCATGAGAATTGTGGCCATGAGTACCCACGGAGTTTGGGAATTAGTTCGAAACGTCCTAGCTCAAAGAAACCGCAATTCACTGGTTTTCGTACAACTTCCATCGGCTGTACGTGGAATCGATGAACGGTTATGGACCTTGGATAGTATTCAGCGTGATATTCGAGATTTCGCGATGGATCCAACCCAGAATCTGCTCTGCATATTGGAAACTAGGTGGGCACATTGCTTCCCCCATCACAGCTAATGTCTCCTGAAAAGCCGAATATAGCCAAACTGAGGTTCACATCCACCTGCGTACATTGAATGCAGGCGATGCCCATCCATTGGCTTCCAATGCTCGGATATCCTACGTGCAGGAAATTAGTTACTGGTCCTACAGCATACGTATTTGTTCGGGATATCTCGCTATTTTATTTCCCGCCAGCCCAGTGAGTAACCTCTGTGTGTGGAACTGGACGTCCGGCAGACTTCATCTGGTGAGCACTGGCATAGTCATCTATGCCAATAAAGCATGGTTAACCTCCTTCTCAGGAAATTTCTGGCCAGATATTGGCGTACTCCTTCTTGACCGACCATCACATCGTGCTCATTCGGAGACACAGCGCTGCTGAACTCCTAGTAATTGACCTCAGATCGGTTTCACCAAAAGGGACTCCAGTGGATGAAGTCGATTACATATGCAGTTTCCGGTTTCCTGCTCTCAAACCGGACGCGACCGTCGATTACGGTGAGATCCGATCTGACCCTCCTTTTTCTTTTTCTACAGAACACGGTCCCGCTACCCCATTCCATCTAGCATCCGGCGAGAGGCTCTTTGCCGTCTTCATGCGTGGCAGCGATTCGTCCTCAGTCTACGGCTCGCCCATGTTTCTCATCCCTCTAGACTCGTTATTACCACACTTCTACAGAATCCCAAATCTTGCTCCGAAACTCCAAGTGGAATGGGACAAATGGGGTCCGAAAGGCACTAGGGCTATTCCCGTCTCCTTGAGGCATTCCCCCGTTTGGATCCGTAACGTGTATGGAATGAGATTCGTTGATCTCGTGACCGAGACGGGAGGAGATCCATACGTGTTTGTAGCCGATTTCAATCAGGCGGCCTTTCGGAAGGCTTCAATGAATGAGGAGTATGTGACTGGGGCGAGAACGATGAAGCTGGTGTACGAAGACAGTACATTGGGTTGGCCTTCGCAAATGTTTGCAGATCCTGTCACCACTTCGCTACCATATCGCTGGGGAAAGGTGCATTTACCCCGGAATTACGAATCTGACAACGTCGACTATGACGGGGCAATGGTCAGCGAAGATGCAATTGTTGTTGTAGATTGTGTGAGTACGTTTCCTGTTCGCGACGAATGCTAATGAAATGATAGTCTCAGTTCGATAAAACGAAATATTGTATTCTGAGTATCTGCTCGGCGCTCGACATCCAACACATTGTCATTCATCAGGATTAATATCACGCTCTTCGCTGTTAACGTCGTGGTATACATCTTTTACGGATCTTTTTCAATTATGTGTTTTGGTCACATCGAAACCTTATAGAACATCAACATATAGCTTATGTGAATTCTATGGTTCATTATGATGAATAAAACGTTAATGCACTACTTGATCATTAACGTCAGGTTAAGTTCTTCGTTCGTAGTAGCGTCTAACATCATCCAATAGCCTGTCACCGAACGCTGAACTCAACCGTTAAAGCACTGCCAAGCCTTACTTTACAGCTCACGAACAGTTGCAGTCTCACAGCTTTGTGTGTATGAACTCGGAGACAGTCACGAGAGATGGAGAACAACACTTCTAGTCATGCCTCCACACCCTCGTTGACCGACTTACCAACCGAGCTGATCGTACAGATCTTGCACGCACTTGACTTCTTGAAAGATTTGCTTAGATGCAAACAGGTATAGTTCATATTTTTTTCCATCGGATATACTATGATCAAAGTGATCTAAACGGTTATAACAGTCGTGTAAACTTTTAGATACCGTCGTCGACAACAATACATACTTGCAATACCAAGTACGACTCGGCCTCAATGGCATGCAAGATGGCACTTCTACCAAGGGCTGGCCTGTCTCTGATCGTCTTCGCGCTCTTTGTGAATACGAGAAAGGCTGGGATAAGCTACAATTCAAGGAAGGCGAACTGATCGATATGGATGCCGACGATGTCTGGGACTTGTATGGTAATGTCATATCACAAACCAAGTCGTTCAGCGGCGGTAGACTCGTAGCCACGCAACTCCCTTCACGTGTTCGCCGAGTGAGCAAGGAAACATGGGTGCTCGATAAATTACCCGTTAGATATCGTGATTTCGCCATGGACGTCGCCCAGGACTTACTCGTGCTCATGGAAATAAGCGATTTGTTTCAGGCTGAGTAAGCATTACTCTCAGATTTCTTCTCTTATGTTGAAGGCCACCTGAAATTTACTCGCGTAGGACACTCACATACTACATCCACCTAAGGACGCTGTACGCGGGTGATGCCCATCCGTTGGCTATCCATGCTCGGCTGTCATATGCGCGGGCGATTGACGCATTCACCTATCATATTCGCATATCCTCGGAATATGTTGCCATTGAATTCTGCAGTGTCATGTCGAGCACAGAGAATGTTCTCTGTATCTGGAACTGGAAAACCGGTCAACTGCAAATGGTAAGCATGGTCACTCGGGTGAGGATCCCACGAATCATCGCTAACAGATCTTGCAGGAGATGGTCGGGCTCCTGGCATACAACTTTTTGACCGATCATCACATCATGCTTATTCGCCACAATCAGGGCGGTTTGCACATTCTCGATTTGAATGCAGTCTCTCCTGGCGGAACTCGAGCAGAGAATGTCGAGTATGTATGCAGCTTCCTATTCCCCCCTCTACATTCAAAGCTCCATGATGTGGAAATACGTATCGACCCCGGATTCTCTTGGTCTCCTGATCCCAAGCTAGCCATACCATTCTCCACCGCTGCAGGGAAGAGGCTCGTTGCAGTGACTTTGAACGGGATGATGACATTCCTGATTCCTTCTGATACATTACTTCCTCACTTTTACAACCTTCCGAACATAACTTCAAACCACCAGATAGCGTGGAGTGACTGGGGTCTGAAAGGAACTAGGGCCTTCTCGACCTTCTCGGGACACTCCTCTACATGGTGTCGCAATGTCTATGGGATGAGATTCGTTGATCTGATAGAGAACGACGATGACACACAAACCATATTCATTGCAGATGTCAACCAAACCGCAGTTCGTAAAGCCTCGTTGGATAGTGACTTGGCCATCGGTTCAAATGAGGACCCGGAGCATATGAAAGTCATACTCCATAGTACGACAACAATGGATCTGAAATTGTTCAAAGATCCTGTGACAACTTCTTTACCTTATCGGTGGAAGGAGCTGCCTATTATTTCAGATGTTCACTATGATGGTGCTATGGTTACCGAGGATGCAGTCATTCTTGTGAGAGATGTAAGTCTCGTAGTTCATCTGCTTTCTCTTCTGACGTTCTTTTAATAGGATACTCGCGAGAGTTCAAGTTATCTCCTCCTTGAAATATGATCATAGTGTTCAATTTTTTTTTCATACTAGCGTACATTGTCAAAGTTCTTATGGTATCACATGTCACTTGTTATCAAGAAATAGAAGCATGCACAAGGAGGAGATTGAAGGAAACGGCAGAAATGTCGGTTTTGCGACGGCATGCAAAGGGCAGAGTCGCGGATACGAGGTATCCGGGGTCTGTTACTATCTATACTCTATGGGACATCAAAATGACCTAGATAAGTATACGGAATCCCCGACCGATAGATAATTATTGCTCAAGGGTCTGAATTCGAACATGCTTTCAAACTTGCTTTACTTTGTATATTGCAACGTCAATCCGAGTTAAAGCCGCCTATCCGAGTAGAGGGTACAGCCCCGAGGGGCAAATCAAACGGTTCGGCTTCCTATCAATTTAAACTGTAAATGCCATGATGCACTGATCTGCAGGAATGTCGTTTTCGCTATATAATCCGGGTCTATCCCAGATAGGCCCGCCAGATTCCGTACCCGTTTGACCAGTAATCTCACAAAACCCATATACCGTGTCCTGAATCCTCATGACCGTCAACGAGCGGACGCCTCTCCTCAGAGAGGGCAACGACGCTCTAGAGACAGACGAACCTACCGTCGCAGACCGCCTTTCGTCGGATCCAGAATGGGTGGACACTGAGGACGACATCAACGTAGCCAAACACCCGCAAGTGTCCATGCTCACGATTGTACGCCAGACTGCTTTGCCTTGCAGATACTGTATCTCGTCTTCTTGACATGATGTGTTTTTTTTTGCCACGATATGTAGATGGCGCCGCTTTCAATCGGTATCTTCCTTTCTGCCCTGGACTGGATGATCGTAGCTTCGTCTTATGCTGCTATCGGGAGCGAATTAGACGCACTTCAGAGCACAAGCTGGATTGCCACTGCATACATGCTTACCACCACTAGTTTCCAGTACGTCAAATGTTCGGCTGATTGTCACGAGGCTAACCGCAAGTTGCTTGATAGACCGTTATATGGCAAGGTTTGTCCTTACAAAGCATATCACTGGTTCTTTGTTTATCCTCTTATAGCTCAGTGACATCTTCGGAAGAAAGGCCTGTTTAATTTTCGCCTATACAACATTTGCAATAGGGTGTCTTCTGTGTGGGATGGCTCGAAATATTACCGAACTCATTGCTGCCAGAGCTTTTGCCGGAATAGGTGGAGGAGGCATCACGACGTACGAAAATGCTTTGTCTTTGGCATAGTCATGTACTAATATATGTTCTATGACCTCCTCAGCGTTGGATCCATCATCATGTCGGACGTAGCACCTTTACGCGAAAGGGGCACATGGCAAGGTATGTTGGCGTCCAAAATGTGAAGCTGTTATAATTTTATGCCATTTCTACTTGCTAGGTATCGCGAATCTTTTCTTCGCCACGGGTCAAACCGTGGGTGCACCACTGGGTGGACTCCTTGCTGATACCATCGGTTGGAGATGGTACGTCTGGACTATTGAATAACCTCTATTTGATGCGTATTTGAACAAATCCCCACAGGGCGTTCCTTCTGCAAGTACCTGTGACTGTCCTCGCGATCGTTTCTGTCGCCTTTGCGCTCAAATTACCTAAGAGCGACAACTCCGACTTCTACGGAAAACTAAAGCGAGTCGACTTTCTAGGCGCTTTCACTCTTGTTCTTGCCGTCTTTACTCTGCTCTTGGGTTTGGAGAGAGGTGGCAACGTCTCATGGAACGACCGTATTACCTGCGGGTGCCTCATCGCATTCGCAGTGCTCTTCTTCTCTTTCCTATTCATAGAGATGGAATTTGCCAAAGAACCCTTCGCGCCAAAGCACATCCTAGTTAACCGGACCCTGATCGCGAGCTACATGTGCAACTTCCTATCTATGGCTTCTCAGATGGCGTACGTCTACCAGGCATCGCTTTACTTCCAGGCGGTCGAAGGCAAGACAGCTGGACAAGCTGGCCTGTTGTTTATTCCTGGCGTGGTAGCTGCTGTATCGGGCAGCCTTGGCGGTGGTTTGATCATGCAAGCTACAGGAAAATACTACACACTCACCCTTTCATGCTACGTGCTGGGATTCATCGGCGCAGTAGTTGCAACACTTGCCACCGATATCTGGTTCCATTCTGATGTTGTGATGGTCATAGGTAAGGATTCTGTGTTTTTGAAAGACCAATTGCTTAGTCGTATTCCATCCTAGGTTTATCCGCAGCGGCACTGGGTAACGGTATGTCCTTTCTTTTTAACGCATCGTTTTAGTTTTGATCTGCGTTCAGGTGCTGGAATTACGACCACTTTGATTTCCCTGATTGCGAACGCTGGCCCAGAAGACCAGGCAGTGGCAACAGCGGGTATGTATCGTTCATTCATTCACTAAATGTCAACGACGTCTATATCTTTGTTCGGCACAGTATCGTACCTCTTCCGATCCCTGGGTACTGTGATCGGTATATCAGTTGTTTCGACTGCTACCCAAGAGACACTACGGCGCCAATTGCGTTCCAAGCTGTCAGGCAACGACGATGTGGAGGAGGTATGTTTTGGTCACCTTGACTAGACCAGTCTTAGTGATTCTGGAATTATGACAGATCATCAGTCATGTTCGGAAGTCTCTTGCATACCTTGACGAGCTTGCACCTGCAATCCGCGCAAAGGTCGTTGAATCATATGAAGATGCTGTCCACGTAGCGTTCTGGATATGCGTTGGCCTGTATGGTGCCTGCGTGGTTTCATCGTTGTTCATCAAGGAGAAGGCATTACAAAAATAACTTTATATGCTACTCACTCAATATGTATAGGTATAGAGTCGAGATTTCGAGGAACTCCATAGAGAAGACGTCTTTGCCACTGCGTGATTCATTGCCCACGCGAATGGCCCCTGACTCGACATTTTTTCAAGCTCTGGTACAGAACATTTCAAGTAGTCAACTAGAGGACGCTGCATATACTGTGGAAAACGAAGCGGAAGGCGGACTTCTTATCTATTTCGTATACAAGAGAGTCAATTGAATGTGAGATGGATATTAGGGTTATGCTCTATCTCGGGACTTGCTTTTCTGAAACTCAGAAACAAGCGGCAAACTTGACAAGGTACGAAGATCGCAATCTCTACTTAGCGTAATCCGTGGGTTCATACAACGCTGATTCATTGAACTTTGAGGTTGTCATGGTGAAGTTTTGCAGGGGTGCTGTGCTATTCAAGGGCCAATCGCCCGAAGGGGTTTTCAATCGTTTGATGGGTGGTTTGTCTAAACGATAAGCATAGGTGACGAAAGGTTAGCGTGTCCTGTCAAAACTCTTAGGACGGTAGGGACCGTATGACATATCCTGTGCCTCTACAGGCACTTGGTGATGCTCATATTCTGAAGGCATCCTTCCAGTCAGACTTCGCTCCACTTGTCCATCTCTCTCTCAACCTCCTGAACACTCATGACTTTCAACGAACGAACGCCTTTGCTACAGGATAACGATGACGCAGTGTCTAGAAATGCGCCTGAGATTCAAGAACACGATCTGCACGATCCAGAACAAGTCAATGTTGGAGGAGGCAAACCTCAAGTGTCCATGCTCACTATCGTACGTTCGTCGATATGCAGCGACGTCATTGGTATTCGCTCTGCTAAAAGATTCCTTATCACCAACCTTCAGATGCTTCCACTTTCTATTGGTATTTTCCTCGCAGCCCTGGACTGAATGATCGTAGCTTCCTCCTTTGCTGCTATTGGCAGTGAACTTAACGCACTCCAAAGCACAAGTTGGATTGCAACCGCTTACATGCTTACAACAACTAGTTTCCAGTACGTCATACCCTAAGTGATTCGATGTGATTGACAGAAAGCTGATTGTGAGAATATCTTCGAAGACCATTGTACGGGAAGGTGTGTTCTCAGGAAGATGACATGTCACTTTGCTGCTAATTTGTTCCCAGCTAAGCGATATCTTTGGTCGGAAATCCTGCTTGATCTTTGCCTATACAATATTCGCAATTGGTTGTCTTCTGTGCGGAATGGCTCGCAACATCACAGAACTTATAGCTGCAAGAGCCTTCTCTGGTATTGGCGGAGGAGGGATCACAACGTACGTTGCAACTTCGTTCTTGTGAACCTCACACGGTGACATGATATCATGATGCTCTCAGTCTTGCTACAATCATTATGTCAGATGTCGCTCCTCTGCGCGAAAGAGGGACATGGCAGGGTAGGTAAACGTCTTGGCCACCCAATACATCCGAACTAACCTTGTTTGGTTATTCAGGCATCGGCAATATGTTCTTCGCGACAGGTCAAGCGGTGGGCGCACCACTAGGTGGAGTACTTGCTGACACCATTGGCTGGAGGTGGTACGTCCACATGTCAAAATGGCCTTCTTCATCCAACTTGAATATTTTAGCGCGTTCCTATTGCAAGTACCTATAGCCATTCTGGCTATCATTTCCGTCTCAGTCTCACTCAAACTGTCAAAGAACGATCATTTAGACTTTTATGGGAAACTCAAGCGAGTGGACTTCCTAGGTGCCTTCACCCTCGTCCTCGCTGTCTTGACACTACTGTTGGGTTTGGACAGAGGCGGTAACATCTCATGGGACGATCGTATTGCCTTAACCTACCTTATCACCTTCCTCGTTCTTTTCTTCGCCTTCCTCTTCGTCGAAATGGAATATGCCAGGGAACCCTTTGCACCAAAGCACATCCTGGTCAACAAGACGTTGATCGCAAGCTATATGTGCAACTTCTTGTCTATAGGCTCACAAATGGCGCTTATCTACCACGCTTCACTTTACTTTCAAGTGGTCAAAGGCAGAACGGCAAGCCAAGCTGGTCTTCTATTCCTCCCAGGTGTCGCAGCTGCGGTTGCCGGCAGTCTCGGGGGCGGTTTGATTGTCCAGTTCACCGGACAATACTACGTCCTAACAGTCCTCACATATGCATTGAGCTTCATTGGGGCAACGATTGCAACATTTTCTACTGGTATCTTGCTCCATTCGGATACGTTGGTGGTCATAGGTTAGTCATTATCTTCTTGCGCGTCGAAACGAAGTCAATTCACACTTTGCGCTCGTGTGCTAGGCTTATCAGTAGCAGCTCTAGGCCTCGGTATGTCTCTCCATCTCAGCTCCGTTGCTGTATCTGTTCAACGACCTTAGGTGCTGGGACAACGACCACTCTGATAGCTCTTACAGCGAATGCAGGTCCACAGGACCAAGCAGTTGCGACAGCTGGTACGTGAACGTGACTTTTAATATCATCATATATTGATGCATATCCGGAGTTCAGTGTCATATCTTTTCCGTTCCACAGGTTCTGTAGTCGCAATCTCTGTCGCCTCGACTGCAACCCAGGAAGCGCTTCGTCACGAGTTGTATAAACGACTATCTGGCAGCAACGTCGACGAAGTATGTGTGCCCTGTTCTCCTACTCCGTTCAAGCTTAACCCCGCTTCAGATCATTAATCATGTGCGCAAATCCCTCAGATACATCGACGAGCTTCCACTAGAGACTCACGAGAAGGTGATTGCGTCGTATGCAGAGGCGATCCATGTAGCATTCTGGATATGTGCTAGCCTCTACGGTATCTCTTTGTTATCGTCATTCTTCGTCAAGGAGAAAACATTGCACAAGTAACATTCGCCTGGTCACTAGCTTTGGAGATCCAAGTATTCAAAACAGTATACTATTCGAAACTATGTAGGGGGGTTGTTCTTTACAATTGTTGTCTAAATGTACATTCTACTTGGTACTTTTCCTACTCATGAAGCTGCATCTTAGGGAATCCCTTGCCGTGTCTATCTTTGCAATATCAAGCCATGAAGAGTCCACGAATTCATGCATGATGGATAATTATGTAAAACTGAGGGTACTTTTAAATCATGACGCTTGCCAGAAGAGCCATGCGGATCTATGAAGACGACGTAACGGTTAGTTGAAGCTTTGTTGGAGCAAGTCGATAACTTACGAAGAGCCCATAACGCATCTGTCGGAAGTAAACAGCTCGGCGAGAGTCGAAGTCGACTTCAGGGTCGATTTCTATTCAAGTAATCGGTAAGCCATCTGCTCATGGTAAAGAAAAAGGTGTGAACTAACCAGTGACTCTTGGAAGTGGGTGCATGACAATCATGTCCGACTTAGCCCTTGACAGCAAAGCATGGTCAATTCGGTATGCATCCTTCACGCCACTCCACTCTGCTTCACTCGCGAAGCGTTCCTTTTGTACGCGCGTCACGTAGAGGACGTCGGTGTCCGTCAGTACATCCTCGAGCGACTCGCACTGGTAGACATGGGCGCCCGCTTTACGAGCGGCCGAAACAACACTCGCGGGCATCGCGAGAGACGCAGGAGAGACAAAGTTTAGTCGCACAGAATACATGCAGAGGAGCGTCACTAGGCTGTGAACAGTGCGTCCATTTTTCAGATCACCTAAAAGCGTGATGGTCTTCCCATTGACAGTACCGAGTTCAGAACGAATTGTGTAGACGTCCAAAAGGGCCTAGGGAAAGTTCAGAATGAGGTGACCGGGCTGCAGCATATAATTATCAAGACAAACCTGACTAGGATGCTCTCCGACACCATCACCAGCGTTAATGATAGGAACAGGAGAATATTTCGCAGCGAGTTGGGAGCTGCCAACATCAGGATGGCGAATCACGATTGCGTCCGCATAGCACCCCAGAGTCCTGATAGTGTCTGGCAATGTCTCACCCTTCAAAACAGAAGACGAGTCGACATTCACATTTACAACTTCGCCTCCGCATCGCTTCATAGCAGCGTCGAAGGAAGAACAGGTGCGTGTGGAAGGTTCGTAGAACAGAGTGCAGAGCACCCTGCCCTTCAGTATATCGAGGACACCACTACGCTCCACCTGCAATTGCATCTCATGCGCAAGCGTGAAAAGATCATGCACATCCTTGTGTGAGAATTGCTTGACCGACAAAACGTGGCGACGATGGAATGCAGGATGAGGCAGAAGGCTCGACAAGATCTGTGGGCCCCTAGCTGGACCATACGCTGCAGGAATGTTGGCGCCTAGAGCGGATACCGTTTGAGGAGCAGCGGGCTCGGGCAACTTGGAGAACGAAACCATCGGACTGATTTCTGGTCTCTGTCCAGAAATTGACGGACGTCTTTCGACTTGCTGATGTGCAATTATAGCGCTCGACATATCACGACCGGCCGGAGTACTACCAAGTACACCATCCAAGAACGCAGTTTGACCGTGAAGCACGACTCGGTGTACAGCACCATCAAGCATTTTGCCGTCCAAAGGTGACCACGCTTTCTGCCCATGCTTTTTGCTTGTGCCAATGTGGGCTCGACGACCAATCACAACCTCCACATGTGTCGCAACTTGGTCGGGAAGACCAAAAATGCGGATAGGATTTTCATGAAGTCGGAGCTGAATATCCTTGAGCGTAAGTCGACCTTCGGCGACAGCAGTAAGAAGCAAAGGTAACGCTTCGTCGATGCCGGTCCAGGTAGAAGCCTCCTTGTCCAACTCCCGTGAAAGGCTATAAGGTGTACTACCCACGGAGAATGCATCGATAGACTCCAGACCCTGCCAAAGAGCCTTCTGATCTTCAACCGAGGGAAGACACGTTGCGCTGGGGAAATCGTCGCGCGTAAAGAAGAGTGAATAGACAGAAACGTCACAAGTGACTTTCTGTTCCTTAGCCTTGTTAAGGGAAATCAACAACAGATCGTCTTTGCTCTGTACATCGGTCACATGAAGGCTTCGGTCATGCAAACCTGCCATCAGCAGGACAGGTGCAAGGTCAGTGCCTCTTGCGTTGGTGACAACAGGTTTGTTAACCGGCCAGGAAGCGAAATGCGAAGCGATGGCCGAGATTGAGAGGTTAAGGCCCATGTGGTCGAAGGGAATGAACAACGATTTGACGTCAGCTTGCAATTCTTCATCCAGCTCATTCAGGTTCGTGGACGTGGCAACCACGCTTACAGCATAGTTGCAATAAGGCGCCTTTGAGATATTGGCACGGACGATGTCCAACGAGGCACGATCCACCAGCTTGTCGGATATGTTGTAAGGCAAGATGAGGGCAGTTGCAAAACCTCCACTGATGGATGCTTTCAGCGCATCCGCGAGATCGTCTGGACTTGTTGATGTCAACCCGGGGACAAAGGCAGCAATGTTCACCAATCCAGGGAATGTGTACGTCTGATGTGAAGTCTTGAAATCGACGGGTGAAACATCAAGAGGATATTTCCGGACGAGAGCCTCGAAGAAGAGCTTGGCAACCTTGACATTCGTTATCAAAGGAACGGCGAAGTCGACAGCCATACGACGTGTGCGATATCCCTTGCTAGCGTAGCTAGCAGGTCGGCGATAGTGGTTCTTGGACGGAAGGTTGATGTACATGTCGATCAAGTTGTTTGCAAGATGCTGAGTGAGCGAATACTCCGATTTCTGCTGATCCTTGGAATCCTCTGGGAGAGTTTCAAGATACTTGAAAAAAGTCAGTACATCAAATTACGAGAAGTGCGAATCCTAACTGACCTTGCAAGGCACGTTGTGCTCCGTTAGGAAATCTGCTGTTCCTGACGTTGCAAAAATGTTATACCCTGCGGCATGCAATTTCTGAACCGAAGGAAGTAACTCGAGTTTCTCCTTGTATCCACCAATCGAGAAAAGAATGTTCTTTTTCGGGACAATAATGCCTGTAGAGATGAGTGCCTTCAGGTACGCTTCGTACTTGTCTTTGCCGAAACAAGCGACCTCTCCAGTAGACGCCATCTCTACACCAAGAACAGGATCGGCACCGGACAATCGACTGAAGCTGAACTGAGGAACCTTGACACCAACGTAATCAGTAGGCAAACCAGGATCGGGGTATGGCTCGACTGGAATTCCCATCATGACCTTGGTCGCCATCTCGATGGCGTCGATTCCAGTGACCTTGGACACGAAGGGGAATGAACGAGCAGCTCGAAGGTTGCATTCGATGACCTTGATCTCGTTGTTCTTGGCGATAAATTGGATGTTGTAGGGTCCGGTGACGTTCAACGCATCTCCGATCTTAGCGGTAGCTTCCACAATCTGACGAACAGTTTCTGGGTCTAGATCCTGGGGAGGGTGGATGAGCGTGGCATCTCCAGAGTGAACGCCCGCATTCTCGACATGCTCAGAAATGTAATGCATGATCATCTTCCCATCCTTAGCAACGGCATCCATCTCAATCTCCTTCGCGCCTTCGATGTACTTGGTGATGACCACGGGATGTTCGCGAGAAACTGCGGTGGCTTGAGATAAGTAGCTTGACAAATCATCCTGGCTGAAGACGACGTTCATAGCAGCGCCGGAAAGGACATAGGAAGGCCGAACGAGTACGGGGTAACCAACATTTTGGCAGAACCAGTGAGCTTCCTTGAAGCTAGACAATTCCTTCCATTGAGGCTGGTCCACGCCAATCTCGTCCAACAGACGGGAGAACTTGAACCTGTTCTCGGCGGTATCAATCATCTCTGGAGAGGTTCCATAAATCTTGACGTTCTGGCGATAAAGAGGCAGAGCGATGTTGTTCGGAGTTTGACCGCCCATCGAAATAATGACACCGCGTGCATGTTCCGTGTCGTAGATATCGAGGATGGTCTCCAAACTGATATTCTCGAAGTATAGTTTGTCCGCTTCGTCGTAATCGGTAGAGACCGTCTCCGGGTTATAGTTCACCATGATGGTTTGGAGCCCATTGTCGCGAAGGGTACGAATGGCGCGTACAGCACACCAATCAAACTCAACGGACGATCCGATGCGATAGACACCGGAACCCAAGACCATAACACCGCGTTCATTGAAGGTGATGTCGTGTTCGATAGCGTTGTAGGTTGTGTAAAGGTAGTTGGTGAAGGCAGGGAACTCAGCAGCCACGGTGTCGATTTGCTTTACGAAGGGCGCAATGCCGCTTTCTTGACGGAGACGACGAACGGCGAGTTCGGTGGAGCCCATGCAACTCGCAAGCTGACGATCGGAGAAACCTAGTTGCTTTGCTTGACGAAGAAGGTCCGGGCTGATAGTCGAGACATTGCATTCGCTGAACAGATAATTAAAGTAAGTAGGATGATCGCGAAAATAGGATAAACATGCACTTACGACAAACGACTTTCCATCCTGTGGATGGACTGCAACTTTGTCAAGAACCACTTGTCAATGTTGGTCATCTGCCAAATCTTCTCAACCGAATAACCCTTGTAGAATGCGGCGGCCAGAGCGAAGATGCGCTTGTCAGTGGGATTGACCAACTCCTCGTCAATATCCTCGACCAGATCGTTCTGTTAAACAGTAAATGTCAATCCTGCCGCCCATACAGGGAAGTCATGGTCAAAGACGAACGTCAGAAAAGCCAGAGAACTGGTCGTCAATGGCCCGAATGGCCTTCTGAATTGTCTCCTCGAACGTCCTTCCGATACTCATGACCTCACCGACACTCTTCATGCTGCTACTCAACAACGGGCTCACGCGGCTGAACTTCTTGAGATCCCAGCGAGGAATCTTCACCACGACGTAGTCCAAACTGGGTTCGAAGCAAGCGCTAGTAACTTTGGTGACACTATTCTTGATCTCGTTGAGAGGAATACCGAGACCGAGTTTGGCGGCAATGAAAGCAAGAGGGTATCCAGTCGCCTTAGAAGCGAGTGCGGAGGAACGAGATAGACGAGCGTTGACTTCGATGATACAGTACTCTTTCGAAATGGGGTTCAAAGCGTACTGGATGTTGCACTCTCCGACGACTCCGAGGTGTCGAATGACGTTGATAGCAGTAGTTCGCAACATGTTGTAGTCAGCGTCAGACAAAGTTTGTGAAGGAGCGACGACGATTGAGTCTCCAGTGTGGATGCCGAGAGGATCGAAGTTCTGAAGCAGAGGTCGTTAGTCAAAAGGTATCGCCATGCACGTTTGGACTTGAACTTACCTCCATATTACAAACAGTAATGCAGTTGTCTCTGCAATCACGAACAACCTCATACTCGATTTCCTTCCAGCCCTTCATACTCTTCTCGACCAACACCTGGGGACTAGTCGCGAACGCCTTGCTACACAGCGCCTTCAATTGACCCTCATTCTGTGCAAATCCAGATCCTAGACCTCCCAGAGCGTACGCCGCACGGACAATGATAGGATATCCGATTGCTTTCGCAGCAGCAACAGCCTCTTCAGGCGTAGTAGCAGTCTGCGATTGAGCGCAACGTTCACCGATTTCCTCCATAGCGCTAGCGAAGAGTTGCCTATCTTCGGTCATAATGATCGTGTCGATGGAGGTACCGAGAACCTTGCACCCGAGACTCTCAAACTCATCCTTGAGTTTGATACCAACGTTGAGAGCGGTTTGACCACCGAAAGTGACGTAGATACCATCGGGTTTTTCGTATTGAATGATCTTGCGCACGAATTCCGGAGTGACGGGTAAGAAATAGACTTTATCGGCAAGACCCTTCGAAGTCGCAATGGTGGCAATATTGGGGTTGACAAGGATAGTGTATATGCCTTCTTCCTTCAACGCTTTGATGGCTTGCGAACCGGAGTAATCAAACTCTCCGGCTTGACCGATGGAGAGACCACCAGAACCCAAGATAAGAACCTTTTGAACGTCTGCGCGCGGAGTACGCTTCTCGTTCTCTTCCTTCGTGCCACCTGGCATCTTGATAGGTTTCAGGCTACTAGTGGTCACACAATCCAAGATATTCTGGATGAAGACATCGAATAGGAACTCGGTGTCGCGAGGACCAGGAGTAGATTCGGGGTGGAATTGCACAGAGAAGAAAGGCTTGTCTATGCAGTAGATGCCCTCGTTGCTTCCATCGTTCGCATTCTGGAAGAGTTCTTGCCAGCCTTCGGGAAGTGTCGCAGTGTCGACTTGGAAACCATGGTTCTGACTTGTGATATAGCACCGTCCACTTAACGCGTCCGTGCACGGGATGTTGTGTCCACGATTACCGTACTTCATCTTCGAGGTTTTTGCACCTGCGGCAAGCGCCAGGAGTTGGTGTCCGAGACAAATACCAAAGATGGGCCTGTCTGCTCTCGCCATGGCTTCTGCCAAACGCTTGATGGAAGGTGTGACCATGGTGGGGTCACCGGGACCATTAGAGATGAAAAGCCCATCAAAGGGCTCCTCGGAAGGGTCCAAATAGTCGTAGTCCCAGGGAACAACCTTGAGCTGAATGCCACGGTGGGTAAAGCACCGGATTTGATTGAACTTCATACCAACATCCACAGCCAGAACTCGAAGGGGTCGCTTGCCCGACGGGTGCATCCGAGGTTCGGTGATGGGTTCGAAGACACGAGAAATTTTGATCGAGACCACAGCGACGAGGTTGTCAAGATTGGGATCACGGAAAGGCACGTCGATGAAGTCCTCCCTCCATTTGGGCGATCCGGGGGGAGACAGAGAGCGACTCTCGGATAACCTAGGTGCGCCCATGCTCACAATTTCGTGCTTCCTTGCCAGCACCTTCGCCAACATAGAACCCTTCTCTCGGATCTTTTTCGTGAGCGCACGGGTGTCGACACCATAAATAGCAGGCACATTGCACTCCTTGAGCCATGTACCTAGCGAAGAGTTTGCCAAGTAATGGCTGTAGTCTTCCGAATAATAACCCACGACGACCGCTGCGACGTGGATACGCGAAGATTCAAAGTCAGTCGGAAGATCCTCGACGGAGTCTGTGTACGGGCGTGCAGGGACACCGTAGTTGCCGATGAGCGGGTAGGTGAGAATTAGAATTTGACCCTCGTATGATGGATCGGTGAGGGACTCGGTATAGCCCACCATGCCTACGTGTCAACGTCAGAGGTAAATATTAGCTCAAGTATAGTGGACATACCGGTCTGGAAGACACATTCTCCCGCTACGCTTTTACCTTCAGCACCGAAGGAAATGCCTCTAAAAGCGGTACCGTCAGAAAGCTCTAATACAGCATCAGTAATTGTCGCGTCCTCGCTCTGAGTAGAAGGAGCAGTGACGGGAGGAGCGGGATAACCGAATGGATACTGGCTTTGGGTTCGGGAGAGGGCAGGTCGCACAAAATCAGTTTTGGGTGGCAAGGCCATGGTATTACGCAGAGAGTGTGTTTCTGAGTTGTAAACGACCTTCTTCCTCTCCGCTCGTGCCAAAAGGTGATTCGAGTGGAGAGGAAGAGGAGAAGAGAAAAAACACCCGTTGACTGCAAACTTTATGCGACTGCACGTGGCATAATCGATGGGCGTTTCCTACTTTGGCAGGTCTTGTGGATCAACCACAACGTCTTCCTCTAGGCTCTCGCCAGTCATCGCTGGTCACTGTGGTCAGCCAAAGGCCCTTCATCGAGCGGATATCTCGTCAGCGGCAAGTAAACGACATTTCTGCGATACTCAGGACCGACCATAGGTAACATAGGTTCCGTGTAGTCACTAGGCGTTGAGCTACGCACTACTACTAAGTATTCGATATCATTGTAAAGAAAATACGCCGACTTGACTTTTGAATTCTACAGGCTAATTGATGTGAAACTGAAGTACCTGCATAACGCGTGGAGACGACACTGTACTGAACGGCCTGGCTATATGCGTGATAATATGAGGCGCCGAGAGCCCTGGATGGTAGCCCAGGATAGCGTTTCCGCAAGTAATTCTTTGCCTTCACAATATAAGGTTTCCATCGTTCAGATACAGGCATCCCAAGGCTATGTTTATGGCAAATCAGGCATATGTGATCAACCCGAGTGCCATGGCTATATGCGCAAGGATGTGCCGCGACGACATTCGCAAGGACCTAGAGGCTAGCATCCACGACGGTCTGGTAACGCTTGAGAACTGAAATCCCAGCACCGTAAAATGCACTTGAGCTTATGTGAACGTACTAGCATGTGTCGTGAAGACCAGAGGAACGCGGCTACTGGTTACTTAGTGTTCAGGTGCACCACGAGTCAGTTGGAGAGGCATTGCACTGGCAAACCCCGGCAGACATCACGAAAGAAGTCTTGTGCAAAATATATAGTGAATAGAGTGGATGAAGTTGACTCGCCCTTAACGCCATTGAGATGAAATAACAGTTCGCAATATTAGACGCTTGAAATGACCTTCTTCTCAACTTGTCATGCACTAGCAAATGAACAGCATATAGCCAGGTCGTTCCTACCACATTACAGCACCATCGTATCATATATACCGTCCGATGGCTAGGGATCGATTTGATATCACAAGCCTCGTAAAGAAGGCAAAGAACTCACTTCTCCCCTTTGGTTCCCAGTGGTTCGGTTCCAGGCTCAATCTTTAGAATTTGAAAACATTGTCTCCTCGAAGCAATCCTGACGCTCCTCACTGGGTCGTTAGTATCCTTGTAACTATAGCTGGCGTGACTTTCTCGGGTGATGGCTTGGTGGATTTAAGGAGGAATGGTCAGTACGCGACGATTGTCCCTGAGCTAGGATAATAACCTCCGTCGGTCTCGGCGAATTCAAGGTTCTGTAATTCAACATCTTAATAGCTAGTCAGGAACGCATGCAAACTGACCATCATGGGCGCCCTCCCACCAAGGCAGTCCTTTGCATCACCAGGTGCACACTCTAGTGCGGTCAACCGTGAGAGTCCTCCAATCCTCCAACACTCCAACGACGTCAACGTCATACGCAGCGTCCCACGTATCGGACGAAGTCCGAACGAGAGATCATGATCTGCTTAGATGGAAGAATTCAGTGGTCGCGATGGTTGGAGTAAACAGTGATAAGCCTGAGTGTTCTACCGAGCATCTCCGAAATGGATTTGGACAAGTAAGCTCCTGATGGTATTCAGCCCTATACGACCTCGCACGCATTGACATTGTTTCCAATGCAGGCTATCCGATATCGCAGCTTTGGATTGCCAGTACTTATCTTTGGAGAAACGTGTAGAGTTCCTGTCAGGCCCTGGATGAAGCCAAGGTTTGACTGGCCAAGCGGTGTTCCTGATCGATCGCCCCATGCTTTCCCGCTGTGGCCCATCAAACGGCATCAAATTTTCCAAAATGAGTTGCTCTATCTGGTCGGTTAAACGCATGACCGATCGCGCTGGAGAAATTTCATCTGCCTAAGTTTGCTAGCATCATGCTGTCCTGGGACAAGTCTTATCAGAGAGCTACTGTGCTCTGTGGGAGACGCGCTTTCGCCTTTCTTTCCCCCACACCACCGCCATGGTTGGTTTCCTGCATACCGTGAACGCAGTGGTACGTTCTCACATCGGCTGTTATCCTGCTTCAATGCGGGTTCTGCTTGGAGCATGTTCCTAATGATTTTCTTTTTTCGCAAGGTTGCGGACTCGTACGTGGGCAGATGGTTCCGTTTAGAGGGATCGGGACATCCGAGGGAACGAATTGGTTCGAGGTTCTTGGTGCGTCCTCACAACCTGGTTAAATGAGGTAAATGACTGAACGCTTACCGCATATATACTGGATAGACTGAACTTCGTGCCGGTTTGACAACATGGGCTGCCATGGCCTACATCATTTCCGTCAATGCCTCCATCATCGCCGATACAGGAGGAACCTGCGTTTGCGAGGCAGACGACTTATGCGTGGCGGACCCAGTGTACCTCGACTGTGTTGCAGACGTCCGCAGAGATTTGATCACCTCCACTGCAGCCGTTTCCGCCTTAGCTTCGTTCCTGATGGGCTTGCTCGCTAACCTTCCCGTGGGTATGGCGCCTGGTTTGGGTTTGAACGCCTATGTGAGTCATGTGCTGCCTTTAATTCCCGCTATCAAGATGCCAATGCTCTACTTTCATAGTTCGCCTACTCCGTTGTCGGGTGCGTATTTCCCCAGAGTCGCACTTTCACATGTTACCTAATGCTTTAATGTGTTGCAGGTTTCATGGAAGTGGTATCATCACTTACAAAGAAGCTCTAGCAGCAGTCTTCCTCGAGGGATGGATATTCTTCTTCCTATCACTACTCGGTCTTCGACAATGGCTTGCACGTATCATGCCTCAATCGCTCGTCATGGCCGTTGGCGCGGGTATCGGTTTCTTCATTGCCTTCATTGGTCTATGTTCGTGCACTTTCTCCTTCACTTCACACATGTACTTACCATTCCCTTTCAAGCATCTGGCGGTATAGGCGTCATTGGTGGTGACAAGACAAACTTTGTAGGACTCGGTGGTTGCAAACCCGAAGACATGCTCCCGGATCTACCCAACTTCTGTAACTCTCGCGTCCTCCAAAGTCCCACTGTCTGGCTTGGCATTTTCCTCGGTGGTATCCTCACTGTCTTCCTCATGCTCTACCGTATCAAGGGTGCCATCCTCATCGGTATCTTCATCACAAGTATTGTCAGTTGGCCTCGTCCAACAGCTATAACCTACTTCCCTCATACCCCTGCGGGCGATAGCAGTTTCGATTTCTTCAAGAAGGTTGTCACATTCAGACCTTTGGAGAAGATCGGCGGAGCTGTTGACGTAAATGTTTGTTCATGTGGTCAGATTCAGAATGTACTGACCGTATGTGCTTGTAGTTCAACTACGGAAATGGTCGTGTTTGGTACGCTCTAATCACGTTCCTCTATGTCGATATCCTTGGTAGGTTGATCTCGTAAGTATTTTACTCTCGATCCTGACATCTTGGTTCTTAGATACCACCGGAACGCTCTACTCCATGGCCAAATTCGCCGGTCTCCGTGATCCCGTTACGCTTGACTTCGAAGGGTCCACTATCGCCTACTGTGTCGACGCCTTCACCATCTCTATGGGTGCACTCATGGGTACTTCACCTGTTACGGCATTCGTGGAGAGTGCCACGGGTATCAGTGAAGGTGGAAAAACTGGTCTTACCGCTATCACTACTGGCATCGCGTTCTTCATCTCCATCTTCTTCGCACCTATATTCGCGTCCATCCCGCCTTGGGCTACGGGTGGTGCGCTTGTCATCGTCGGTTCTCTCATGATCAGAAAGTCAGTATCTTCTCGTGTTCGACAACTTCAATGTCATACTTATGTTACCTTCTAGCGTGCGCGAGATCAACTGGGACTACCCGGGAGACTCTGTTCCTGCGTTCCTTACCCTGATCATCATCCCTCTCACCTACAACATCGCGTACGGTGTCATCGCCGGTATCATCTCCTACGTCCTCCTCAACGGTACCGCGTTGGTCCTGCGCAAGATCAGCAACGATCGCATCCTTCCACCTACGTACGACTCTTCTGAGCCTTGGGTCATTCCTCCTGGTGGCATCGTCCCCACATGGATGAAGGTGGTCTACAACGCCGCCCGTGGTGAGCGACATGAGCCCATGGTTCCGCTTGAGACGAGACAACGCTCCCCGTCGATAGACACTGCCATCCATGATCAAAACAAGGAGAGTGGCGGATACCCAGTAACGATGGAAAAAGAACCTGTAGAGCAACTCTCACCTCTTTCTCATCATCATTAGGGTGGACAAGATAACCAGGTCGGACGGTCCACCGTCTATAATGCTTTCTAGATTTCTTTATAGGTTTTCAGCCAACTTGAACCGGGTAATTATACATACTATTGTTTTTCTTCTGTACGACTTCTTGGATGTTGTACTTACATGCTCTTGCCAATATACTGTATGTACGTGTATGTGCGCAAGTTCGTTGTGGAAGAAGTACAAGTGGAAGAATGAAAAAGTGCTAATTCGACGCTCTCGGGCGTACCCGACGCAAAGCGTCGCAGATCCAGCCAAGTTCAAAAGGCTAAGTTTGTTCTGTCGTGCGCGATCCCGACGAGCTCTGCGCTGCTCTCGCCATCCTCCAGAACGGCTCTGCCCACAAATGGGACGAGAAATAGACTTAAAATAAGTGACAATTGATGGGTGTGGGGAGACGGGGTCACCGACCGTCCGGCCGGGGCCTCGGCAAAGGGGAGCAAATGGACAATCGTACGACAGCGCGTCCCCTCAAAAATCCTTAGCAGCGCTAGCTCTTTATTTCTCACCACCGCCCAGGCCTACCTCTCTCCTCTACGTCCATTACAAAAGGGACTCCTTGCCTTGGTCGACGACAACGACCAAAGCTTTCTCAGACGTCCTCGAAGGAGCACTGGTGATACGGCTACGTTCGGATTTCACGGTAGCTAATCGACGATAGAGTTCAAGATGTCCAACTCGACCGCGCCCATACACGAATCGGCTGCTTTGCTTTACGCCAGCACTGACTTTGCCAAACTCAATTGGTTGGAGTTGCAATGGGCTGCTTGGTATCTTTGGATTGACAATCCAATCATTGCTACTGGTTTGATGAGTTTCCTTCTTCACGAGGTATGTTGCGCTCTTTCCATCCATCTTTACCCCTGACGCTGACAACTATCGTGTTCGTAGATCGTCTATTTCGGTCGCTGCCTTCCATGGGTCATCATCGACGCGACGCCTTACTTCCGCAAGTGGAAGCTGCAACCTAACAAGATTCCTACCGCTCAGGAACAATGGGAATGCACGAAACAGGTTTTATTCAGTCATTTCACTATTGAACTCCCCGCCGTAAGTCCATCATGCCACATTAATGAATATGAACATTCAAGCTGACAAGCCTTATAGATCTACCTTTTCCACCCTATGGCCGAGTTCTTCGGAATGTCAACATGGCAGGTTCCCTTCCCGCCCTTGTCGTCCATAATTCCCCAGGTTGCGTTCTTCTTCGTCTTCGAGGACATGTTCCACTTCTTCGGTACGTCTCACTGACGCGTCTGGATCTATTCACGCTCATACGTTCGTTTATTTTTTCCCAGCTCACCGAGCCCTTCATTGGGGTCCCCTGTACAAGCACATCCATAAGGTTCACCACAAATACTCTGCACCCTTCGGTCTCGCTGCAGAGTACGCTCACCCCGCTGAAGTCTTCATCCTCGGAACTGGAACCCTTGCTGGTCCTCTGCTCTATTGCGCATTCCGCCGTGACCTCCACATCTTCACCGTGTATATCTGGATCGTACTGCGTCTCTTCCAAGCTGTTGACGCTCACTCTGGCTATGGTAAGCAACTACTTCATGTCCAGTCTTGTCACTTGGACTCTTCACTGACTTTGACTCTACGATAGACTTCCCCTGGTCGCTCCAACACATCCTTCCCTTCTGGTCCGGAGCGGAACACCACGATTTCCACCACATGGCTTTCGTTAACAACTTCTCCACCTCCTTCCGGTGGTGTGACCGTTTCTTCGGCACTGACAACAAGTACCGTGAATACCGTGCCCGAATTGAGGCTGCCAAGAAGGCTGGTATGAGCCCAGAGGAGTTCAAGGCCATGGAGAAGAAGTTTGCAGAGGACGCTGAACGGGAAGGTATTGAGGCTGAGAAGGTCGTAGAGGCGTATCGGTACAGTCTGAAAACCAAGGCTGCATAGGGTGCCTTTGCATGTGATCATGTGTTGATGGGGTATTTGCTTGAATGCCGGAGGGTCGTTCACTAGACGATTGAAGTATGTCTTATTACGTCGCACATGCTTAGTGTGCTTTTAATGTGGGGGCTGGAGATGGTACTACTTTCGCCTCTGTAAATATATCCAGTACTGTGTCTGTATCTTGTTCGTCGTGCCCATGTGCATGAGGCCTTAAGCGGTTGAGTTTCTTGAGGATGTGCTAACGATATGACACGCATATATGTCGGAAAAAGTTATCTGCCGTTGTAAGCTGAAATAGTTATAATAGCTTACAACCTCAGTTGTTACTTGGCAACCAGGTTGCAACCATAGTTATAAGCTATTGCAACAATGATTGTAACCAATTACTTCATTGTTATCGGGTTATAACCGTAACCTAACCAAGACGACTTGTTGTAACTGGATCATAAGTAGGATTTTCTTTTTCCGACAATTAACCGTTGACTTTGCATTGACTCCGGATGTTTGGCCAAAGACACATTGACGCCAACCACTCGATCGGACGCCTGATCAACCATTCGTTTCAAGTCACTGAGTCAGGTCAGACTCTATTTACAGGTTTATTGAGTTCAATGAAGTGCTGGCGTCGAGTAGCAGACGTTGGGCGATCACAACGTTACGTCGAATTTTCATTGCTCGCTTTGTCTGGCTAACTGTTAACAAGCTTTTGTCAGGTTAGGTCCATTTTCTCACCCGGTACTTTCCCATCTTCCCAGTGGCTTTAGAGAGGAACGCTCAACGATGTGAGTTTCACATCATCGAGCTGATAGCGCTTTATCAAAGTCACCATTGTGACTTTGATGAATGGTGACTTTGATGACTTTGATGAGGCGTTATCATGGTGTATGTGCGATTGCAACCCTCTATTCCATTCTCCCTTAGACGTAAACCATCTCCATTAAGCAGTCTTGTCGTGAGTACTGAACCAGACCTGCGATGTCCCAGTTACATACTGATGCAACGGTGAGTGTCAATTGTTACCATTCTTAAAGGAATAGTGTTTTAGGAATGATCCATCGCAGGATGGTCCCCCTACGGCCCTCACTGCCGATGCTGCCTGGTGGAATACGACAGCGAAAGCCGTGCGTGAAGTTGATGAAGCGAAAATTAAAGACCATAAGGAAGACGTTGATACTCTCCTCGTGTTTGTAAGTTGGTCGAAAGGTTTTTCTTCAACGTCTCTTACCCATAATGTGGCGCTCAAAAACTAGGGCGGCTTGTTCTCCGCAATCATGACAACATTGCTGGTTGAATCATATAAGACTCTTCAGCAGGACCCGGCAGATGCCACCTTGAAAGTACTCGAGCACATTTCGCAACAATTGAACAGTTTCACAATCAACAATACTACAAGTCTCGTGAATAACGCCATACCTCCTTTCATGCTCCTTCCCTCCTTCAACCCCTCGGTGTCTGCGATATGCACAAACGTCGCATGGTTTGCTAGTTTGATCATCAGCTTGGTAGTGGCATCCTTCGGGATGTTGGTCAAGCAGTGGCTCAGAGAGTTCCTCGCCGGAGAATACACGTCGCCCCAGGCGCGCCTCCGCATTCGTTGCTTCCGATATCCTGGCTTGGCACAATGGAGAGTTTTCGAGATCGTCGCAATTCTACCGCTGCTATTGCAACTCGCGTTGGCATTGTTTCTAATAGGGCTGTGCTTTTTCACGTCCTCCGTCCATCCTAGCATCGCTTGGACAAGCGTACCCTTGATTGCAATATGGGCAGGCCTCTTTCTCGCCGCCACGCTTGCTCCGGCATTCTCACCACGGTGTCCGTACAAAACTACCTTTCTCAAAGGTCCTATGCAATCCCTCCGACGTTTCTTGGCCAAATGGCCCCATATCCACCCTCCCCCATCAGGCGTCCGACGCCTTGCACAGGTGACTACGCGATTAATCTGGTTCTACATACTCCCCTTAAGTCCAGCATGGCCCGATGGCAATCCCGGCAATGGACTTGAGGACGGTATTTTCCTGATAGAGGAGGATGACATAGTCGTCGATGTTCCGAATGACCTTGATGTCCTGGTCGAAGTAGATTTCATCCAAACTGACGACAACCTGCTCCGTAATGCACTTTTAGACCAGCGATTTTTGCAGGTTCATCGTAACGGCCGCGATATAGTCTCATTTATTCTTCGCATTGTCTCCCATCGAACGGACACAGCAGTTTCTTACGGGTCCCAAGAGCCCAGGGATCTTCGTCGACTGTCGAAAGAACTTTGGTATGCTGTGACCTACGTGCTCTCATCATTGCTATCTCAGCAGCTCACACTTTGGATGACTTATAATACTGAACAACGTGCCAAGTTCTCCGATTGGATGCAACCCGCTGTCGTGCTCTTACTGTCCATGTCGTCGTTCCCTCTCCCCCCTATGTGCTCTCTCGGTACCTTACTTCCAATCTAGCTGATGTCAGGGACTTCATTATCAAACCAACTCTTGCCAGCGATGCACTCGAGATCCTCGGTGGACCTGCTCAGCTTGATGCGCTTAGGATTCTTGAGCAGCATCGGACTAATGATGTTAGCCCTCGAGGAAAAGAGATTTTAGCAAACATTCAGATCCAGCTTGTTTCACGTTGGGTGGAAGATTCAGGTGAAGCCGCGACACGCACCATCTTCAGATATACTGTTGATGACGCTCACCTTCGGCGCGTATTCATACGCTATTACATGGAGTTACGTCCTTCAGTGGCCCCGCCCAAGCCTTTGCTTGAACTTCATCCACTATTACGCTATGAGCCAAGGCGAAGCGAAGCAATTTCTGAACTGACCGAACTGCTCGATGATGCGCTAACGTCACGAGGAGATCGATTGCTTTGGACACAAGGCATGAAGGAAGCATTGCAGATCCTTGCCTCTGTGCTAAGCGGACCGTCGTGGCGTAGTTCATGGTCTTACAAGACGGCTGACGTGCTTTGGTTGTGTATGCAAAGAGATTTCCTCACCTTTGCGGAATCAATATCAGTCAATGGTTGGATGCAGAACGATCTCCTCAGGTTGCCTTCTAAAAAAGTGAAGGAATGGGGAGACTCCTGCACGCCGCAATTGCAAGACATCGTACGCGGGACGACGCAGAAGGACGTACTTGTTTTTATGGACACACTTCTAGCGGACAGTGCTTCCAAGCATTTGGAGGGAACCGAAACGGTCCAATTCATCATGTTAGAGCAAGCCGCGGGTCGGTTAGGTATGACCTTACTCGATGCATTTACCCGTACCGGACGAAAGGGCGCAACAGTTATACGTTTCTGTCTCCGACTCATCCGTTACTGGTTCAATGATTGGCAAAATGCGTCGCGGACTTCAGGTGGATTTACGAGATGAAGGAAGGGGTGATAAAAGAGAATTTCGATGCACATTATCCGTCTATCCTATCAATGGTCGGCCAAGCCCTCATTTTCGAGATTGAAAATCGATCTCCCCGCCATAAGAAACAGGATCTACAATGGTCAGAGTCAATGGGAAATGCTATATGCATATTGCTGTCCATTTGCTCGATTCCGAGGTCCGCCATAGTCAAGCAAGCACTCCTACTATGCGTCAAGGTTGACATCCGCGGATTCACAAGAGTCCTTTCGAACTATATATCCGCTATGCCCCAGTATCATGACCTGCATGTAATCGCGAGTTTGCAACATACATTAGGAGAAATGGACGAGGAATCATATAACAACTTCATGCAAGTTGTTCGACCATCCGACTATGCCGTTGTCCCATATGTGAGCCCTGGCGAAGCTCCTGCAGGCGTATATGCGTTCCCAAATCTGATCTATCCGCAAGTCCCCAGGTCCACTAAGGAAGGGCGCAAGTCAACCGAGGGCAATACCAACGGACGATTAGGTGCCATGTTTTCCTCAACACTCAACTTTAAGGAGACGGTGACACTCGGTGCACTCATTTGTGGAATATCCTTTGGACTTCCCGATGACGCGGGAAACCCCTGCGATGTAACTCGACCCATCGAAGTCGACCCGATCCACCTATCCGAGGACCTGTGGACTCTGTTAACCTCGACTGTAGCAAGTACTTTAGCGTCTTACATTACGGTTGTATACCCTGCGAACCGCCAACGGTCTGACGCATATGTTGCGCTCGCTTTCAGTATTCTGTTGGCTAAGTCTCCTTATCCGTTACCGAAAGAAGCCAATAAATGGATTCTTCACTGTATTACACGCCGGCAAGAAATCTTCGAATTCCACTTTCAGCGATGGAACCGTCGCCTTGTTCAACATTTGGCTTCCACCCCAGATATTCTGAGCCCTATGGAAGGTGTGCTGGAGATGATGGATCACAGCGAGAAATTGCAATGCATTACAAATGTCCTTCACCCAACGTATGACTACCTCGAGCTTCGAGATCAGGATGGGTCCTGGGCTGGATATGAACCATCCATGTTACCTGGACAGTCCGTAGCAATGTGTATCGCTGAAAGTGTAGCTGCAACTCAAGGAACCACAACGATGGACGTGTTGCAGTATATCGACCACTCGGGTGATGACATCTGTGAATTTGCCCATATTATTCTGGCGTACCACCTGACGACACGGGGTGCTCGACCGTCACGGTGGCAGGACATTTATCGTATTCTGACACACTCATCGACAAGGGATAATGTGTCCAGGTTGCCGATGGGTATGTTACTGGATATTGGAATTAAGGTCGCGTCGGCTTTAGTCCAATTTGGGGGTCCAGATCAGGGTGTCCAATCGACACGCTCTGGAAGTGTCCTCTTGCTGTCTATTCTTGGGACATTGGACAACCCTATACCTCTTGTTATCCGACAAGCTTTGGCAAACTGTCACCAAGCGGAGGTAGAGACATACATGAACATGGTTTGCCATCGCATTGCCCTCCATGAGTTGACTTGGATGCTCACCACGATCAGCACCATCTTGCAAATGTTACACACCGGGATGAACCCCATTCCTTGTCTCCTTCATCTTCTAACCCCAGCAATCTGTGGCACGGTGAATGTAAGATGCAACCACGATGACAGCTTGTTCTCCCTACTTGCTCATGATGATGTGTCGTTGGAGGTCAAGAAGGCGATCGTTGATGTTTTGGTCAACGCAGTGGGTGGAACCGTCACCGATGGAGACCACAATGGATGGATACAAGAAGCCGTACTACTTATCGAAGGATATGGCAGTGACTCGCAAGTATCAGAAGTTGCAGGCTTACAATTGGATAATGCGCCTGAACATTCCGTAATGCAGGAGTCATCAGAAGGGTCATCAGAGGGGTCATCAGAACATGAACAGGATATGATTGACATCAATGTTGAACCGCCGTCACAGGACGGCTCCAATTTTGAGCTCGAGTATACGGCGAGCACAGTAACATTTAGCGGTGAGGCTCAAACATGATATTCGTAGGCTCGCAAATTACTCACTGCCTAAAAACATATAATTAGTTATAGACGATGAAAGCTCGAATCTGCGACACACGCCACTAGTGAATTGGGGGCTCGGCACGTTCTAGAAGAGAGACCAATAAGACAGGATATGTAGTAAGAACTGGCGACGAAGGTGACCAGCTGGTCAACATTTGTATATGTGAACTGGTTAGATAGACAGTCGTCTTAACTGGGCTTAAGAGTCGTCTTCAGTGGTTTTTTTTGGCGCACTACAACTGGCTGAAGGCTCGGGTCCGTTGAACAACCTCAAGCCTGAGCCTGCCGGTTGCCAAAATAAGAGGTACACTTACATCAGCCGAAGTGCTTGACACCGATCGGGTTCCCTTTTTTGGAAGGATAGACAACAGCTCAAAGTCCACGGCGCAGCCATTTCGCAGGTTCTCTCGTTCACCTACTCCGAGTTTCTATCCTAATGGCACCCCAACCTACACCCGAGCAAAGCTTCAGAGCAAACCTTTCTCAATTCCGATGGGCTCGAGGAAACAACGACGATTCGCAAGCAGCAACCGCTGAACCATCATCGAACCCGTTCTCGCGCTTCTACAACACTGTTGGTGGCGGATATATACCTCTAAGGAGTAGTGAACGGTCGAATGAGGATGAGGCTTTCTTTGCGTTGTCGAGATGGGAGAGGTAAGCCAGCTTTGGTTGGTCTTGCTTATATTGCCTTGAAGGGGCTGCTGATGAGACTCTCGAACTGCGGTTCTTGAAGACTTCTAGGGTTCGGTGCTTGCTTGCTCGGAGCAGCAGTCTGCTTCTTCGTCGCGTTCTTGACGCTACCACTACTAGCGATAAAGCCAGCTAAGTTTGCACTGGCATTCAGGTACGCCAACCTTGTGCGATACTCTCACATTACCTCACCCTTTCCTTCGCCCATCTTACACAGCCTGGGAAGCTTACTGGTTATGTTTGGGTGTGTATCTTTATGGCTGCCCATGATATCCCAAGTGTACTTACTTACCTGTGTGCCTATATCAGGTTCTCGGTGCTAATAGGGCCAATCAACCACATAAAGCACCTCGTATCCACAGAACGACTCCCGTTCTCGCTGATATACCTAGGCAGTTTAGGCCTCACATTATATTTCTCCCTCGGGGTAATTATCTCTACTAAATCGATCTCTCTATGTCTGATGGCGAGCTGACTTCGTTCGCCCAGGCACATTCGTATATAGGCTCGCTCATAGGTGCAATAGTCCAGGTACGCGTCAACGTGCTTCGTATTCTTCTAGCCCGAGGATCTCATCTAATGCGATCATATCTGAATCTTTACGCCACACGCAGGTGATTGCACTAGTGTCCTACGTGCTGGCTTATTTCCCGGGCGGTTCCCAAACGCTCCGATTCGGCTCCTCAATGGCACTTCGCGGAGCAGGCAGTTTACTTCCAATCTGACTCTACACGCTGACACTCTGCCTCCACGTGTGGCAGCGAAGCTTCGAGGGAGGTTTCATTTGTACGATTCGCAGCTGTCATGCATGCATGGTATACACACGTTATTTATTATCATGACCCTTGTGATCGACTTCCCTGATGTGATTTCAGCATGACAGTTCAACACGCTGATGGCTGGTGACTTTCGCGACCCTCGAGTTTATCAAAGTGCCATTCTTACAGTACTGACATATATGTATGTGCGCTGACAAGAATGACAGTTCCGAGCAGCAATACTCCACGCACGACAGTTCAATCTTTTCAGCATTGCAATTTCGCTGGCCACGAGGCGAAGTACCATGACAGGGTGGATTCGTACAAGATGCCGTAATATTTCTTTGTGATGGACTTTGCACTTTATGATGCAAAGCTACGGGGTGGTAGAAGAACGACTGTTTAACGAACAAGTATTTCACTACTGAACAAATTGGATCTTTCCAGTGTCAAGAAGATAACAAAGCAACGATCAAGTCAGGAATACGGAAGGAAAGGATAACGATATGTGCAAGAAGAATACGGAGGTACCTCGTCTGTTATGCTGGTTGGTGTTACTTCTACAATTGCGAGTTGAGACTGGATATTGAGGATGAATTAGAGCGAAGGAGGAGTGTCCGGGACGATGAGATAGCGAGTGAGTAGGGAAAGGGATGAATGTCGAAGGTAGAAGAGGAACGGGAACGATGCTGATAAATGTCCGTCTGCTAGGGATTTTAGGTTGCGCGCCCATTTTGTCTCTTCTCATTTAGATTTTCGGTCGAATTCGGCTGTCCCTTCTCAACTATGCCCTCCGCAATAATCGACGAATCATTCCCTTGGAGCTCCTCAAAGCGCATTCTATACCTGGCAATATGCCGGTCTTGCGTATGCCCTTCGTCGTCCCCATAATCCAATAAGAACGCTTCACAGGATCGCACAAAGTGCTCCAAATCATTACACTTGGTAATGCTATTTTCAGGCTGGCCTGAACCACGCGCTTTTGCTAGATACGATGCAGCGAGGGTGGAGAGACCGCCGAGAATGGTAGTAGCAATGGAAGTTTGACGTCCTGTGGTCGCAGCTGCAACGCCGGTGGTTAGGGCGCCCAAAATCACTTGAGCTCCAATGGCGACGTTGAGGCCCCATCCTGTCGCCTTTGCTATAAAGAGTCATTGCTTTATCAGAGATATTGCACGTGAAGTGGGAGGCGTGTAAAAACTTTGGCAAGCGTGGGTCATTTGCCCTGTTTAGAAGACCAGAGAAATGACGTCTCTACGCATTTTCGCAGATATCTCGGAACGCTACGAGCCTTCGCGGCAGCACATTCCCCGCACGCTACCCTCGGAAATATGAAAAGACAACAATTCATACCTGTCCTTCTTGCCTCCAGGAGAGCTTCTTGTGCGTGCTTCAGGGTGGGTTCTAACCGTGCCCCCACAGTGTTCTTCAGCCGGATGTGAGCTCACATAAGATCAACTGCATATGATGAAAATAAACACTCACTGGCTTGTATCTCTCCTCTGGTTTCTCCTTCGTCATTTGTAATATCTCGTGCTCGGTCGGTACAGCATGATCAATGATCGTCCGTCTCGACACTCTTCCCTCCTCGGCCAGTAAAGAATTGCGGTAAGGATACGGCGCGTTCCGCTCTATTTGATCCCCACTAATCATACCTACACCGTTTCCATTCCCATCTCCGGGACGTCCATCCGTATAGCTCTGTCGAGGTGATAACGTCACTCTCCTTCCCCCAAGACTTCCCTGCCTGTCATGGCTCATGTCATACATGCTACGCATCGATCGGTGCCGCCGGTCATATTGAGGCTCCATGAACACTGGGCCAGGCATACTCAGCGGCCGGTCGGTTCCATAGCTTGGATCTCGTAATACCTGAGGTTTGGTATTCGGCGGCGGAGGTGCGGGTGGCTCTTCTGCTTGCTTTGGCAGGAGGTTTGAAGCCGAGCCCTGTCCCTCTTCCTCTGTCGGAGACTCCTGTAGCGTCGACGGCACGAGCGACTTCCTCTGGTGATGTCGTGGGGAGGTTTCAGTATTAGATGTTGTCGTTGCGATGGGTTGTTGCGAAAAGGAACTTGCGGTAGATGGACCAGCGAGAGGTGCATTACCAGGAGACAAGGGATTCGAAGGTCTTAGGTCAGGATATGACGGCGAACGGGGATGCGGAATGGTAGTATTGTCGTTGGCGGGTGCGAACTGCACTTGGGGCGGTGAACTCTGTATGACGTTCACCGTAGGCAGCAGCGCTGGCGGGTTCGGACGAGGCGTGTCAGACTCCTCGCCGGTTCCTGCAGGAGTGTTGAAGCTCGTGTTTCCGTCCTCCTTGCTGCCAGCGTGATGGTCAGACATCTTGAGGTTCTAGGGCGTGTTGAGAGAAGAAAGAAGAGATAACAAAGTCGCGGGCGAGCGAAGGTTGGTCCATATCAGAATATATAGCACTATTCGTGATTTCTTGAAGAAATGACAGAGGACGGGCCCGGTAAAGGTGCGCACATACACGCTGCTTCTGGCTTCGATTCACCTGTCATGTGTGTGGACAACATACACTGGTGAAACGCCTGTCGCTATCCGGTCGCTATTCACGAACATATGTATCGGCATAACCGCCCTAGAGAAGTCAATCAGGAAGATCCATTTTCCATCCTTATACTGTACTGCCTCCTGCGTGGCGGCGGCAGTACTTCAACAAAAAAGAGAGACATGCATGGGCGCTTCCTGCCTAGCTACTCTTCCGTCTCGACTTCGACATTGCTTGCGTTGCAGAACCGATGCTGTAGGGATATGGTTATATTATCTTCCATGTCTGCGTTATTACTCACTTGGACGTCCGTATCGAAGACAGGAGAAGCATCGCTATGACAAAGCGTGCAGGCTGCAACATTACAGGCATATCACTGTCACTACTCTCGAGGCTCACAAGAGGGAACAAGTTTGTTTTGGTCTTCAAAGCTTCAAGCTTGAACGTTTGGACGCCCGGCTTAGTACCGATTTATCTATAAGCCGAACTTCTTTGCTTCGAAAGGTGGTATGAGCGCGTACGTCAGGGCCTAACGTTATTCAGAATAGTTTGATCTATTGTCAGATCCCCAGCGCTTTAACCCATTCCCATACCACAGCAAGCCAGAAGCCATCCTCTGACTTCTATCCATATGCACCCATGGACAATTCTTTACGGATCGAGGCTCCTGGGCTCTCTCTCTCAAGCTGTTACCAACGCCGAAAGATTCTCGGACGGCTATCATTCCCTCGATCGGTATCTGACGGGGTGTTCCCGTGATCCTGTTTCACAGAGCTCGATATCACCGCAGCTGAATATCCATCTAGACCCCCTCCAAGCATCGCAGGACATTTGAATGGCATTCTCTCCTGTTGTCATGCAATATTTTTATCAAAGGGCCGTAACTTCGCCGTAACCCCTCAGTGAACTTCTAATGCATCATTCGGCGGGCGCTCGACGTTCACATGTCATTGGCAGTTTCCTCCGAAAAAGTCTTGCAGAGATTGGCTTGCGTGAACATGGCATTCTGCCTTGGATTTGGGCTTTCATAAGGTGACAGCAGCCCGGGTTTCTTGAACTCACGCTCATTTCTGGCTCTCAACGGATATAGCGTATTGTCATCAATCTATCATATCATTAACTTCTTGGTCACCGTCGACGGCTCGCACGCTCCACTTGGTATGCTTCAAGAACTACTAGGCATAAACGTTAATTCGACATGGGATGTGATAGGCTGCTTGTGTACTAGGGCTGTCAATGCAGTGCACTGGAAGTTGTCGTCGTCTTCAAATTTGTCACGCTAGCCCTCCTCGATTTCCCCCCTTTCCTCCGATGCAATAAGTCTCTCATCGATGATGTATTTTCTCACCGAAGGTTCAGCAGGCGTCTGAGCTTACTAACAGCCATTTAATTCTGGCCTCTTACCTATGCCATTCTGGTTTCCCGTTTCGTTCTCTGATGATTGGCTCTTTCGCCAAGACCGGTACCACGGTGATCCTTCTGAGGCTCCGGAACCCAACTCATAGTACAAAGAGGTCTATAAAAGGTGTGTGTTTCGGCATCTCTGCGCGGCAGGTACTCAATCACCCGATGTTTTTACGTTCGATGCAAGGCGATTAGCACATAACGATTCGGCTGGGCTACCCTCCATATAGCTGGAAGACAACTTGATAGCAGCTCATTCTTGGCGTTGAAATTATGGTGCTTTGGAGGTGAGAGCGAAAGAACACTTCAGGGATACACATCTTGAACGATGTCTTCTAGGAGGGTGTAAAGATGATGACATCTCCCCTTCTTTGCAATGGTTTTCTCCAATCAAGGAACATGAATATTCAGTTATGCCTGAGGATCCTTTTGCCGCAACTCAGTCATCCTAGCTACGCATATCTCTCTACACGCTGTGATGTCCCATTTTCTATCCCATGCTTTCATGCCGAGGAGATTGTCTGTTTCAACTCACTGGCAATCTCAACGGGTTTCCATGTATGCTCCGCAAATCTGTAAAACTGCATGTACATGTCCCAATCATCATGTCGAAACTGGAATCCTGACAGAGAACGATCGTCCGGAGCACAAGTAGAACATATCAATCTTTGAAAAGCCGTAAAATTACATAGATTTTGTGGTTCAAACTGCGAGTCCGAAACGAGCCTGGGAAGCGGATAGTCAGTTATATAGTTCATGAAGGAAACCAAACCATCGAATTGGTCGGGGAAGCGTCTTGGTGCCAACTTCCCGCCGGCCAACGTTTGTAAGTACTGTCAGAAAGCTGCAGACGTGTCACGGAGCTCCGGAACCCTGTTGTCGATGCCCATGCGTCCGAAACCCTGCATTACGGACTCAAGAGTATCTTCAACATTTCCTTGGCCCATCGAGATCGAACTTGAGCTTGCAAGGCTCGCATCGTCCCACAGTGACTTCCTCTCATCGACCTCATTTGACTGCGACCTTGAGCCACCAGCACGTTTCTTGGCGACCGCTTGCAATGCGCGTTTCGTCTCGCCATTCGGGAGTGTACTAAGGTCGAAGTAGTTCGCCGCGTATTCGAGAAGCCTGCGTGGGAAGCGCCACATGAGTCAATCCAGGACCCTAGAAGTGACAGAATGAAATGCACGTACCATTCAGCTTTGACAGCAGTCACTGTACGGATGTACGGTCTTGTCGTTAGTACAAAGTCCTTGAAGATCACCCAGTCAGGTCTCGAGTCCAATCCGCATGAAGGATGCAATGCGACGACCTATGAACACGTGGAATTCAATGATCATCTAAGTGTGATCTCTAACAAAGCTACTCACCTGGTTGTCCTTCACTGTCAGGTACGCATTCTTCTCGCCCTCCTTATGCGCAACTTGCATGAAGTAGCCACAGACAAGCGCTTGGCGAATGTATGTGTAGAGCGTCCTCTCGTCCTGCGTTGAAATGAGATCGATGTCGAAACGCTCCATGATGCGTTGAAGCTGAGAGCGGACATTTTCTGCTTCAGCAAGTGCTCGTTGTGATAGGAAGTTGTTCCATGCCCAATTCCTGTCATGCATATCTACCGAGGTCGTCAGTACCACAATAAATACCACAAGCAAGTAGTTAGCGGCTCACTTTGTGCATAGTGATTATAGACGTTGAGCAATGTTAAGTGATCACCATCGGACACGGTAAGCATTTGTTTCGCAGCGTCCGCTTCCTTCCTCTTGTTCACAGGACGCAACCAGACATTCGGAACTGCGAGCACAGGATATCAGCATCGATACGAAAGGTAGCATTTCCGAACTTACCAGATAACATGGCCACAATCGTAAGAATTTCGTTGCTGCATTTAAACTCCGGGCTGACAATTAGCATCTTCGCCATCTAATAGCAACAGCATGTCAGAACCTCGGGCCATGTAATGAATTAGAATGAACGCATACCTGTGGGTCCAATGGGAACTCTGCCATAATTGCACCAAGAGGAGTCAGATTTCCATCATCATCTAACGCGGCGAGGTAATTTAATAGCTCCAACGCTCGCATCAAAGTCTCCGGTGCGGGTGTATCAACGTAACCAAACCGTACCAAATCCTAAGGAGCGTGTCAGGCCAAGATTGTTTCGCAACATGGATCAGAGCTCACCTTGATACCCAGCTTAACCAACACCAGCACGGTATTCGCCAAGTTACTCCTCAGAATCTCGGGATGTGTCTGCTCCTCCAACTCAGTCATGAAGTCCTTCTCCGTATACAACCTGAAGCACTTCCCAGGACGTGTACGACCAGCACGTCCTGCACGCTGTTGTGCGGATGCCTTCGAAATTGGTGACACAAGCAAGGACTCAACACGTATCCTTGGGTTGTACACCTTTTGTTTTGAGAATCCAGGATCGACGACATAAACAATTCCGTCGATCGTGAGTGAAGTTTCGGCAATGTTGGTAGAGACTACGACTTTGCGGCCGGGTGCTCCCTCAGGCGTACGAGGAGCTGGCGCAGGGTCGAAGATCCGTTGTTGTTGTTGTGGAGGGAGCGACGAATAGAGGGGGATGCAAACGAGGGGACCAACAGAATCCGGGTCCTGGTTGAGAAGATCATTGGCCTCGAGCTTGATCTTCCTGCAGGCATCTTCGATCTCCTCCTCACCAGTTAAGAACAGCAGTATGTCACCAGGTTCCTCCGCACGGTGAATCATGAGCACGGTCCGAATCGCCGCCTCGACGTAATCGGGCTCTGGCTCCTGAGTATAGAATACCTCTATAGGATGTGCTCTGTCACGAACTTGAAACAAAGGCGCCGGCTTGTCCTTCTTCAATCCAAAATACCTCTGGAACTTCAGGGCATCCAGTGTTGCGGACGTGATGATTATTCTGAGGTCAGGCCGGCGTCTGGCAAGAACTTTGAGGAGACCCATGAGAATATCAGTGGCTAGGGTGCGCTCGTGCACTTCATCAAGAATGATGGTGGAGTAACGAGAAAGATCGGGGTCATTCATGGCTTCTCGCAGAAGCATACCATCGGTCATGTATTTGAGGAAAGTGGTCCCCGTTTCGGTCATATCCTCGAAACGGATAGAGTAACCAACCTGCCTCCCGAGGGGTACTAAGGAGGACATCAATTTTGCAGCTCGAAAGCATAGTGAGGCGATCACGTACCATCCATTTCATCAGCAACACGTTTTGCTGCGGACATGGCTGCCACTCGACGAGGCTGTGTACACGCTACCAACTTCCCCCTCGTATGCGGTAGATCAGAGTAGCAGACGAACTGAGGTATTCTGAAAGAAGAAAGATACAACAAAGAGGGAATGGTCAGCAGGATGTCAGTGGTAATTAGAGATGCAACATCATAGCAATCTTACTGTGTCGTCTTCCCTGAACCTGTTTCTCCAACCATCACGATAATCTGATGTTCGTTGAACTTTTTCATACTGTCAGTCTACTGTGTCCTCAATTCTCGGAGGGCAAAGGCATCGTCGTATTCACGAAGAAGACTCTGAGCTTCCCTCCACAGAGTCCGAAATAGAGATGTACTCACCATCCTGTAGAACTCGTCCATCTGTGTGTACACTGGCAACTTCTTGCGCACTTCCAGGATCTTCTTGTACTGAGGGGTGAAAGGCTGCTTTGTAAAAGGATTGATGTCTCCACCCTATAGATGTATATGTGCGTTAATGAGATTAGTTGGAAGCAACGCCAAACTCACCATGACTCTCCGAGCATCCTTTGCTGCGACTTTGCGAGGGATGAAGCCAAAGAACGGCTCCTTTACCGAGCCATTCGGGGAGGAAGGAACTGGCGGCGCGTTCGTGTAAGGATTTTTGGCCATCCTCAAGCCTTTGAACCTGTACGATGGAGCAGGGGAACTTGGAGGGCCATATGCATGGGAGAACGACGGATGGTTCTGACATGTGGGCCACTTATGGAAAGCATGGTAATGAGAAACGCTGGCAATGTTGAAGCCTTGCGCCAGCGGCGATGACACGCGGTCGCTTTATTAACCTAGGTCATATGGAGGAAAGTAGCTGGTAGTAATTTTCGAACCGAACTATGTTTCATCCAGTCTCGAAATTGCACTTGAACCTGATCAAGCGAAGTTAGCAGATTTGTTCTGAGAGACTCCATGTGTTCCAAATAAAGATATTCGATCGTGCAAATTAACATAGTGTGAGCTTCGTCAATACCAAAGAGCCAAGACAGGTGAGATAGTGTCGAGTTTTCTCGCAGAGTCCTGGGGTCAGCGGGGAAGAAAGTGACAAAGTTGGCGTGAGACGGAACGTTGCGAGCTAACGCCTGAGAGGGTCATTGGCGCAAGTGTATCTCCAAGGTGAAAGTACTGTATATCCTTAGTATGACACAGAGCTCCGAGAATAAACTGCTCTTCTGAATTCGTGCAGAGATCTGGGATACATCGAGAGTCCATAAGATACATGAAAGAGGATTCAAGGCGAATTTCCAATGACGCTCGAGCTGGAGGTTGGAATAGGGAAAAGCAGGGGCGAGCGGCTGGTTTCTTTAACAAGAATATGTTGAAGTAGAACGTACATGGTAACGGATTGCTTTCTTTGAGACAGAAAGCTGCGTTTCTATTCCTGAAGTATCTGGATCAAGTCACTGAAGAGGCGTGCCAACTCCCGACTCCCAAATAGACATGCGATCACTTTAACAACTTCGCTCACGTAATAGCATCTAATTCTGGTAACTGAGTATGTTTACAGGCAGTGGCTGCGTACAAGGGAAGAATGTAAGGTAGAAGACTAAAGAGCACGTTGTATTGAAGTGTTCTATAAGAGCAGTCGCATCCATTATGAACAAATCAGCTACTAACTGTCGCTATCTTGTACTTAGTCACTAAAATATCCCGAGTCAGCATTAATCTTGAGAGCAAAATGGACCTCCCATGTTATAGTATCCTGACTTTATGGATGCGGATGTCGGCATGTACATCGTGCTAGTAACGCACGTTGGTCGCAAAGAGTACTTTTCATCTTTAGTGCAAATTGTGCATGGACGGGTGTCGTCCCGGAAGAATGTCGGATATAGCAGCAAGCGACCGGTAGGGCAACTTCTGCTTACTTAAGGAACGCATTCTTGATTCTCGAAGAGTCGACAACAACGCAAGTCCGTCGCGTTTCACCCCGCTTGCAGAAGGCGAATAGTTGTTTCGAACGGCGACCAATAGGCTATCTTCAGAACCACAAGTAGAACATTCGATAAGGATACCTTGTGGTTACAGATGCGTTCATTTACGTCGATAAGACGTTTGCTTCCTAAGTCCCATGGATGATTCAGCAAAATCCTCAGGCCGCAGGCTGCGGTGGTCCGGTCCTATAAAATCACCTCAAACTTTCTCAAGCCCCGCGTTCAGCTACGAAAGCATCCTCTTTCGCACTCGACTTGACCTCGTCCTTTGCGTCTTGTCTTGCGGTTGTCTTGTTTTCTCTTCGTTCCTCACGAGAATTCGGACATTGAGTGGATGTCTTCATTCCGTAGCCCCAGCTGTTGCCCAGGAAGTGCTCCTTTATCTCCTGCTCCCACACTCGTAGAGCCACGTCTGCCCCCATGTCCACCTCGCTACTCCGCCGCGAGGAAATACGTTCTTCTCTTCATTTTCTGCCTAGCCCAGTTCCTCGACGCGTTCAACAACTCAGCTCTGTTTTCCGCCATTCCATCGCTCATAGAGGACTTGAGCATGACCGAAAGCGAGTCTACTTGGATTATCAGTGCCTTCCAGCTCACGTTTGCGTCTTTTTTGCTCATTGTGAGAAGCCACTTTCTATTCTATTCTTGTCGCTTTTGACTAATACGACTGCCACAGAGCGGAAAGATATCAGACATCTACAACCCAAGTGAGTCACAATTATGTACACTTCGCGACATAGGCTCACCGACTGATTCTTCAGAGCATGCTTTCATCGCTGGTGCTGCAATTTTGGGTATCTTCTCAATTGGAGCAGGTTTTGTCAGGGACAAAATTACACTCATTGTCTTGCGAGCGTTGAGTGGAATTGGTTAATTATGCTCTGACTTTCTACATCGTCCGGGAAGCTGACCGCCAGACGATTTGCAGCTGCATCGTTGACTATACCTTCTGCTCTGACGCTACTTGTGAATCTGTTCCCGGATGAACACGAACAAGCCCGTGCAATCGGCGTGTTTGGTGGGTGTGGTGCAATTGGCAATGGTGCGTCCATTGGTTCAGTCATACGCCGTGCATGATCCTGAGTGACTTTTCGTGCCAGTACTGGGTTTAATTATTGGGGCTATCTTCGTGCAATTTGCAAACTGGTCATGGGTATTCTGGTTTGTTGCCTTGATTGCCATACCGATTTCGGGACTGTGCACCATTCTTATTCCTCCTCAACTGAAAACCGACGACGAGGACAAGCCGGCCGGCGCGAAGTGGAAGAGCCTGGACCTAGTCGGCATATTCATTCTTACAGGTATGTTTGCGAAGTCGTCTAAGTTATTTGAACACTTTAATGACAAGGAGTCCAGTCGCTCTTATCTTGTTCATCTTTGCCATGACATCTGGCTCATCTTCTGGTTGGGCATCTGCGCGAGTTCTCGCACCGCTAGTTATCTCCGTCTTCATGATCATCGGTTTCTTCTACTATGAAACGAAGCTTCCAATCGAAATCGCCGCCGTGTATGCACTCATTTCCACCCAGTTTTCACCTTGCCTCAACCTTATCGTTATCTAGACCGCCTCGGACTTGGTTCTTGCCGAACTTTGCAGTCCTTTTCGGCATCGCGCTTCTCCCATATTTCTGGTGGACAACGATCTTCACGATTTTCACGACCTTGTGGCAGCAAGTCTATCATTGGTCAGCTATTACAACTGCTTTACGTATGTAAGTAGCAGGGACCCTTTCTCTCGAGCGAGTACACGTTTGATCTTGCTCTCCTCCAACCTTGCCTAGGTTGCCTCTTGGAGTGCTGGCGTTTGCCACGAGTTTTACTGGTGGTCTCTCTCGTATCATTAGCCCCAAGTGGATCCTCCTGTTCGCCCAGAGTATCCTCATTGTCGCAACTATCTTGCTTCATTTCGCGGATGGTCCCGACAAATACTTCCCTTTCGTTGTTCCAGCATTCATCCTCGGCACGGTTGGTGCTATGTTGACGTACACACACACGAAGTAGGTATCTCTACTTCGCATGTCCCATATCCTCTGACCTCCGATCATGTAGTATCGCTATCTTTCGGACATCTCCTTCGTCTATGGCAGGTACCGTCGGCGCGATCTTCAATGGTGCACTGCAACTTGGATCTGCCGTCGGCATCTCTGCTGTTAGCTCCATTGAGACCAGTGTCGAGAAGACTTCTGGTGGCCCGACGTCCTATGCCGGACGTGCGGCTGCTTTCTGGTTCGTCCTTGGGGTTGTTTGCCTTGAGGCGGTTTCCCTCGCAGTGTTCTATCGTGTCGAAGCCGAACACAAGGCAACGGACAATACCCCCGAGAGCAATCCGGAGAAGTTGGACAAGTTTGCTACACAGAAAACGTCCACCGAAGAAGAGCCCGTTTAGAGCTCTCGACTCTGGATCCTAAACCTGACCAACGCGCCACAATCACGACGTACAGTAAATGACAACCGAACTTCCCACACGAATTGGCCATGATTTTTTCATTCACCCTCTCTTTCGATTGTTTTGTACATCACGGATCTTCTCATTCGTATAGATCATAGATACTTCATATCTCGGTTTTCTTCTCGCAATTGTATCTGTAGACACTTCAATTCGCACCCTAGACAGTTTCCAGTTACCTCCAATATTTAATCCTCAATCGTCTATAGATGCGGTCCTACTCCATAGATTTTAAATAGACTACTTATCACACGTTGCATTTCACCCTGCAAATTTGTGTTCCAGTCCAGATCTTCAGTGCGGTAACCTTATGATGCTAATACTACAATACCTGCTGCATCGGGAACGACACTTGCTTCCTTTAAGCGCTTGAAGGTGTTGTTCTCAAGCCATCGACTTTTGAGACAAACCATAACGGCACTTGAAGCTGAAGCTGATGCACTTACGGGTACCCTCTGGAACTGCAATTGTGTCCATTGTATCCATGTATTCACAGCCTTATTGCTTGGAGATGCTGTACATGCATGATGGCCCAGGCTGGCTCCCCTTATTATCTCGTTGTTGCCGTCGGGTCCCGTTGGTCACTGCGGGGACGCCGCTTTTTATTATTCGAGTCGGACTTGTTCTATAAACGCAGCGTCATAAGAGGATTACGACGCGCTGATAACGAGAGACCCAGCGCCCATGGTTAGTTTTTATCTGTGACTTTGGTGATTAAGCGTTTCCTGATTGGATGTGATAATATGCGCTCCTTAGTGATCCTTCGCTTTCATTAAACCACTGGAAGAACCGATTTTACATTGTTGTGTTTGCATTCTAGGATGATATAGACAAAATTGGAATGACTTTGAACGGAAGGACCGCGTCATGACCGACATGTGTGCAAGGTCCCGACGTTCCCGCGAGTGGCCTTTGTTTGGCATCTGACTCTTTGGCCCAGCGTGCGGTACGGCTGCTTTGTTTCACGTCCAACTTCTTCACACCTTTGATCTTTGTACCCACCCTCACAATCTCCTCCCTCGCTCTGACATCAAAAATGCTCGCAGGATATCATTATATTCACTTCTATGCTGAAGATCCAGGCGTCTTTACATACGTCCAACATATTATTGATTCTCTGGATTCTATGACCGGCCCACTTGACTGGTCAGGACTTTCGGTGTGTACCAATCACATTGCTTCCGAATATCTGTCGAATATCCACCTATAGATAGCACAAGCATACATATGTTGCAGCCCAACTAGTCTTGCTGGCCAAAAACACCCTTCAGTATTACTCCTCAATGCAATCCACGTTCGTGACACTTGTTATCATCATGATATCGCTGATACCAAAGAATTTGCAGCGTCTTCAAGTATTAAACAACGAAGAAAGTAGACAGGGTCGTACCACCGTACGGACTATCATCATATGGATTCATCCTTTGTTTACTTGGGATGAGAGCACATGGGACCATGTTATTAGGGAAGCCGCAAAGGTTGAAACATTTTCATTCGCACTTGGGAGACGCATTAACACGCTATTGTTTTTTTAGGCGAACGTCAATCTTCAATTCGCAATTTTTTCCTGGATGTCACTGCCCATTGAGATAGGGAAAGTGAGTTGTATCGTTTGTTAATAGTTATACGGACAATAACAGTCACACAGTGCCGACGCGCCTCTTTGCGCGAAATATTTCCTGCTCGTCCAGACAGCCCACCAAATTCTGATTTTGTTCAATTCTATAATGTCATATATCAAATTCAGTATAAGGCCACAGGTAACGTCGGGTTTACCTGATTTGTTTACGAGTCATTGAAATTCTGCCAGTCATAAGACGAGAAGCTCTGTTAGCTGAGCTCCAACGGCTAGAGATACTAATGAGAGGTCTGTTCGATTCCCTTTGTTGCAACCGATTCGTGTTGAGTATAGCGTAATCTCCAGCTACGGGAAGACATTCAGCGGAAAATTCAACCCAAAACGCCCCACCTCACACTGGCAACGATCATCTGATTACAGATTATGGCCAGCCGAACAATGCGCACATGGGCCATTCTTCGGGGATCGACTCACAACTCTCAACCCATACCAACCATTTGCAACCCGCCGATTTACAGGCACAATCCCAAGAACTAACTTTCGGATTGCAGCAGCCTGGTCCGTCACAGATCGCAGCGAATCCCTACCAGTTCGATCCGCACGTGTTCAATCATGAATATAACTTACTGGCTACGAATCACCCTCAAGAGACAAATTATCATTACCTCGAAGCTACTTCGCCTCACGATCCATCTCGCGACTACCCTCAAGCATCCCTGGCTCGGTCTTCCCTGGCTCTTGCATTAGTGCCCCACACAACGCAACCCATACAGCAGGATTCAATTGCCACTTTGAACACAACTTTGACTCAGGACAACTCGCACCAAGTAGTACCTGAACCGGAAAGAGTCACGGGGAAACGACGCCGTAAAAATGAAGATGAGGACTCCACGGATGCTGTGACGACTGCACAGCCCCTCAAGCGACTCAAAGAATACGCCGACGGCAACATCGACCCAGCTTGGAATATCACCACGCAGTCTGACGCGGCTGCTCAAGGTGACCACCAATTTGGTATAGCTACATCCACCCTGGATCTACCTGGCTTTTCACGTAAGTCTGAGTATCATCATGTTTGATATGCGACTCTGCTCACCAGTGAGATGCAGTGGACAACTTGGAGACACCGGCGGTCCCCGATCTTCCCTCGGATGATTTTGTGCTGACTCCGCTGGTCAATGCCCAAGCGGTTATGAGCGAAAAAGCTAGAGGGAAGCAGAAAGAGGCTAGTTCCTATGGTGAGTACCTTAGAAACCTTGTTGTAGTCGACGGGAAGCTAAGCTTTTGAAGAATCAACATCAGATGGCAACTTTGGGTACCTATACCCGTCAGCTGAACAAGTACTTCAACCTCAACATTACACCAACGTCGGCCCTGGTGCAATTGCTTCCCATGCTGCCGAAGCGGACATCGGAGGAATTAATATCAGCAACTTTGCAAGAGAACGATCCATTCTCAACTGTGCGCCTTCGTCATTCACTCCCGACCCAACTCTTTCCCTTTCAATCGCAGCTAGTAGTCGATACTCACCAGGTGCTCTTGTGCAACCTGTATCGAATTCAGGCCCCCAACATGATGATAGAGGGGTCATTGACCTGACGGGATCTTCTCCCATCGAACCGATCGCCAAATCGAACACTGTCGGGTTCCCCTCTGTGACGCCTTCATATGGTAAATATCTTATTTTCAGAGGCTGCACGACCTCACACTGACGATACCTGCCAAAGAATCTACACTCAATCACCACTCTCACCACGCAGCTGCAACTCAATCGTACCCAACGGCACCGCTTGGCCGATATCGCCTCACTCCTCAAATTGATTATCCTCCCATGATTGGAGGACCTCCTCTAGATACCTTCGATAATACCACCAAACCCACGCCACCTATCGGTTCCTCTGGAAGGAGGTCGAGAATGAGGAAAACTCCGAACGGGTCCCAGGCTCCTACCCCATCTGGTACCCCGGATATTCCAGCTGCTCCGAAGAGACGAGGAAGGCCTCCGAAGGCTATGAAAGTTTCAGAGGACCCACCTGTGTCTTGTGAAGCCTCGGTTACTACTCCTCAGCCCGTTAAGAGGAATGCGCGTAAGCTAAAGGCGGCCTGTAGGTTCACTTCTTCTATTCACCTTCTCAAATGTTGAATATTTGCATTTGGTTTTAGCCGGTGAACTTAGACGTTCGGATAAGGGTAAGGGCAAGGGCAAGGGGAAAAATATCGAGAGTGTGGATCCTATCACTTCGGTTTCACAGCCAACTACCGTTGGTGGGGCTGGCAGAAAACCACCTGTTATCCAGGGCCCGAGTATGTCGTTCTATTTGTGTGACAAGGCAGCTTGAAGGTCAGCTTACATTTTCCGATTCTGAGCAGCTGTTGCTATAGATCCTCTAGGCGATATCTTGTCTCGAAGGGGGGGAGACGACGATTCCGATTTGGCATTGCCTGGATCGAGCCATAAACAATCCACGTATGCATTGAACCATAAAGGTCCGTCTTTGTCTCCCGGCTCCCTACTCGAGAAGCCGGTGTGTAAGATCCCTCCTCCAAACCAAAATGAACACGCGGACGTAATCGATTATAGTAACTGTATGTATGATTTGTTTTCTAATCGTGCCGCGCAGGGATTGTGTACTCATTCGGGACTGTTCATTTTAATAGCTCTCTTCACTCCTACCGAGTTGTCTTTCCCTCCTGTTAGTGTCCCATCAATGAACCCTGCTGCGGAATCCAGCACTGCAGACTGCTACAGTCTGATGCCTATGCAAGAGCGAAGACAAACCTCCGACGATACGAATCCCTGGCCATCTCCCAGCCACCTAGACGATTCGAGGCTCACCGTAGCGGATTATTATGCGGAACTCTTCGGGTCCGTTCTGTCTTGACTAGACTGGATCTTGCCATCAAGAATTAGAGATATGATACCTCTCCACGGGTTTTACTTGCTCGAGGAATACCTATACCCCTTTATTATTGGTAAATGTATAATTTCTGTCGAGTGTGAGGCTCTCGTTGAAGTGTGGGTTTCTGATATGTGAAGGACGGCACGTCAATGTGAGATACATGATCTCGTGAGGAGCGTACCCCATATTGGTATCAGGAGTCTTGCCAATAACTAGCGAGCTTACATGTTGCTCAATAACACTTTAAGGCAAAGACGATCTATTGCTTGAAAGGCTCTCATTTTCTCTCCTTGTCCAATGTCAATTGTTTTGCCCGGTGGTTGCCGAGAGACAATCGATCGAACACTTGACCTTGCACTTGACTCGAAAACTTGCCAGTGAGTCAAGTCACTTTCTCTCGCTTATTGCTTCCGCTGTTCTATCTTTCATTCTTCTCCTTGCTGGCAGCTTTGCCGACGATGACCACAGATGCAGATGCAAAATATGAGCTTATTACTCGAAGATTACAGGAAGTACTAGGCGGAGACAGTATCAAAGCGATCCTAGCGGAGGATAGGTCACCGAAATGTTACTGGGGTGTGTTGTGATCATATATTGTAGGAGAACAAAATGTGACATGCGTTCAACAGGTACTGCACCAACAGGCAGACGTACGTGCTTTGGGGCTTTATCTTTGGGCAGAAGTTGACAGATCGTTCTATACAGCGCACATCGGGTACTTCGTTCCCTTAACGAAGATCGCTGATTTCTTGCGAGCCGGCGTCGAGGTCACCATTCTCCTTGCTGGTATATACACACATCTACGTTTAGGATGAACGCTGCACTCACGCTTGACCCCAGACGTTCACGCGTTCCTTGACAACCTCAAAGCACCTCTAGAGCTCGTTGGTTACCGAACAAAATACTACCAATTTGTCCTCCTCGCTGTCTTTAGATCACTCGGGATACCCACTACTAAACTCAAATTCATAGAAGGATCGTCTTTCCAGCTGACAAAAGAGTACAGCCTCGACAACTACAGACTGGCGGCCATTGTCACCGAGCACGACGCGAAGAAAGCGGGTGCGGAGGTGGTCAAGCAGGTCGAGAGTCCTCTGTTGAGTGGATTATTATACCCCGGTCTGCAGGCACTTGACGAACACTACCTTGGTTGTGATTTCCAGTTCGGGGGTGCCGATCAAGTGAGTGATCTCTGTTATTGCTCTCTGCATGTCAGCTGCCTTACGAAATATCTTACAGCGCAAAATCTTCACATTCGCAGAACTTTACCTTCCACGTCTAGGATACGCCAAGCGCGCACATCTCATGAACCCTATGGTTCCAGGTCTCAGTGGCGGAAAAATGTCCGCTTCAGATCCTAATTCCAAAATCGACTTCCTCGACCCTCCAGCCGTCATTCGCAAGAAGATCAAGAGCGCCTTCTGCGAAGAGGGTAACAAGAACGACAATGGCGTTCTCGCGTTCGTCAACTCAGTACTTATGCCCATTAGCCAGCTGCGCATTGAAAGATTGAAAGGGCAGACGGGGGCAGATGAAGAAGAAGGAAAGGATGCCACTGGCGACCAGGCTCCTTTCGTGTCGGAGGGCGCTCCTGAAGGAACCGTGTTCTCGATCTATAGGAAAGAGGAATTCGGTGGTTCCTTGCATTACAAGAACTTCGAAGAGGTTGAGAATGACTTCGTGGAGAAGAAGCTGCATCCGAAAGACCTGAAGTCTGCCGTCGCTGATGGTATCGTCAAGCTGCTCGAGCCCATACAGAAGGCTTTCGAAGAGAATGAAGAATGGAAGTCAGTTGAGAAGTTGGCCTACGTCGATCCGAATGCCAAGCCTAAGAAGAAAAAGGTTTGTCGCCTGTTTTTGACCCACTTATCTTTATAGCTGATGTCGTATATACTGCAGGAGAAGGTCTACCACCCCCCTCCACCAGGGAAGGGAAAGAACGTCAAACAACAGGAGAAAGCTGACGAGAATGGCTCTGCTGCACCTACGACTGCTGATGCTGCTACTACTGCTACTCCGGCGGAGCCACCTAGAAATGATGTTGTACCGGCTGCAGTGGAAGTCATCAAGGCAGAGTCTCAGTCTTGAATGTGGATAAGACGTGTTTTGTTCTGCGAGATTCGAATGACATTGTATGTTACTATTACATCATTGAGCTAGTCTGTAAGACGACTTGAATGTCGGGTCTTCATCTGGTGCGAAAGACCATCCTTATTTAGCGCCCAAACTGTTGGTGGCGTAGAGATGCTACATTACTAGCGCTGTCGGGCTTTGGATGTTTTGACCATTCCTTCTATCTCCCTTCACACCCCTTATTCCTCTAGTAAGCATTAATACTTTCTGTCAACGTTTGTCTCTATGCAATTCTAACAGGTCCCTTGCCAAAGTATCATTGTCCGAAACTGCGAGGTTCTCACCTTTCCCTCATCAAGATGAGGTGCAACTTGTCATTTGTCGGTCTCACGACTCGTGTACCCGCCCTCTTCTAGAGTCCTCCATTACGGTTAGATGTCCCCGCATGGATCCTCTGATCTTGCAGCGCCTTCGCGCGTTTCTGGCATCCATATATACAGTCGAACTCCGACGCATGTGTAGGAATAGACCTGCGTACTCTTTCTCCGTAACTTGACCACCTTGAGCGACGACAAGAGCTATCCAGACTAGGCAGCAATGGTCGATTCTGGCCAGATTATTTTGGAGAACGTGTCTAGAAAATCTTCGGTCACAGAAGACAGGCAAGTTAACCATGTTCAAATGCGTCAAAGTGATGTTACTGAGTATAGTTTCTAGAGGCTGGGAAGATGTCCTTTTAATTCCGGCCTACATAACGGCAATCTCATGCGTGATGCTCGTCGGGCAAGCCATCTACTATACCTTTGCCCATTCGAAGGAACGAGCACTGTCATCTGTCGACGCTGATGACCAGGGTGTAGACATTACCAACTCTAGCCATTTGTCGCATCTGAGAGCGCATATAGACGAACTTGGAGGTCTTCGGCTTTTCTTTTTCAGGTTTATACGCTTGCTCGCGTGTCTTGCACTAGTTGTACTCTCCGTAGCTACAAACCTACAGCAACTCACTATGACCTACGTAAGATATTCAAGAACGTTTTTACAAATATAACTGATCGAGGAATTTGTTCTCTCTGAAGACATATGCGTCATGTCTGTCCTTGTTCTCGCTTTCTGCCAAATCACCATGGGATGGAACTGCTAGTAATCACCTCAATGTTGTGCTACTGGCTTCATTCGCCCTCTTCGCCTACCGTGACCTTTGGCCACTTGCGACCTACACACTGACACCTGCCGATGGAGCGGAAGGATGGTTACTTTGGATGGAGATCGCTGTACTGTCTTTCGCAGCAGTCCTCATTCCCTTGATCTCACCTAGGCAATACGTACCCGTTGATCCTGAGGTTAGTCCTTTATACCGTGTGTGTAAATTTCTAAATGACCTGCATAGGACGGTAACGAACCAAACCCGGAACAAACTGCGTCTTGGCTCTCACGGCTCTTCTACATTTACTGTGATCCAGTGGTTCTGAAAGCATTTCGAGTGCCCCATATGAAAATCGACGACTTACCGCTTTTGAGCGACTTCAATCGGACGAAGTATCTAGTCAAAGAAAGCTTCCAAGTGTGTAAATTCTTGACAGATGATTTCTACTGGTTGATCATATGGTGCAGCATCTCGATCCACTTCTTTCTCCCAGTAAAAGGCACATCGGCTTGAAATTGATATTCAAGATCTTTCGTATGTTTCTTTCTGACAAGGCGTCTTATAATTTCAGGGCTAAATGTGTCATGTTTTCTAGCTGTCGAATATGTGAGAATGGCCCTTGCAATGATCGCCTTTGTATGATATCCCATCATTGTATCTGTGTGATTCTGCTGATGATTGTGAAGAGTGGATCGACCATGGCAGGTCCAATTGCCATCAACCGACTTTTGGTGTATGTTTTTAACCTCTAAGCATCTTCACCCCTGTCTGACATTTAACTAGCTATCTTGAAACTGAAGGCACAGATGCATTCATCCGACCCTGGCTCTGGGTGTTATGGATCCTCTTTGGTGATACATTGACTTCTATCACAATCAATTACTACAATTATCAGGCTGTCAGTGTTTATCATACTTGATTCTTTATTATTCATATATTGACCAATATTAATTTAGTCAGTGGTTGTTGTTCAATGTCAAGGCATTTTGACACAGCTTGTCTTTGATCATGCACTTCATATCCGTGTCAAAGCTGAAGTCTCCAAACTTTCCTCTGCTGCTACTAGTGATATGGCTGCTGTTCTCACTTCCAATACTGCATCAGCAGCTGAGGGTGATGGTCCACCTATATCTTTACAGTCTTCTACTGCTACTGCATCTCATGCTGCATCAAGTTTCACCAAAGGCAAGAATACAGGATCTGAGGCTGACAAGGCAAAGGAACCCATAGGAGTTGAGAAGCATAATCTTACTGGAAGACTGAACAATCTTGTAACAAGTGACATGGACAGTCTTCTGAGTGGTCAACAGTTTATGTGGATATGTAAGCACTTGACTGTTGATTCAAATTTGATAAGTTGTGTTATCTGTTGACTCCTTTCTGGCAGTATTTTTCTTGCCAATACAGCTTGTATTTAATATCTGGTTCTTGTATACATTGTTGGGATGGGGGTATGTTAGTGCATTTATTCAATTCTGCATCTGAAGGCTAACATCAGTTCTCAATGTGCAGTGTGCTCCCAGGTTTGGGTGCAATGATCTTGATGTCACCTTTGCCTGGACTCATTGCCAAGCTAATCAATAATACTCAAGAACAAAAGATGAAAAAGGTTTGTCACACTGGTGCATCTTTGTCAAGACTGCAATTGAATGAGGTCATTTACTCCAGAGTGATGCAAGGGTACAGAGTGTCACTGAAAGTCAGTGCAATGTATATGCATGATTAGCTGTGATGTTTAACTCTACTTACACCATGCAGCCTTGAACATAATCAGAATGGTAAAACTTTTTGGTTGGGAGATAAACATGGGCAAGCAGATTGCTCAGAAGCGAGATGAAGAGCTGGTATTTGTCAGAAAGCTCAAATTTCTCCAGTTGAATGATTTTATCAAGTGAGATCTATTCTTCCAATTTGCAACATCTAAGCTCATCCTGTATAGTGCTGTCCTTCCAATTGTGATGATCCTCACATCTTACAGCATCTATGTGAGAAACTCCATGGCCACTCTCCATGGGCTAATGACCTTATTTTATTTAGACCCTGGTTATGAATCAACCTCTTAGAGGTATGTGAATCACTGGCTCACATTTATACCCTCACAAATCTTTGTCTCATATAGCATCTCAAATCTTTGCATCTATCATGTGTCTGTATACCTCAGCATTGAACTTAGGAAATATTACTCATGCCTTTTAATCAGTATTCCAATTTCTTGAAGGAAACTTGCACATGGCATTCACATTTATGCCAGGAATCATTGAAGGTACAACTCTTATGCAATCTTTGGCTATTGCTATCTGAGTCCGCTCTAGGCAAAGTAGCCTTGGACCGTATGAATGAGTTCATTCAACAGGTATTTAAAGGGCCACAGTGTGCATGTTGTCATGCAAAGCTGATGATGAAACTAGACAGAGCTTCTGGATAAGTATACCTCACGCAAGTCAAGTGACATCCAGGCTATAGTGCTGACTTCCCAAGATGAGTTTTCCTCAATCGGTATTGGCCAATCCTCATTCACTTGGACGAGCGAAGAATATGCGGGCGATATTACTCCATCATCAATGCAGCCCAGATTTATGCTCCATATTGATGATGAGGTGTTGTTCAAAGCAGGATGCATCAATCTGATCATCGGACAAACGGGCTCTGGGAAGACGTCACTTTTGATGGCTTTACTAGGTAGATTCATCTATCGGTAGGGTTGGCCCTTGCTCACTGACGATATCTGATCAGGGGAGATGCACCGTATTCCCACTGGGCCACACTCTTTTATCAACCTTCCAAGGCAAGGCGGTGTTGCGTATCATGCGCAAGAGTCGTGGGTTTTAAACGAGACAATCCGGGTATGTTTCAACTGCCCAATTTTCCAAACTTCAACTGATCAGCTTTAGGATAATATATTGTTCGGTGCTCCATATGACGAGCATCGTTACAATACGGGTACGTCTTGAGATATCTTTTTACCTAGGAATAGTACAGTGGCTAGATTAAACCGATAGTGCTCGAACAATGTGCCCTCAAGCATGACATAGAGCTCTTCGAAGCGGGCGATCAGACTGAGGTTGGAGAAAAAGGCCTAACCCTAAGGTATGGTCTTCATTCCATTGTTATACGACTCGACTCCCTGATTGACCATTTAACAGTGGCGGACAAAAGGTACTCGCAAAGATCCTATACAAGATATCATGGTATCTGAACTATTAACAGGCTCGCGTCACCCTCGCTCGGGCAGTGTATTCTTCGGCGGAAATTCTCCTCCTCGATGACGTGAGTTGCCAATATGCGGATGATCCTCAACTCATTCTCATCACTCAATTGAACAGGTTCTTGCTGCACTAGATGTACACACTGCTCGGTGGATCGTCGACAAATGTTTACAAGGAGATTTGGTACGAGGACGCACTGTCATTCTCGTGGTACGTATTTGAGTTAGTTGCTGAGCGAGAAATACTATTAACATCAATGATAGACACACAACGTCGCAATGATGGCACCTGTGGTAGATTTTGTTGTGTCCCTGGGCCTCAACGGTCAGATTCTAAGCCAAGGAACTCTGTCCAACGCTTTAGCAAAAGATGAAACACTGTTAGCTGAAGTAGACAGAGAAGCCAAGGCAATTGAGAAGGCCGAACACGATGTTATAGAAGCTCCGGACATAGATCCGACAACTAAATCCGGGAAATTGATAGTCGAGGAAGAGGTTTCTGAAGGTCACCTTGGCTGGTGCGCTCGTACGTCCTCTCTTCCAATAGATTCCCATGTGGGATACTCATTAAAGTTCTCTAGTCAAACTTCTAGTTGTGAATATGGCAGGAAAAGGCGGCACGTTCGTGTTCTGGATTTCCTTTATCGGGCTCTGCGTGGCCACGAGAGCTAGTGATAATATGGAAATATGGGTGCTTACTCTGTGGGCCAGTCGTTATGAGAACTCAGATCCTTCTGACGTGCCAGTCATCCCGTGAGTAATTGTTCTTTATTGTCTTTTGGATTCGGTGCTCATTGCAAGCAGGTACCTGACACTCTATACTGGTGTCTACTTCTTTACAATTCTGCTAATGGCCATGGCCTCCATTGTATGGTTCTTTGGGTCCCTACGAGCATCGCGCAGGATCCATGAACTTCTGGTCAAATCTGTTCTTGGCAGCAGCTTGAGGTATGCTTCAGTTGAGACTTTCTTTGGTCCTCTCGCTTCACCTATCTTCCCAAGGTGGTTAGATCGAACACCAGTTTCTCGAATCATCACTCGATGCACTCAAGACATCCAGCAGAGTAAGTTTTCATCGATGGCTTTGGGGCTGCTGAATACTCATAGCAGTTTCAGTTGACTCAGGATTACCTAGCGCGATAAATGTGTTGATAGACTATACTGTGTCGATCGTTCTCAAGTTCACAGCCGTTCTCCTCATTTCACCTATCTTCATCATACCCGGCCTGATTCTAATTATTGCTGGCGTGTCTATTGGCAATGTCTATATGAAGGCGCAGTTGCCGATTAAGCGCGAAATCAGCAATGCGAAGGCTCCTGTCCTTGGGCACTTCGGATCGGCGGTCTCAGGGCTTGGTAACGTTTAGGTCTGCATATCTTCGCTCTCTGACTCACGTATTCCTAGTTTCTATCCGTGCCTACGGCGCTCAAGATGCATTCAGACAAGAATCCTATCGTCGTATTGACCAATACACACGAGCGCGGAGACCGTTCTCGGACTTGACCAGGTTAGTCCTATAGTATGCTACGCATGTCCTCTCGTTCCAATATCTATATCCAGATGGATCAACGTCCGCATGAATCTACTTGCTTCGCTATTTGCATCTAGTTTGGCCGCGTATCTGACGTATGGCACAAGTATTACACCTTCAAAGACCGGCTTCTCCCTGAATATGGCTGGTATGAATACATCAACCCGACTGTATAATGGCTACTCATGCTCCTTACAGTCGGATTCAGTAGCATGATCTTATGGTGGGTTCGCTCTTTAAACGTGGTTGAAACTAAAGGTACGTAGCTGTAGAATTGCGCTACCCAAATCGTATTAATTGAAGTTGTGCATAAATGTATTTATAGGCAATAGGTATGTTCCTTTTTTCGGAGAGTATTACCGAAATATTATATAACCTTCCACAGTTTGGAGCGAATTCAGCAATACCTTGAGATAGAGCACGAACCCGAGTCAACCGAGGAAGGGGTTCCTCCGGCATATTGGCCAGCCAGCGGAGATCTGCGAGTCGAGAACCTGTCTGCTCGCTATTCACCTGTAAGTCGCGTCGATTGTTCTTCCATACAGTGTGCTCATGGCTATTCAGGATGGACCCAAGGTCTTGCATGAGATATCTTTCCACATTATACCCGGAGAACGCGTTGGCATCGGTAAGCAACATGCTGTTTCGTACCATGTACATGTCAATCTAATCAACCGGAGTAGTGGGGCGCACTGGAAGTGGAAAGGTAAACATTTCTCGGTCTTCAACTGCGACATATTGTGACAAATCATCGCCTTCAGAGCTCCTTGACTCTGGCACTGCTGCGAGCCATCATTACCGAAGGGAAGATGTACTACGACGGTATTGCAACCGATACACTGAACCTCGATGCGTTGCGTTCCAATATCACGATCATACCACAAGTGGTACGTCGCTCCTTGCGCAGCCATACGTATCTTACCTCTTCTGACAAACTTTCTCAGCCTGAGCTGCTCAGCGGAACGCTACGCGAGAATCTGGATCCCTTTTCTCAACATGATGACGCGGTATTGAACTCTGCGCTGCGCTCGGCTGGCCTGTTTTCCCTTCAGAATGAAAATACCGAGAGTCGTCTCGCTTTGGATAGTCAGATTTCTGGGGGCGGAAGTAATCTTTCAGTTGGTCAGAGGCAGATACTAGCACTCGCGCGGGCCCTCGTGCGGCAAAGTAAAATTCTCATCCTGGACGAAGGTACGTACTTGTTTCTTGGAAGCACCCAGACAGTCACTTACGACGTCTTCATCTATAGCTACCTCTGCTATTGGTAAGTTTTTTTCGTCTGATATGGGTATTTTAGATTGCGCTGAATGCTATTTTAAGACTACGAGACCGATGCTGTCATTCAGAAGTCGCTCAGGAGCGAACTCGGAAAGGATGTGACGCTCCTTACCGTTGCTCATCGTCTTCAAACCATCATGGATTCCGACAAGATTGTACGTCTATCTCGTCTTCGCCTTTTAGTACAAATGTTCATGTCGTGTTTTATCTGTAGATGGTGCTAGATGCTGGACGACTCGTGAGTATATCTGATATAGCGCGTCGAGCGTAATTCATTTCATTTTGTTTCTCCAGGTCGAATTCGATAAGCCCACCGAGCTTCTCAAGAACAAGAAGAGCTATTTCCGCGCCTTGGTCGAAGAAAGCGGCGACAAGGAAGCTCTTCTGGCCATGATCAATTGAAGTTCCACGGCTCATAGATGTCCTCCACCTGTCCCTCGCCTTTAAATGTGTTGGTTTTCACTTTTAGTACTTGCATGGACCTTCGTAGTGTGCTGCATGCCAATGTGAACGGCTGTATAGACAAGAATGTCGTGTCGGGTATGATACAATTATGATGCGACCGATCGATATATAGCTACAAGTGAGAAGTCCAGAAGGTGCAATGCGAAAGCAAAGAAAGAAACGCCATGCAACGAGTGAGCATGCAATGGTGATCATGCAATATGTATCGTGAGCAGTCAGTCATACACGTTGGGATGACTGATCTAATGCATTCGCTGAGAATCTCTTTGTCGGCTAGTCTTCGTCTCGATCTTGACATATTCGCTTTCCTCTCGGATGCCATCCTCGTCTTTCTTGACAGAAAGGTAGGCATCACCAAGAATTTGCATGGCCACGGCACGAAGATGGGCTTTGGATCGTGGGATGGAGGGATCTTCTAGGACGCGGTCACACGTCTCTCGCAGGACGGACTCAACCTCCAATTTCGTTCCCTACGAAAAAAGGACAATGTGGTTAGGTTAGGACGCTGGAAAGTGCTTTGGGGAGAACGGAAGAACGAACTTTGAACAGCGCTTGGAGACCTTTCTCAGCGGCTTGCTCCTCGAGACGTCTTTTCTCTTCAGGCGACAAGTTACCAGCACGTTCGGCAGCCTGGATCTGCTCAAAGACACTCTTGAGTTCAATAGCAGACCGTAACGTCGATACACTGTAACCGTAAATGATTTCAGTGTCTACATGTTATTCGGTGGGGAGGCGGGGATAAAGGAAGAACGCACGTTTCGCTGAAGACATGGTATTTGCCTTGCACGTTGTGCAACCATCCGCCTACACCCAAGAACGTCTGGTTACTAGCCAGGTGCGCCTTGGATTTCGAGACGTAAACGAACCCGATGGCGTGTAGAAGGTCTGCACCATAGGATTCCTTCTTGAGCTCCCTACGAGATGGGGAGGATGAGTATGAATACGAAAGCGAAGGGGATAGACAGGAAAGTGATCTCTTACTCTGCATCGAGCTGACATATCGTCCGATAACTTTCGGTAACTTGAGGATCGGCGGGTCCAGTAGCAGACTCGGTGAAGATCCCGAGTTTCCTTTCAAGGTTCTCGACGAGTTTTTGCACTCGTTCTGCACGAGCAGCTGCTTTCTGCAAATAAAGCTTAGGAATCATGGGTGTTATTAACTCAACGCAGACTATACATACCTCAGCAGCGACCTTTCTCGCTTTTTCCTCCCTTCTAGCCTTTTCCTCAGGCGACAAAATCTCACGTCCTTTCGCATCCCTCTGCACATTCTTGCTCTCCGCTTCCAACTCATCGGCCTCCTGCAGAGCCGTCTTCATATCCTTCGCGAGACTGATATGTCCAATAATGGGTACGAATCTCTCGCCACCGAATATTGCGCCAAAGACCTCTTCGGGATCGACGAATCCACCATCAGGTGCGCTTTCTTTAGGTCCGAATTCATTGTACTTCTTGCGGAGAACAGGGTCAGAGAGGGTTTGATAGGCTATGGCAATCTCTTTGAAGCGTTCTTCGGCGTTTGGATCGTCGCGATTTTTGTCCGGGTGGAACTTGATAGCGAGTCGTCCTACAATTCGGGTATACAGTAGCTGTGAGAGAAAGGGACACAGAGTGGTTGAGGGAACGTACGGTATGCTTTCTTGATATCATCAGTGGTAGCATCTATCGACACTGCCAACAGGTCATAATATCCAGTCTCTAACGGTCGCTCATCAGTGCCGATCTTCCTCCCTCTCCTTGCCCCATGATCACTTGAACTGGCAAACCCTGTACTACCCGAGTTTTGCGCCATACCACCGTGTGACGGTCTACTCGCACCGACATTAGGTACCTGATTAGGATAGAAAGCATGGTTGAATATCGTTGCACAATTGAAACATCGAACATTGAGTAACGCGCCGGATCGTGGAGTGGGTGTGGGTGGGGGGAACTCTAGTTGAATATGACATTGTGAACAAGTGGTTTGGATATGTGGAACGAAAGGTCGAGATGGGATGACTGGATATGTGGAGCTCATTGTGTTTGAAGCTTGAGCTGGGTCGTTCAACGGCGGTGAATGACACTGATGGAGGTCGAGAGGAAGAGGACGTTGAGGGCGCTCTGGGCGGAAGGGGATGTCGAAAGAGGTTCACTGCCCCGTTCTTCTTCGGCACAAACTTCTGGTACGATACACAATATGATACTTGGGAAACTATGAGGGCCGATTCTGTTATCCATCTATTGATACTGAGAATACGAGAAAGACATGCCTCTGAGCTTGAAATACAGAACAAACGGAAGTGAAGGAGTTCGAGCTAATTCCCGCTAAGCTAGATGCTTTGAATAAGCGCTCATTCACGTGCTTCGTGTCGTATTGACGCATTCACGCGCACAAGGTCTCTTGTCTTTCAACCATCATCATCTCCACCACCGCTTGCCACTCTACTTTTTTACTACTTTCTAATCTGTGTGTACTTCTTATCGTTCCTCCGGACCAGAAAACTAATGGATCTCTGTGTAGAACTGCAATATGTCTGGTCGCGGAAAGGGTGGAAAGGGTCTCGGAAAGTGAGTGGCGTCTTTCATTCGGGGAGCGGTCGGGGGAACTCTGGAGTGTGGAATGGGAAGAACGGTGCACTGACTCACTTTTGGTACCGCTTTAGGGGCGGAGCTAAGCGTCACCGCAAGATCCTTCGTGACAACATCCAGGGTATCACCAAGCCCGTAAGTCTCCCTCACTTTCCCATCATCACAGAACTGTTGTGTATTGAGAATGGATTGCTCGGCGTTGTAGGCTATTCGTCGTCTCGCTCGTCGTGGTGGCGTGAAACGTATCTCTGGCCTTATCTACGAGGAGACTCGTGGTGTCCTCAAGATCTTCTTGGAGAACGTATGTCCCTTTCTTTAGTACATGTTTGCTTCTCATCTAATATACCCATGCAGGTTATTCGTGACTCTGTACGTCCCATGTCTGAGAAATCGTTGTGCCAATTTCGTACTAATTCACTGACCTGCAGGTCACCTACACGGAACATGCCAAGAGGTAAGTCAACAAACAGCTTGTCGTGCTATACGGCGGCGCTAATACTTTGTCCACGATTCCCAGGAAGACCGTCACCGCTCTCGATGTGGTTTATGCCCTCAAGCGTTCCGGCCGTACCCTCTACGGTTTCGGTGCCTAAGTTTATACGACCCGATGTACGCACTCTTTGTTGGGACATCTATGGCGTCAGGGAGAAATTCTGACTTGGCTGTTGGTTCTTGTGTACAGATCACACAACCTAACTCGATGTTGTTTTGTACACGTGGTTTTGAATCCTTTCGTTCTGAGTATGATATGTACTATGTATAGTTTCTATCTCCCATGACATGATGAGTATGTATCAGTGTAAGTATATCTATGCTATGATTAAGTTTGACATGCAGTGGTTGCGAGTGGAGTGAGCATGCAAGGATACTTATGGTAACCGGGGGGGTGACTTGTGCAAAAAATAGTTAAACATCCCGGCTCGCAGACATTTCCGTGGCGACTAGTTTCACGGAGCGTTTGGCAGAAGGTGGACTTGTTGAACCTTTCCCTGCCACACGTGCGCTATGTTAAGATGGCATAACGAGCACACGGTCTCGATCGAGTGTGTTATCAGTGTAATGGTATGGGGGATTCCAACAGATGCTAGGCCATTGAACGACAGATGGGTGAGATGATTCTACAAGTCCTCGGTTCTCGGTCTCCAACCGAAACACAGCCAGTAACCTTCGGTCGAATCTGAGCGACTTGAATCAGGTTTGACGTATCTGACGCTGTGGAAGTTGGGCTGGAGTTTTTCGATGCGGAACTGGTCAGTCAAAGGATGCGCAAAGTGTTTCAACCTGAATTCAACCGGGTTTAACGTTCAGCGCAGTGTTTAGATATAATTGATAGGAAACGTATGCACTTACACAAGAGCACCCCCGCTTGACCTCTTTCTACCTTGCGCATCCCTCAAATGGCGCTGGGCAAACGCGAACACGGCTTCGCATATATCCAAACTCGCTTCGACGTCTCTTGTCCGGTTTCCTGTAAAGTTGGCAGCCATATCCGAGAGTATGACATCTACTTTACCAGGTTTTCTTTGTTTCTTGAGGACACTGGGAGTGCTTGAATCTGGTGGAATTAGACTGCTGATACGTGCGTCTGCATCGGGCGAGAGAAAGTCCATTTGGAGAGAGGTCACACCAGGGATGGGTTGCATAGGAAGGAGGTCAACTGCTATGATCGTTCCCCGGCCTTTCGGAGGACCTCCTGGTGCTAGTGATCGGTAGGATGTTGATAGCTTTGAGTCAGAGTCGAGGAGGAATTCGTCAATCGCGTCAGGACCCTCTTGCTTCTGCTTTCCCTTGATCCACTTCTTTCCCCTTCTATTCAGCTGACGTTCTTCGACAACTTCCTCCTCATCTCCGACCTCCTCACTAGCACTAGCACTGTCCACGATATCCCTACGGCTTAATGCCCCACCCTCGTCTTCCCGCATGGGCATCCATCCTAGTCGACTTGCAACGACCTGACTCCACCCACCGGGGGCAGCTCCAAGGTCTACTACGGAATTAACATCTGGGCCGGTCAAGAAACGGTGCTTCTCCTCGAGTTCGAGGAGTTTGAAAGCTGAACGGGAGCGGAAGTTGGCTGGGTGTTCGACTCGTTTGCGTACCATTGGGTCTCGGCTTTGACGGGAGAGCCATTTTGTCGACGATTTACTTGAGAACAGGGCGGGCGACGGTCGTGGCATTAAAGACCGCGCCGAGGGAGATCAACGCTAGCTAGTCTAAGCTAGAGGTGAAGCTTTGAAGCCTAATGAAGACATGATCGGGACCGAAAAGGAAGACGTTGTTTGGCAAGAGCCTCGAGAGGACCAAACAATGAATCGATCGACGTCTCCCTTTCCACTCACGTCCACTATGACTTCCCTCGTTCCAGGCTACAGTCAAGTTTCACAATTTGTTGAAGACGCCGAGTATGAGACCAACGAAGATGGCACCGTACATGAAGAGGTCTCCTATGTCACTCTGGATCTGGGAGCGGTCGAACCGAGGTTGGTCCCCAGTTCGTCAGAATATCGTCTCATTGTGAGTATCGTCTACATAACGTCCCTCGACGTCTCATGTGCATATTCCATTTGGAGGTGTAGGGACTAGACACGCCAACGCCATACGTCCAACTCTCTGGTTCCATATTCAAGGGTTCACACGAGACCCTTCTTGGAACCGAGATTCTCTTCACCGAGCAGAAAGGTAAACTAGTTGATAATGCTTCACATTTCTGGTTGCTCAGACTTCTAGTAGACGATCACACTGCAAAAAAATCCCTCGCATACCTGACTACCACCGAACAACGCGTCCGCTTCAAAGAAGTCGAGTTGAAACCCAAACACCCAGAGCGTCCCCAGCCATCTCAGAATGACGACACTCGAGTGAGCGTAAATGTACTCGATTCAATCCCTCCAGTATTCGCTGCTACCGCAAGCCCAAGAACGGGCGGTCGAAGAGGTAGACCGAGAGGACGAGGGCGAGCTAATGGCAGAAGTAAGGGGAAAGAAAGAGCGTCGGAGGAAGACTTTGAGGGCGCATTGGAAGGTGTTCTTGGGCAGGCTGGTGCATCGACCTCAACATTGTTGACGATGGACGATCTTGCGATGGATAGCGAAGTGCCCGAGGTGCAGGAGTCGACGTCGCAGACTTCGCAAGTTGCAACGTCTGTATGGGGCCACCAGGTTCCTCAGAATGAAGATCAAGATATGAACATTGATCCTGCTCTCAGATGATCTCTGAGTGGGCTACACTCAAGTACCTGAACAAGACTGTCAGGTCGCATGTTGTACGGGTAAGTCGTCTCGTTGTATGCGTCTGGATCTCATGTTCATCGTCCGTTCTGGTTAGGTTCGTACTTGGCGGTTTACATAGGTGCTCTCCTTGCATATACGCCGTCATCAAACACACCTCGCAGACGAGGACATCCCAACGCCTTTTTGCACTTCCACGTGAGGTCCAACTACAGATACAACTCTCGTCGTACGTAGGATCATTCCTTGTGACGTTTACAAATTCCTCTGTGCAGACGGCTCGTCGAATCGTGGGAGTGGCAATACACTATTCCCGGTTCATTCGCATTGCATTGTACACTAGGTTGCGCATCCATAGAAGACAGCTTCCTCATTCAAGGTCTAGTACCCGAAGCTTACGGCTTCATGATATCGACAATATCGCATCCTGTCAATCCGGTGATAGCTATACAGACAACAACATTAGCTTAAGAAAGAAAGTGACTGATAATGCCGATACTGACGTCCTACGATAGATCCAGGATTCGTCGGGAGGACGACACCCGACGGACAACAAGCCACGATTCCCTCACTAAAAAAACACGCCAAAAACCGCCTTCGCCTTCAGTATCAGGACCTTCACTTCACAGTTGAATATCACAACTATACCATGCATTCGCCGCTGTTAACGTGCCGAACGGCGTACATGCTACACCGACCAAAGGCGGACCTTGAGGACCGATGGGTACGATTTGACTAATGGGTGATCCTGGGGTGGTTGCTCCCATTGCTTGACAGCAGAGGATGCCGGTTTTGCATTGGGATATGCCGATGATTGGGTTGAGGGAGAGGACAGCTATGGGTGAGGTGATAAATGCGAGGAGGAGGGATGAATGGGTGAGTTTCATTGTCGGGAGAAATCGCATTTGCACTTGTGGAACTGTTCGATTTTCATCGTTTGTGGCGGTTTTATACTCGTTTCACCCCTTGTCATTGGGAATCATGACCGTGACGTCCAGTGGCAAACGGATGCTGTGATATATTTTGACGCAAGGGTATAATGATCTGCGCCGATACTGCGACGTTGCGTTACGACGCAAAAGGGAAAGTTCAATGTGAGGAACGTTGGTGAGAAGTCCCTGTTCGGTTGGTACTCATATATCATTCGACTCCTGCACAGTTCTGTTAATATTCAGGCGGGCCGTGTGTGGCATGAGAAATGCGGTCAGGGCCAAACAATTTGAACATACCCAAAATTCAAACTGTCGATGAGGGACAGGCGGGGCGTCGTATGTCATTGGCTATGCGCAGATGGACTCGTTCAAAGGGTAAATTCAACACATCCCGGAAATTTTCCAAGTGGCTTCTCATGCGAATCACGTCTACTTCTCCAGAACCGGAGTGTCGCCATAGAGGACAGCCATCATGAAGTCCTCATATCTTTCTCCGTGAGCAGCATCAGCTTTATTCACAATCTCCCGCACTTCCCTCACTTCCTCAGGGCTTAACTTGACATTCAGCGTGCCGAGGTTCTCTTTTAGGTACTGTCAATTCATATGAAAACGGTCAGTTTGTTGCACAGTTCCACAACGTGGTAGATAGATAAGGACCTTCTTTTTCGTCGTGCCCGGGATAGGGATGATGCTTTGGTCTTGTGCAAGAAGCCAAGCGAGCGCAACTTGTCCTGCGGTCGCGTTGTGACACTCGCCGACTTTCTTCAAACCATCGACGATCTTGAGGATGTTCGGGAAGTTCTCTTTGGAGTAACGAGGGATAGTTCGACGCCAATCGCCTTCCTCGAAGTCTTCCGGTCCGTTCTGTGAAAGTCAGACAACGGTTCAGTTCGCAAAGGTACTTAAGTAAAGCGGAAAGGTGAATATAAGTGGGATACGTACGTAGCGACCTGTGAGCATCCCACGTCCCAGAGGGGAGTACGCGACGATGGTGACGCCGAGTTCTTGTGCGGTCTTGAAAAGTCCAAATTTCTCGTCCTCGATGTCGAGCGTGAATGGGGAATACTCGGCTTGGATGGCGGAGATGGGATGCACGGCGTATGCTCGACGAAGCGTATTGGCCGAACATTCGGAAAGTCCAAGATATTTGACTTTCCCCTGCCTGCCAATTCGAACCATTTACGTGAATAATTGATTGACATGGGTGTGTGAGTTTGAGTGTGATGAACATACTTTACGAATTCAGCCATGGCGCTGACAGTCTTCTCGATAGGGACGGTAGGATCGGGACTACAATTCGAAGAACATAGGTATAAGCGTGCGTTTTAGGTCATGGTGATGATAGAGCGTGTCCCACCGGTGAAGGTAATAGAGATCGATGCAGTCCACGCCAAACAGTCGCAAGGACTTCTCAATGGAGACTTTAACATGTTCGGGGCTGCCATTGATCAGTCGGCCTCCTTGCATGTAGAAACCGCATTTTGTAGCAAGGAAGATCTCTGCGCGTTTTCCACTACGCTTGAACCTAATATTTTGAATGGTATTACCGAGTTAGCCACAGTCTACGATAGAAACTTCAAAAGGATGAAGATCACCATTTTCCGAGCAGCTCCTCGCTGTCACTGTAGACGTCAGCTGTATCCCAGTTCAAGCACCCGTTCTCGTATACTGCGTCAAGAAGCTACACAAAGGCCCGAGGTGCATTAGGAGTGGTTTCCTCAGCGACTTGGGTTTGAGAAATATGATACCTTGAGGCGTTCTTCCTCGGAAGGAGGTTGGCCGTAAAGTTGGAGTGAAAGACCCACGGCACCGAAACCAATAGCGGTTACATCGGTGTTACCGATCTTGCGGGTAGGAAGTTGGGCAGGCATGATGGGCTGTAGTGGACACTGGGGAGTGGTTCAAGTGTAGTGAGAGGACGTTCATGATCAGGCAGCGGTTCTCCTTATATATAACCTGCATAGCCTGTTTGTTCACCGTGGGTATAATGCCATAGAGAACGGGAACTTATATCAGGAGGTGGAGGTTCTAGATGAAGTTTTGAATCGATCAGAACGATTGGGACAATGGTGGATTAAGACACTGACTCGACTAATGGATCTCGAGAACCCGTCGGGTACCCAACATGGCACGCCTGCCCACACGCTGAGCTCCATGCCAAGTCCCGTCGATGTAAGTAAAGCACCGTCCTTGACAATTAAGATACACCCCTGATCTTGAGTCCGGCTTCTTATGTGCTAAGGGCACTCGAGTCAGACAGATACACGTAGATTGGCAGTCAAAAATCCTAGCGTTGAATGTTGAATACCGACCTCTTCGGGTTGGCCGTCCTATTTACCGGCATCTTCGTGGTAATATTGCAGGATCGATCTGAAGTGGAATGCATGGTTATTATCTGATCAAAGCGTGTATTCAGCCGAACAGAGGCATTGTGAGGTACACAGATGTCTAGATGTCCTTTTGGTGTCCACTGAGTTCCAGTCTTGAGAAGACCAACTTTCATGTTTTTGGCAGGTCAGCCGACGGATTTCGTATTGAATAAATGTAGAACTTGGACTATCAACCATTTCTTCGCGTCGAAGGTACGATCACCGTCGAATGCAGTGAAGTAAGAGGTCAAAGTGTCCTGTATTTCGTCAAGAAATTTGGGAATCGGCACTCAACATACGACGACGTGGACACGGAAGCTAAAGGAATGCATTTGGGAACTCCATCTAGTTCTCCAAGGCAGGAGTGTCGCCATACAGGACAGCCATCATGAAGTCCTCATATCTTTGTCCTTGAGTAGCATCGGCCTTCCTGGCGACCTCTCGAACCTCCTGAATTTCGGCGGGGGTCAATTCGACGTTGAGAGCCCCAAGGTTCTCTTTCAAGTACTATTCAAGGAACCGCATAAGTCAGTATCAGCTCAAGAGCATCATGCATGGCGGGGTTGCATACCTTCTCCTTGGTAGTGCCGGGTATGGGGATGATCTTCTCGTCTTGCGCGAGAAGCCAAGCCAACGCGACTTGTCCGGCAGTAGCATTGTGACGTTCACCAATTTTCTTCAGCCCGTCGACAAGCTTGAGGATATTAGGGAAATTCTCCTTGGAGTAGCGAGGGATAGTACCACGCCAGTCGCCTTCCTCGAAGTCTTCTGGTCCTTTCTGTGGTAGTCAACATATACTCAGTTATGACCATAAAGCGATTGATCGCGGGATACATACGTAGCGACCGGTGAGCATACCACGTCCCAGAGGAGAGTACGCGACAATGGAGATACCGAGTTCCTTGGCCGTCTTGAGAAGACCGATCTTCTCGTCCTCGATATCAAGCATGAAAGGGGAGTATTCGGTTTGCACAGCAGAAATGGGATGGACGGCATGCGCTCGACGAAGGGTGTTGGCCGAACACTCGGAGAGTCCAAGGTACTTGACTTTGCCCTGCCTGAAGATGGTCGGGTTGTCAGGGTCAATGGGAAGACAATATCTGGGAAAGGGCGCACTTCACGAATTCGGCCATGGCGGCAACCGTCTTTTCGATAGGGACGGTAGGATCGGGACTGGGGAGTGGGGAAATTGATATCATGCACTTCTGGGTGTGACTGTGTTCAACTTACCGATGGAGATAATAGAGGTCGATATGATCAACCCCGAGGCGCTTCAAGGACTTCTCAAAGGCCTCCTTGACATACTCTGGATCGCCATTGACCAAACGGCCTCCTTGCATGCGAAGGCCGAACTTAGTGGCAAGGAAAATCTCATTACGCTTTCCAGTGCGTTTGAACCTGGAGGACAAATTTCGTTAGCCATTAGTTGAACGTCGATGTATGAATGAAGGTCACCATCGTCCAAACAGTTCCTCACTGTCGCCGTAGACGTCGGCGGTATCCCAGTTCAAGCAACCGTTCTCATAGACGGCATCTAAAAGCTACAGAGCATATAACTTCAGAGTGGTGTCTATCGGCGTGGTTGAAACTGTACCTTAAGACGCTCCTCATCAGGGGGGAATTGACCATAAACCTGAATCGATAGACGCATGCCACCGAATCCGATGGCGGTCACATCGGTGTTGCCGATCTTGCGAGTAGGAAGTTGAGCAGGCATGTCGAATCGTATGAGTCTCAAGATCCAGCTGAAGAATAGGACAGCAGTTGATGAGGACAGTTGTACGCTGCAGGGCCCCTTTATATAGGTCTACTACTACACTGGCGTAAAGTGCCTGACCATCTAACTGACCACATTACATCAGAGAGAGCCTCGGGGATTCATACTTTAGAGTCATCATGGGGATAGCACCTAAGAACGGTGACCCACTCATCTGCTAGTTACAGTAGATCTGGAAGCCTTGCCAGGGGTGTAGACGCTGGGCCGGGGTGCTCATTATGGTAACCCCGCCCCACCAATGTCCGCGGGCACTGTGCTTAACTTAGCGGGCTTTGAGCCAGATACGTCTACTTATTACAGCCACTCATTTTAACGTCTAATGCTGTTTACTGAAGTTTTCTCGAATGTCAGTCGATCGGACTAGGAAAGAAGATACAGAATAGAACAAATATCAACTTGATTTCAAGCGCATGTAAATTCATTGACTCCTGAGTGTTTATCAGCTTATCAAGTTTATTTGGCGGGGGTGTATGAAGCCTGATAGACATGCGTTGCTTTGCAGATGACTACGATGCGCTATAACCGCAGACACAACTGATATAGGATGCCGCGAGTCAACGGCCGTGGAGGACTCATTGACCGATCTCCGGGATTTGTCCTGAATACCGATTTGCCCGGCTTGTTTCTTATATTCACCGATTTCTTCGTGGTAATCCCAATCTTGCAGTGAGTTGATAATTGCTTCAAGTACGTACCAGGATGCCGAGACATGACGTATGTCCTATGAATAGCTAACTTCACAAGGTCGGGTTCACAGTGGCAGATGTGTCTCACATTTAAGGTTGAACAAGCTTGGGCCGTCGGACACAGGGAATCTGTAAGGCTGACCTTGAAGCTTTGACCCCACGCCACCTTTGAATGGTCATACCTCCAGCTGGGTCGGTTCAGCAGAAGTCGGCAACATTGTTGTACATACTTATCCCAAGGCATTAAGCGGCTCACAGGCCTCGCCGGCTCTATCTCCTCTGTTTGACTGTGCGACGAAGGTTGTAACTCGTCAGACCGCTTACAGTTCGAGTGTGATTAACCTGCAGCATTGTTCAGGGTTATGGAAAAACATTAAGTTTGTCCCGAGAGGGCTAGTGGTTTAGCGTTGATTAGATCATGAACGTTGCGTCGGAGTGGAAGTTCATTCGACTGTCAGCGGTTGCTTTGAGTGAGAGAGTTCGATCAGAGACGTCCAACAGAGGTTTGAGTGGCAAATTGATTTCAACGATGAATATTTGTGAGCCAATCGAAAGTGCACGGTTTCGCGTGTTTGGCGCTGTTGTTCAACGTCCTGGATGAAAATACTACTTTTGGACTCTTTTCACGCTTGCTAGGTCGCATCAAGGTCTCTGGTCGTGAGTTTGCCAAACCATGTCAGTTTGTTTCGCCGGTCATTGATATGCTCGCGAGACCCCTGTCATTCGGCCATAATATCACTGTCTCATCGCCTCCTTCGAGAAGATCTTGCAGTCGGAGGTTTTCAAGGTCTACTTGACTTATCGTAACTGGATGAAAAGACCCGGCAGGAGGTCCCTGTTCGGTCACTCAATGGTTCTTCCACCGGGGACGAAAGTCAGCGTTTACTGGGGAGATCAAATGATGTCACGCTGAAGGCCGCCGTCATTCTTCTATTGGCTGGATTGCGTTATCAATTATATGTATCATTTCAATTCAACTGCAGTCTTTACAGGTAGGGAGACATTTCGCATGATGTATTGGTGACTTACCCTGACCATTCTTAGCTTTTCTCAGGCAACAAAGTGCTTTCGCTCGGGTATCAAGACACTACTCGATAGCTCCAGCGTATCAGATTCCGTGGTCAATACGATGCAAGTTACACTGATGGCGCTTCGCGACTAGATTCAAACCATATGCTCCCATGATAGCGCGAGATGAGAGCTTTCTGCCATTCGGCTGAATTTGTAAGTATGTGCGATCGATTTGACATTTTCCCATGAACCTGATGCGGCCCGAGTCCTCTAGAGGCTATTGTCAATGGGCTGAGAGCAGAAGTGAAGGTACTGGACAATGGGACCTCGTCCTCGTTCCTGGGAACAGCCTCTCTGTCACTGGTACCGCCCCTATTCAAGGGCTGTACTTATTCTACTGCATCGCTGAGCACAGATATCATGGCGCCAGCAGCATTAGCCAGGCACGGGCGCCAGTGGTGACGGCAAGAAACAACATGCTGTCCAAGACTTCTCCTTCTTAACCATCTCCACACCGGAAACTCGGAAGTGCACACCTTATCATTACAACCAGGTTACCTGACGTCTGCCGGTCACGCGCAGGACGAACATCAAGAGAAGCGGGAAGTGCGAGTGGGCCGTCAAAAATTCCCCCGCAGCATTGAACAAATGTATTCAGGGACTCGTGACACACCTCTCGAGCCTCAAGTGGAGGATCACGTCGAAACGCAAGTGACCAACCCGAAGAAACAAGACTTTTATTCTAGACCTGACGTGATAGAAACGAACACTGCAGAAACACCTGTTCAGAATCCAGTAAGCCCCTTCGCTGTTTCGTTAGTTACGAACTGTTCAATGATAGAAGAATAGGAGACTATTCGATTAGCGACTCATGAGGCAGAATCCAGTGGGAGTTTAGGAATGCAGACGAATGCCTTAGGTGTTTCAGCACCATATTTAAAGTCACCTATACCAATGTCGGAAAGGCAGGTAAGTATTCCGTATCTTTGCCGTGCTTCATCTGGGTTACTCAACTAAGGCCATATTATTCAGGAAGCATATGAGCGACGTGAGTCTGATGCAACTTGGTGGCTCAAGACGGCACGAACTATTCGCGATGGAGACGAGGCAAAAATCAAAGATTACAAAGAGGACATTGACACGCTACTGGTGTTTGTGAGTTATATCGCTATCCCAACTCATATTTCTGTCTTGACATCATCTTCGTAGGGCGGTCTATTCTCTGCCGTAACAACCACATTTCTCATTGAGTCATACAAGACTCTCAACCAGGACTCTACGGAGGCTTCGCTGCAAGTCCTGTTGCATATCTCCCAGCAACTGAATAGTTTCGCTCTGAATGGAGGTTTCGCAAACAGTACAATCGCCGCTTTGTCATCTCTGCCAACATTTGAATCATCTCTGGCTCCTCTTGCAACCAACGTCCTTTGGTTTGGAAGTTTGATTATCAGTTTGATGGCAGCATCATATGGAATGCTCGTAAAGCAATGGCTGCGCGAATTCTTGGCAGGGGACTACACGTCCCCTCAAGCTCGGCTTCGCGTCCGTTGTTTCCGGTATCCCGCTCTTACGAATTGGAAAGTCTTCGAAATTGTGGGGATCCTACCTTTACTCTTGCAGCTTGCATTAGGTCTGTTCTTCGTTGGACTATGCTTTTTTACCTCGTCGGTACATCCCATCCTTCATCGGACGACTGTTTCATTCGTTGTCGTGTGGGCATCCTTCCTTCTGATGGCAACGTTGGCCCCGGCGTTCTCTCCACGATGCCCGTACAAGACAACTTTTCTGAAGGACGCTATGAAATCCATTCGACGGCTCATGTTCATGCTCCGATTTCCTTTGCAACTTCTCGCAAGTATTCACGAAACGGTAACTCGCTACCTCACCCACATCAACTATCAGCACTCCACCTTTGTACCGTTGAGCGTTACAGAAGCATTCGTCCTGCGAGATGAATGCCCAACTAGCGATGGCTGGGTTCTGGTAGAAGGCGATATGTTAGTGATGAAGGACTTGGAGGAGGGCGAGGACACGTCAAAAGGCTCTATGTCGTCCCAGTTTGAAAGTCCAGATATCACCAAACACTCGCACCTCATGCTTATGCTTCGTTCCCCTCGTCGGCTTCTCGCCAGCATAGGAGATATCATAAAATCCTACTTCTCACATCTCAACCAACCTAGTCCTCGACACCCGCCTATCGGTCTCTTCAGTGCGTTCTCTAAACGAGTCGGGTATATCCCAACCGAGGAAGAGGACATTGCCAGGAATGAAACAGGCGACCTCCACGTACTTGCCGATGTTGACGCTATCCAATTAGATGATCATTTGCTGCGCACGGCTCTACTTGACCTGACTTCTGGTCATAGGTCTTTCAATGGTCAAGATGTCACCTCCTTGGTTCTTCGGATCTTACATCATCGTGACCCTACCATACAGAAGTCGAAGGAGGGGCAGTATCCCAATTTGCGACGATTATCGAATTCTTTGAGGAGTGCAGTGCTTCCTATCCTCGCAGCTCCTTTGGTCAATGAAGTTCAGCCACTTGTCCTGAGGGGGGACACAAAACCAGTTGCCGAATGGGAAGACTGGATGCGAGATTCCATGTGTATGATATTCACCCTCGCTGCCGCACCTTCTTTTGATGATCCAAAAGGAGCTCTCCATTTGTGCTTGCAGCTTGACTTTCCCGGAGTCATCTGCATGGTCGCCTCCAGGATAAGTCCGGATATCGATAATGCCCGTTTTGAACGTCTCATTGGTAGACTATGGAAAACACTCTATGACTTTGACGAAGACCGCCGGGTGTCCGCTATCGCAATGATAGGGTCCTATCCGCCCATTGCTGGTGCCAATGAAACAATGTTCATTCTGAGGATCCAGATTCGACTTTTGGAGAAGTGTGCTGAGCACGTTGGAAGGACAATCATCGAGACGTTCTTGCAGACATCTCCAGATCTTTTGGGCAACTCTGGCAATTATCTTCATCGAGTTATTGCAGCCCACATCCAGCAGAATCGTGATCAACCATCCAACTCTTCCTGCATAGATGAGCTGCGTCCACTAGTAGACACGGAGAGCATGCATATAAATAGCATTGCCGCTATTGTAATCAACCTCAGTGAGCATGGTCACCAGGAATGGCCGACGTGGTTGAAGGAAGCCATCTTACCTCTGTTGCTGGCGCTTTCAGGTTCATCAATATCTTCGGACGTAATACATCAAATTCTACGCCAATGTCTTCGCGCCAATCTCACCCAATTCTACGAGCTCTGCGTGCAATGCAGTGTCTCATGTCCCGAGTTCAATCTTGAAGTCGTGCTGCAGTTCTTCAGTGCAGAATTGAAAGCACTTCCTGGGGAGACACTCAGAAAGCACCTGCACACATTTGAAACAAGTCCATATCCTCTGCCGTCCGTGCACGCGGAATTCATGCACTTGTGGCTAGCTGAAAAGACAGTTGCCTCTCTCGATCCCCACATGACGGTTCTGGATGCCTTTCGCCAGTCTTCGGGCGATTCATCACCTCCAGCTTTCGCAGTGATATCTCTGGCACTGCGTGTTATCCAGTACCGGCTTCATCGAGATGACATTCCGACCTCAAACCTTCAAACGACGCTCGACCTAGGTGATCTTGACGAACACACCTATGACGATATCACTTATCATGCCGCGAAGTTACTTGAATCTTGGCTTTGGCATATCGACACAATCCTCGACGGCGGCCTCCGAAGTCTTCAACAGTCCACCGAGGTGAAGGATGCTATCATTCTGTTGCTGGCTAGATCCCCGTATCGACTGGGATGGGAATTCGCATATATAATCCTTGCGGATCCGCTATTTAAAGAACTTGTTGAGCATGTCGAAGGGTTAAGGGAGGATGTTCGTGTTGAATTGAAACAGATATGGGAAGATAGGCTACTAGAGGGTAAAAGAGAGGGTGTTATTAGCTAGCTGATTACCGCAAAACATATGTTTCTCTCATTGTAGTCACGTGAACAGACTTTCATTCTACAGAGGGCCGCTAGTCAATGTCTGACAGACATACTTGTTTGCTCTATATTTTCTTTATTCAGACTGCATTCATCAGCAAAAGGTCTCATCACTTAAATTGAACTTAATCAAGCTTATTTGCACTTTTTCCAGTCTTTAAGTCAATAAGTGATTTCAGTAGGTTCCCTTTTTTCAAGTTGAGAATAAGTACAAAGTAAGTCAAAAAAAAAGTACATTATTTGAAATGAACAAAGCACAGTTCCAGAATGACTACTACCTCAGACTGCCCATGTGATAACACTTTGCCTGCACCCCGACTATCTGTATGAATGACATGCCACTTTGCTAGCACACCACTGGCCCAGTCTATAACTTACTGGTGTGATCAGCACACTGCTTGCCAGTGGTGCTGTAGAGCATCCTAGTAGATGAGAAAAGAATGCATCAAGCCTCCGAGATTATGGCCAATGAGTTGGAGCTGATGAGCATGAAGATCCTGATACTGACATCGGGCTAGATGTTGTAGTATAGCGAGTCAAAGATACTGGTCGCCAGCGCTGATTCGGCAGCTGTTGTGAAGAAGATCATGATGGAGACATGCTCCTTGATGTCTAGGCAAGTTAAGTAAAGAGTGGGTAAAGATGTCAAATTGGACACTTACTGAAGGGACCATGATTCATAAAGCACCAGAATGCATTGTCAGACATGCATAGAGAAGGGTGAGGGTTTCTAGGACCAGGAATGATCTCTTTGCCAACACAGCTGAGGATGATAATCTGTAGAAAGAGTTGACCCATGAAGACAGTCTGGGAATGGAAAATACTGAAGATGATCAAATCGGGAGGTGCACAAACAATTGAAGGCTATATATGAAAATCTGACCCAGTACAGCACTGAAGCAAGAAAGCCCAAGACCGAGGAACTGTATTCTGAAGGTGAAGATAGGCAATGTGGGGTCATCCTTCAAGGAGATAAGATGGGTAGCGACATCGATATCCGTCTCTGAATTGATGTGAGTCTCTACAAATACTCAACATGGAAGGGCAGTAACATATCAATGGGTCATTCTTTACTATCTTCACTGAGGTCAATGTCATGAACATCATCGTAGACATTACCATTCACTGACTGGACAACAGAGGCAGAGTTGACCTTCTCATCATACTTCTCATTGTATGAGGAGGACTTGCTATACTAGGAGTCATAAGAGATGATAGAAAGCCCTCATACTGTAGCCATGATGATGCAGAAAACAGCAGAAGTTCCCATCAAGGGAGACAGAGGAGAGAATGGAGCTGGAATTAAATGGATCCAGAAAGACAGCACTAGGGAAGGTCATCATGCATTCAGGTCCCTGAGAGCAGGTCAGATGATAGGGGAGATATTAGCCAGTCAGGGTATAGGAGGAGGAAACTTGAACCAACAAGGTTCATTGAGCCTCATAAAGTCCAAAGGTTGTAACCTTTTGCCCTGACATGGCCCAGGACTTCCCGATGCTAATGCATTGAGCCCGACACTGCGAGATGCACCTTCTTCACTTCCTCCGACCTCATCAACACTGTCAAGTGGTTAGTGAACTGCTCCCATTGAATTGGACCTATGCTATAGACTTAGTCTAGTGGCCAGTGCTGCTACGAATTCCACTGAACATTTTCCAATGATGAGCTTACAGTAATATGAAGCTCAAGGGTCATTGTTGCATGCGCAGGCTGCTACTAGCCTACTATGATAGTATATTGGTATCAGTATTTATTGAGGTAAATAAGGATGATGAGAACTACTAGTAGAACAAGGAGGGGGATGAGGATGACAAGAATGATGATGATTATGAGGAGAATACATATGAAGTGTGGACTCTGTAGTCCACTGTTAGCTGTGGTCACTTGAATGACTTAATCTGACTTTGCAAGAGTGGCTGTGAAATATACTGTGTTTATTAAGTTCACTAAGTATGAATAAGTTTGATCAAGTACGGCAAGTGTAAGTAAGTTCAGTGACATTTTGCTGATGTTTTCAGGTGTTAATAATTTCTTATTCTTTGTTGAAAATATCCAGAATGAGTACCTCAAGAGTGAGTATATTATTCTTCTAGCTTCTATGTCCCCTGTCAACACTCTCCTGATTCAACTCTCATGCAATAAAATTTATAGAACCACTGTAATAGCACTTGCGATCAATGACTAGGATTGCCTCATCTGATTATAATAAGTTCAATTCATCTGACGCAGCGACATCCAAGATCCTGACATGGTCTTAGAAGGTGCAGAATGTACATAACTTCAGAGGCAAAATCCAATATGGAAAGTCTCACTATGTGTCATCTGGATGTGGGCATAAGACACAGACCTCAAAATAAATTTATGATGATTAATATGTGACCTAGTGATCCAGAATAACCTGGTAAACAATTACTTAGCTAGGGTGGAAGTGTAAAATATATTGCAACAGAGAGATGCATATATCCACCTGATCATGAGACCCTATAGCAGTGACTGTCTCACATATTAAAGCTCCTGCAGAGTTATACAAATGCAGCCTGCATGAAAGTCTGGGTGCTCATACTGTGGCCCAGAAAGATGAGTAAATTTATGTCATCCCGGGATAGAGAACACTCAAAGAGAAAGCTGGGAATAGCTGAAATGGTGAGAGAGTGATTTGGCAGAGGGTGAACAAGGGCTGATGCAGAGATGGGTGGAAGAGATGAGTGAGGTTTAGATATCTAGTCATGACATCGATACATGGAATAGTGATTGGTCAGAGAAAACAGCATGCAAGTAGTGAGGATGGAAGTCTAAATAGATGACCATATGCTTCTAGAGGTGTATTGGTGCAGAGAGAGATGTCTCTCAGAGGGAAGGCTGTGGTAGACATATGTGAGAGCAATTTAACACCTATAATCAGCAAGCAATGTGAAGGAACAATTGCTGGAGAATAAAAAAGGTCATCTGAGACAAAGCAGGAAACCACTTAGTGTGTTCACAGATGGATGAGACCAGTCTCCTCAACAAATGCAAATATCTACAAGTCGTAGTGATAGTTGAGGGCCAGAACTGAGAACTGTGTTTTAGAGAAAGCCACATTCCATCGAGCATAATATCAGACATGCAGGCCTAAAGAACTTAGTAGTTTGGGGGGTGAGGAGTGGGAACTGTAGGCTTTAACATAAATGGTGTGGAGCTGGGTTGGAGCTGCATGATGGAAAGCATTGAGCCACCATAACAGAACTCTGCAGGGCAATGTATGAAGAATAGTATTTGAGTGCTACTAATGATAGAATGGAATATCAGAATTGTAAATTGAGGCAGAGAAAGTGAGCTAGGAGAGCAGAATGGCAAGTTGAGGGAGTCAACAGAATGCATGCGTAAAGACCTGATCTGGTTCTGCCTGGTGAGCGGTAAACAACATGTTAACAACTCATTACAACAAGACACTCACATGGCTCTTGTTCGATGTCTCCCTCAAGCTCTGTGTATTCAGCTGCTTGCATGCCCATTGAGCTGACACTCAGATCATATGCTTGGCAGAGTGTGCACATGCATCACTGCTTCACTCTGTATAGTATGTCCTGACAAGCAGACATGACCCGTTCACTAACAAGATGTACCTTCTATGCATAGAGGAACATTTTGTTGCCAGTAGCCTAGTAGGTACCAGGTAGTACTATAATCCTTTTGTCTCTGCTTATCAAGATGGCATGGTGCAATTTCATAGCTTCAGACAGGTTACCACTCAGTGGTACTATGAGTCAAATTGTGTGCATCAGGCTTCTTCTCATCCACAAATGCACAGTGCAGAACTTCTTCAGAGGATGCCTGTATTGTCACTCATGAAGTGTTTATCTATCACTTGTGACATAAATGTGATAGTAGGATTGATACATTTTATCCAAATTATATCCATTCATGCCTTGCATTGAACAAATCTTTCATAGGTACATTTTACCAGTTACTATGATCACTGTAATAATATCCTGCAGGATTTATGCCCTGCAGACCTTTAGCCTAGGCTAATATACGAAGCAATTCTGTCACAACTGTGTGATCTATGGCTGCTTCTGATAAGATGATGCTACATGGCTCTGCTTCCCTTTCATTTATCCATATCATATATGCTTTTCCTGTATTTAGTTAATGCTGGATTATCATTCACAGTGTTCTTGGATTGGCATTTCTATCATTCTTCCATTCTGCCCTCAACCTCCACTCAACACTCAATCCATTTTTTGCACAAGTCATGGCCAATATACAGGAAGAGTCTGACTCTCGAGAACTATCCACAGAGATTCTATTGTGACATTCAATCAATGATGCTTCTGCTGCCAGCAGCTCAGGAGAATCAAAGAAACAAGGACCATCACCTCTTGTCCATGAGCCATTCACATTGATTCCTCAATCAGACCTGAATGAATGAGATAGAGAAGTGGGCCATTCTTCTCTCTGTCTGCATTATAAGTCTCATGACTGACACATAGAAATAGCTTGGTTGGAGTGTCAAAGGGAAAAATAAAGAGGACAATGCTCAAGTGACTCACTCTAATATTTCTCAGGCTCGCTCAGGCATTATGCAATCTAACTCTCTCCTATCCATCCCTGATAATTATTGTAAGGTGGATAGAAGGCTGATGCATACTGAGATGAAATACAGTAGTGTGAGGAGAGTGGTCTCTGACAACTCTCGACAGGGTGAGGAGAGTACTGTAGCATATGGACAAAGAAATCATAGACTGTGTGCTCCTTTGAGAGCCAGTAGACTGTACCACTGCCTAAGTCTAGTGCATTTGAGATGTCACACTCCCAAGTCTTAATTCTTCCTATCTCTGATAATGCAACAAGTCCCCTGACACACTCCTTCAGATGTTCAATGTACAAGAAGTACAGTTGAAGAGGTCCGAGTTCAGAAGGATGCATAGTAACTAACTCCTCTTCTACTGCATAGCTCTTGACTATTCCAATCACAGGTATAGCAGTCTCAACTTGAGGATCACTCTTAACAAGGTCAAGTCTATCTCTCAGGAACTAGGCAATGAACCTCTCTGAAACAACCTCTTTTTCTTCTTTTGTCTCGAATGCAATTTGACACACTTCCCAACAAGAGCCCT